TACCCTTTTTTAAAATAAACGGATTTATATTACATGAAAGTAATGAAAAACCCGTTTTTAAAAATGTATAAATTTTTTATGGTCCCTTTAAAATTTGAAATTATATTAATTTATTTTTAAACTAGCCCCTAAAAATTTGCAAAAATTAAAAAAATTAATTAAAAAAAATTAAAAGAAATTTTCCCGTCTTTTTATTCCCCCCTTTCCCGGCGTGTTTTATAAAAAACTTCCCCACCCCCCAATTTTTTCCCTTTTTGGGGAAAATTTGGTCAGAAATTTTTCCGATAATCCTTCTTTATTTAACGGGGTCAGCTTTTTCCTATATATCTATATCGCCCACCCTAATTCGTCAGCATTTTTAGTGCCCACCCCTTTTCCCTGATCGCCCCCGTTTGTCGTGGGGTTAGTAAATTTTGACCAAAACAAACCGGGTTTGACGCAGACAATGCCCCATACGGTATTATTCCAAAAAGGGCGCTTCGCAAATTTTCGAGTGTGCCTTTTGCGGGTTTTTTCGAGTATTTTGCTTTTTGCGTTGTCAGTGTCCCCTTCGCAAATTTTCGGGGTGTCGCTTTCGCCAAAGTTGAAACGTTTGCCCGGGGTAAAAAAACATAAAAATTAAACCCCGACATTTTTTCTTTGACAATTTTTTAAAAAAGTTTGGGTTCCGGGGATGTCGGGGTGTCACTTCGCATTGTCGAGCGTCGTATCGCAAATTTTTCGCGTTTTTTTTTCGCCCTTGTCGAGTGTGTCGGGTTTTGCACTTCTACCAACCTCGACATCGGGCAATGCGAAAATGACAATGCGACAACGCGAAAATGCATCGCGGGCAAAAGCGAAAATGACTCGCGAACCAAAAGCGAAGCGACGCCCCGACAATGCGAAGCGACCCCTCGACAACCCCGAAAACGACATTTCTTAAATTGCCCCCCCTTTTTTTTCCCCGGAAAAATTTTTTTAGCGACAGTGCGACATATCGTTTTTACCAAATGTTTGAGGGGTCGCTTCGCTTTTTCGCCCTTTTCGCCTTTTGCGTTGTCGAAACGTTTGCTTCGCCCTTGTCGCGAATTTTCACTTTTGCAATTTTTCGTGGTCTACCCCTTTGGGCGCGACGGGCGACATTCTAAATGGCAGATAAGGAACCCCCGTTTCAAGCTAGATATCCCGAAAACAATTTCCCTTTTTCATGGGGGTTTAACAACAAAATATATACATGGGATTGCCGAACTTTTTTTGATTTCATTTTTTGAAAATTTTAGATGCGGGGTTTTGGGCTAAAGGGAAAAAAGCGGAGGAAACCCCGACAGGGGTTTTTTGGGGGTGGACTCGCTTTGGGGTGCAAGAAAAAAACCCGGAAAAAATTTTTCTAGACATTCCATACAACTTTAACCCCCAAAAAAAGGTAACTTTATTTCCAAACTATTACCGGACATTCCCAAAAGTCCCAAGGTTTTATTTTAAATCGACCAAGAAAAATGCCAAAAAGAAATTTGACTTCAAAAAATTGTTTTGGGGAAATTTAAATTTCCCGCCCTTTTTTATTAGTCATTGTGTCAAACCCAAATTTTTTAAATTTAAAAATTTCAGATTCCCTCCCCTTTGTCTTTTTCAAAAATAATTCCACCTCATGTCTTATTGCCAGGTTTTAAAGAATATTAAAAAATTACTGTAAGCTTTCAAATTTTTTTAAATCTCCCCCCCCTGGGTATCAAAATTTTGTTTAACCCCTTTATCTTTTTGACCATTTTAGTAAACGAAAACCCTTTTTTATAATTTTACAGAAAATGATTTCCAAAAAAAAAGGGCTTTTGTTTTGGCCGGCAATGGGGAACTTGGGGTTTCTATCGGGGTTCCGTGAGGGTTTTTCTGTTGTTTGAGCCTGGGTTTTCATCTGAAACAAAAAATATAAAAATCCCATAAAAAATATTTTGCTCAAAGAACTTTACATAATGTAAGTATGAACCCAAAGCCAAATTAAAAATTTTTTTTTAATATTTTAAAAGTAAAAAAAAAAATATTTATCTTTTCCATTAAAAGCACATTTATTAGCACGGTATTAAACCCGGGGGGAAGGCCACGAAAACAATAAAAACATTGGGGTTGGGAAAAACCAAAGTTTCCCCCAGTAAAAACCCCACTTTTTATGGGTTCCCAAAAATAGAAGTGGGTTTAAAGATGTAAACATTATTTAATGATGTACAATTTTTGACTAGTTATTTTTATCATAACCCTTTTTCAAAATTATCATTTGAATAAAGTTTATATTTTTCAGATTACCCCCGATCTGAAAAAAAGGGGTATTTTATTTTTGGAAGGGATATTTTTTATGTTTAAAAACATTTTAAAAAACCCCTTCATTTTTCAGTGGTTTTGGGGAACCTTTTGTTTTTCCAAAATGGTGGGGAAAGATTTTTGGATCAAGAGGGGGGTTGGCAACCTTCTTCGAGTATCGTGTCATGGACGTCGTTCATCCGGATTGGAGGGGTGGTTAAATTTTCCCAAAGCATTTTTTTAGTACTCAATACGAAAAAGTTTCATTTATAAAAAAAAATTGTTTTGCATTTTTTTTTGAGATAATACTTTAGAAAATTTGTAAACAAAAATACATCCCGGTTATCTTTTCACCATCATTTTGTTGTCATAATTTTAAAAAGAAACAGAAAATGCAGATTTTAAATTAAACCCCTTTTAGGGAAATTTTTTGTCATTAAAAAAAGTCAAAAAAATGCAACGAAATACCGGTTTGTTTTGGGCAAAACCCAAATTTAAATCTTTTTTTTACTTTTAAAAAAGTAAGAAAAAGGGGTTGTTGTTTTTTTATAGAACGAATTTTTCGCCCGGATGATTTGACCCCAGGAAAAGGGTTTTTCTTTTTGATGGCTTTCAAGCGTCTCATCTCTGTTTCTGAAAGGGAAATTTGGGTCCAATTGACCCCTTAAAACGTTAAAATTTTGAAATTTTGTTCATATAAAAAAAGGTTTAAAAGACTATAATCGGGTTATTTCTTTTTTATATTGATGGTTTTTGGTTTTTTTGCTTGTTTTTTTTGTTTTTGTTTTCCCACATAGATGCTATATAGTTAATGGGGACTGGAAAAATAATTTTGGTTTTTTAAAGAACAACCGGGGGATTTTAAATTTTTGATAAACTTAAACCCTTTTTTAAAAAGACAAATGAGCCCCAATGGCCCTTTTGGATTTATGCCTTATTGTTAAATTGGTTTTTCCAATTTAACAAATTTAAATTTTTAAAAAAATTAAATTTATTTCAATTCTTTATTGTTAAAGCCTTGGGAAAAAAGAGTTTTTAATTATAAATTTTTCCCTTCTTATAACAGGGTGCCCCCCAGTGACATTTTTTGCTAGAGTTTAAAGGTAGGGGAAAAAGGGACCCCTTTTAGAAGGGTTTACGGTAATAACAAAGCATGGACTTTTGTCCTTTTTTTAAAAAAATTAAAAAAGATTTTTTTTTAAAAAGTGGATTTTAAAATTTTTCATATGATGTAAATAAACCCTTTTTTTGCCCCGATTTTTGTAAAAAATTTTATTTCATCCTTAAAAAAATAAATTGGGTTTTTTCTGAATTCCCAAAAAATAATAAAGGGAACAGTCATTTTTTCCCGCACAAAAAAAATGCAAATTAAAAACTTTTTATTTTATTTCTTCTAAAAAGAAGTGTTTTTAAATGTCAAAAAATTTTCCCCTGTGACTGCCCCAAAACAATGTAACTCCCCGTCCCCTTTTTTTATCAATTTTTGAAGAAAAATTTAAATTTTTGGTTTATTTATTAAAAATTTTTTTTTATTTACAAGATTGAATATTTTAATTTTTTTCTTAATTGGTTTTTCCCTTTCGATTTTTTGAGTTATCTTTAGAAAATTTTTTTTTTGGCAATTTCTGGGCACACAGACTTTTTCTTGGCCCCGATGCAAACGGGGAATCCCTTTATTTCTATTTAAAAATGAAAATTTTATTTTTACTTATTTTGACTTTAAATGGAAGTTTTTTTCTAAAATGTGCACATTTTTATTTAAATTTTTTTTTTTCCCCCTTTTTTATACAAAATTTTTTTTATTTTAAAATGTTTTCCAAATTTGGTTGGGAAAAAAATTTTTTTTCTAAAACGAAAGGTTTTTTTTTTAATGGGGGGCGTGACCGAAATGGGCCCTTTCGCGGGCGATTAGTTTAAACTAAGGGGTTTGCCGACCGCATGGGTTTAAAAACCCGGGCCCCGTCAGGGGGGAAGGGCGTTGTTTCCTTTAGCAAAAAAACCCTTTTCATTTATTGCTTGTAAAGGTTGATTCCAGGGAAGGAATTTAAAAGTGTTTTTTAATAAGCTTACAGCTTCCAACACAATCAAAAAATTTATAAAAAAATTTTTGTATTAAAAATTTAAAATTTTTTTTTTTTCGCAACCCAAATTTTAATACCCTTATATTGTTATGAATGTAGAATTAAACGCATTCCAAACCGCTTATTTAACAAATAAATTTCTTTATTAACTTTTTTGTTTGCCCATGGTCCTTTTTCCCTTTGGGTTTTTTGAATTTTTATTGTTTAAAAAAAAATGCCCGCAAGGGTCAAATTAAGAAAAAACAAAAAACTGGGGAGACGACATTGTTGGGGGTTTAGGGAAAATTGGGTTTTTCCAGATGGGTTACCCAACCCGTTTTATGTAAAAATATTAAAAGAGGAAGGCAAAGAAAAAAGTTGACCCCAGTCTAGAATTTAGAAGATCCCCCCGGCTCGGACAAAGGGGAAAATTCCCAAACTGAATATGGGTTAGTTAACTTACAGAAATATGTTTTACATTATGGTCTTATGACGAAAAGCGTGAAGCTTTTTATCACTCGTTTTGAATGCTCCAGAAGACAATGAAGTTGTTTTCATTGGAACTGCTGACATAAATCTTCAAATATTTTTAAGCTGAAATGTTTTTGTTTGTTTGTTTTGTTTTTTCAAAAAATTTTTCATTTCTACATCACTATTTTATTTAACTAGATACAAATGGGAATATTCCCCGTTTACCGTATACGACAAGTCGGAGAAGAATTTTTGCTAAAGACGGACGTAGGACATTGTTCTTTTACAGACGAAGACGAACCCCAGGGATCAGGTATTGAGTCTTACAATTTATTATACCTTTAAATTTATATTTCAAGGATTTGGGTATAAAATTGGTCAAAAATCCCTTTCGAGAAAAATGGTTTTTATTATCGCTATTCGAACATAATACAAAGATGTGTTGTTGTGTTTTTTCCCGATGAAACTGTCCAAACCTTTATATTGCACTTCACATAGAAAAATGTATTGTATATTGAATCATTGACCTTTTGGAACCAAAAGCGATCAGCCTTTGCCACGAGTATTGAGCCAGGGCAGCTTTCATATCCACGCAGTCTGTCCAATCTTTTTACTGTTGGTAGCTCACTGTTATTTTGTATTTCTATTTGAAATAAACAAATTCTGCAGGTTAAAGTTTAATATATTATCAGAGTGATAACACTCCGCAATATTCAAATATTGTATCCGAAACGCTATAAATCTCTAATGAAGCAGTTTTGAATGGTTGATTAATTTTCTTCTCAATTTTTTAATGCATTTTCTGGAAGAGGGAGAAAAGGGTAAACTGTAAATTCATTTGACACGGAAGTTGGAAATGACAACACTGTAAATGATAAATCATAGGCGATTAGTCTGTATCCAAGATGTATGAAAGTAATAAAATATGCTAGTTGGAAAAGAGTGTCAGTTTTTTACAGTTTCAGACAGACAATGGTTATAGATGCATGTTGTAGAAATATAATACATCAGAAAATAAAGCAGTAACATGTACACTTGATAACTGTAAAGTTATTTGAAATATTTCTTTAGCGTCCGTACACAGTGATATTATTCCCGCCCCGGAGAGTGATAACTGGGTTATTGGTAACACGGAGTTCCACGGATATTACCGAGTGAACTACGACGAAAGGAACTGGAATTCACTTATAAACCAACTTATCAGAGATCCTACGGTAAGAAAAAGTATTCAGTTTTTAAAGATAGAACACTAATGCAACATATTTATCGTTTTAAAAGATAAATAAGCAGCAGCATGTCTTTCTTGAGCTGCCTTTACAATTGTTCGCTCGCTTAACCCTTAAGTATTTGTCTTTGAAAGTGCTTTCCTAACCTTGAGATTATCAGCGATGTATATACTTGAGATTATCAGTGAAATTTATTCATATAGATTAGTAATATTTTGCGATTATCAGCGATGTATATACCTTGAGATTATCATTATTGTATATGCTTTAGATTATCAGTGAAGTTTATTGATTGAGATTAGTAATGTTTATACCTTGAGATTATCAGTGATGTATATTTCTTGAGATTATCATTATTGTATTTGCTTGAGATTATCGGTGAAGTTTATTGATTGAGATTAGTAATGTATATTCCTTGAGATTATCAGCGATGTATATACTTGAGATTATCAGTGAAGTTTATTCATTAAGATTAGTAATGTATATATCTTGAGATTATCAGTGATGTATATACCTTGAGATTATCATTATTGTATATGCTTGAGATTATCAGTGAAGTTTATTGATTGAGATTATAGTAATGTATATACCTTGAGATTATCAGCGATGTATATACCTTGAGATTATCAGTGATTATCAGTGAAGTTTATTAATTGAGATTAATAATGTTTATACCTTGAGATTAAACTTCAGGTTAACGAAATACCTTGAGTTTTTTCCCTAAATTTCAGATGATTAATCCATTAAACAGAGTACAGATTATAAATGATGCCTTCAGCTTTGTTAGGTAAGTAGGTTGTCTGAAATTAATTTCCATTGATAAACTTAATGTAGACGTTGTATTTAAGTTTTATTGCTTTGCTTTTTCTTTTCAGATCAGGAGAACTGAATTTAAACACAGCGTTGAAGATTCTACAGTATATAAAGAAAGAAAGAAGCTATGTTCCATTTAGTAAACTTATGAAAGAAGTTCAGTTCATGGACAAGCTGCTGAAAAATCAACCAGTTTATGGGAAGTTCCAAGTAAGTCACGTGAGAGTATTCCACTGTCCATTTTAGTACATACAATTTCATTGATTAAAGAAAGAAAGAAAAAAAGAAAGAAAGAAAGAAACCCACAAAACTTCAAGTACCAATTTTGTCAAGTCAAGATAAAAGGTTTTATTAGTCTGCTAAAATTAATTTATGTCAAGTATTGAAGAAAATTTAATTGCCGACCATGAACATATTGGGTAGTAAATGTTTCAACAACATGTATAAAATTATGTCTTTTTAATGATGTTTACCATTAAGGGGCTCATACCTTAATGATATTTCTCGTGTAACCTACGTAGATAATGACTGTTAGTCGTATATAGTTATTTTAGATCTTTGCCCAATAAAAATGTTTAGGCAATTGTTTATTTCAGAAATTCATGAAAGACTCGTTGAAACAGTTGGTTACTGAGTATGGTTTTAATGACGACGGGACGAACTATATCGCATCGTATGTGACTCTATTATTTGCAGACTTTATTTTACTGATAAGTTTCCTTAAAAAGTTCCTCTTTCTCTGATAGAGATGTTGAGCCAGTAATGATTGTGAATTACAGAATTTCAAATTCATCTCCATTCATTAGAGGTAGTGCACCATTTAATTTACTTAGCAGACTTGCTGGGGAAAAAACCTTAAAAAACCCAGATAATCAAAACACAGCCTTTTACCATTGATTCAATTAATATTGCGGAAAGGTCAATTGTTTTCATTGTGTTAAAATACATTTCCGTATGGAGACTTAAGAAAAAGGAAGTCTACAAGAACAAGGAAGTTTTCATGGGGAAGTAATCTAAATAAATATTTACATAAATTAGCTAATTGCCATACAATTACCACGAAGTAAATAATGATAAAGAGCTTTCACGAGGGGAATAATATAAAATTGCCTACTCGTGTTATCAGAAAAAAAAGTCATATACATGTCTGTTTATTTTATTTTTCAAGTCATATGCGAGGAATTGCGTTAAAGTGGGCGTGTTATTACGGGGTTGAGGCGTGTACAACACAGGCACAGCAACTGATGTCAGACTGGATGGCAAACCCATCAGTAAAACCGTAACATATATTACATGATCTAGTCTCATGATGAAAATTTTAGTTTTGTAAATCAATTATACCTTCCTGAATTTTAAATCTAACGATAACAATGATAAAAAGCACAGTTGTTGGATCTTTGCATATCTATTTTCATGTAAGCAAGATGGACAAGTTGACAGTAAATATAATTATATAGCAAGAATTTCTCATTTCAAAGGATAAGTAAATACCCAAAATTTGCTCCATATAATATAAAATAGAGTAAATCTGTATAAAGCCTGTCATTTCCAACACTACAATTTATTAATGTATTTTTAAACAAAAACTTATATACATGTATCAATATGTTTAGACAAGGAATCAACCCGGAAGTATCAGAAACAGTTTATTGTACGGCTGTGAGGTATGGGGGAGAAACAGACTGGAATTTTGTCATGGAAAAGTTAATGGTGGAAAATGTGGAAACTGAGTCACATAAGTTACTTAAAGCTCTCACGTGTACATCTCACAAATGGTTAAAGGCAAAGTAAGCACTAGTGTGTTCTTCTCATCAGATGAAAATCTTGGGCTCAGTGCTACAAGGGCCAGCCATTTCTGACTTATGAGACACATTTTGCTTGCATACCATGTACCTCCCAACTCCTACCAATATGCCAGGTGCCAGGCGGATAGAAATCGGTAGCCATTCATTTTAACTACCTCGCGGCTCACGAAGCGGTGATTTCGGAACGAGTCCCAAGAGAAACATTCATCCTTCAATTAACGCTCCCCTTGGGGCTCGAACCTTCGACCTCCCGATCCGAAGGCGGACGAACTTTTATACAAACTGGTTTTTTATACAAACTGGTTGAAGATACATATGTTGAGATATAGAAAAGATGTTTACTACATGCATAGTTTTTGTTTGTGTTAGAGAAGTTTTTAGGAGAATCTCGGTTTTATATTGTGTTTCTACTTTTTTATATAATTATACTCTGCACATTTATATTCATAAACAACATAAATATGTAGATCTAGTATCCATTATTAATATTTCAATCAGATGCCGATCTATTTTCATTTCACTTTAAAATAATTTAATAAAATACCCTCCATTATCCTGTTATTACATGAGTTATCATATGATATATTGTAGGATGTTGAAGTCTATTTTAAATGCTGACATTATCCCACATCCACTAGTATATCGGGCAACAATGTATGCAGGTCATGCTTTCCCAGAACAAACGTGGGATTTCTTCAGAAATCACTATAACGACCTATTAGAGAGGTAACATAGAAATAATTATGTCATAATTTTACACCAGGGTGAAGGTTTTCTTTCTTTTTGTTATATTTTGTTATATAATTATGTAAGCAAATTGTTTAACTTATTCCCTGCGGTCTGGAGACCGCAGGGTATTGGTACGCGTTTAACTTTTGAGGCATGGAGGAGCACGTGACCTGTTTTCGGTACATGGAGGAGCATGTGATCTGTAAACCGTACATGATTGGTTAATTGACCTTTTCGAAAACCTGGCTAAATACCGTTTGCCGGTACGTTACGGATTTACCTCTTAGCCAGGCGGATAGAAATCGGTAGCCATTCATTTTAACTACCTCGCGGGACTCACGAAGCGGTGATTTCGGAACGAGTCCCAAGAGAAACATTCATCCTTCAATTAACGCTCCCCTTGGGGCTCGAACCTTCGACCTCCCGATCCGAAGGCGGACGAACTTTTATACAAACTGGTTTTTTATACAAACTGGTTGAAGATACATATGTTGAGATATAGAAAAGATGTTTACTACATGCATAGTTTTTGTTTGTGTTAGAGAAGTTTTTAGGAGAATCTCGGTTTTATATTGTGTTTCTACTTTTTTATATAATTATACTCTGCACATTTATATTCATAAACAACATAAATATGTAGATCTAGTATCCATTATTAATATTTCAATCAGATGCCGATCTATTTTCATTTCACTTTAAAATAATTTAATAAAATACCCTCCATTATCCTGTTTATACGTGAGTTATCATATGATATTTTGTAGGATGTTGAATTCTATTTTAAATGCTGACATTATCCCACATCCACTAGTATATCGGGCAACAATGTATGCAGGTCATGCTTTCCCAGAACAAACGTGGGGTTTCTTCAGAAATCACTATAACCACCTATTAGAGAGGTAACATAGAAATAATTATGTCATAATTTTACACCAGGGTGAGGGTTTTCTTCCTTTTTGTTACATTTTGTTATATAATTATGTAAGCAAATTGTTTACCTATTATTTTTATCACGTTCATGGCCCGCCCTTGCTTGCAATGCATTGTGTAAGAATAGCAGAAATATGTATTTTTCAGGTCATAATCAATTTGAAGGATATCTATAATTATAACAATTATAATGTAAAATATGGCAGTTTGTCTGGTATCTGTAGATCTAAGGTCATTTCTATTGGGAGTGTTTTGTATACAAAATAATTTAAACTTCTACCAGAACTAAGAGATTCCAATTTAAGTTCTGATTGTTTAACTCACCGTGGTCTAAAAGAACTAAACTATCATATCTGACCCATTAGGGGAGAACAGCTAAGAACCCAAGTTAAAATGAAGGTTCCATTCTCCATTAGATGAAAAATTTTAAAAATGTACGTATAGGTTAGAGTGCATATTGGGTGTTCTTCGTAAATAAGAAAGCTAAAAAGGAGCGGAGCTTGCGAAGCGACTGTAGCTTTCTTATTTACAAAGAACATCCAATATGCACTCTAACCGGCTTAGTGCTCCATCCACTTGCGTTTTATAATATAAAACGTCCAGTTTATATAAAATCTGTTCTATTAAGATTTGAAACCTGAAAATTTGAAAAATCCTCGTCGGTGATTGGCTTAAAAAAATTGGCGAGCACTAATTTTGAATATCTTTGTATCCATACATGTGTTGAAAGTATTACCTTAAAAATGTTTGTACACCATTCCAATAAAGTACGCAAAACTGACGAGCATTTATACAAACTACAAACATCTTTAAAGACTACTCCTTTAAAAGTATGGGCGAGAGAGAAATCTAATTCCAATAAACTTTAAAGATCAATGAATACAATCTTATTTTAGAGTTGGAATAACGTGGTTTGGAAGATTGCTTAAGCAAGTTGTTGGTGCCTTTAACACACAACTGAGGCACGATGAGGTAAATATACTAAAATCCACATGTTTACCTATTTTTATTTCCGGTAAATTGCTTTACAACATTGGTAAAATGTTCAAACGTTTTAATATACTAGTACATGTATTCTTAAAGTGACATTATGCTCATTTTTTTCGTTGTCAACGTTATGTTTAATTAAGAGTACCACTAAATTTCAAAAGATTGACCAATAATTGTCTATGAAAATGATTATAATACAATATATCAACTATCTAAATTATAAAAAAAAAATTCCCCACTTTTTTATGAGTTCAACGTTATCGGCACATTCTGAAAAATATTTATAGAAAATTCCATTGATCACTTTACTTGAATTGTTGATTTTTTTCATAGCAAAATATAAAATTGAAGACAATTATGGCAATAAGTCAAGTTACTTTTCATTTTTATCACTCAACATTTACACTTGGATGTCACTTTAAGTTGTATAATTTTCTGCAAAACGAAAAAGAATGTTTAGGAAAAGCAAATAAAAGTTGCAAACAGAAGCCATTGCCAGTCAAACAGTACATTCCGGTTCTTGATTCTGGTGTTAACATGGCAATGAGATCATTATTTACAAATTTTTTTTTGTATGTTCACTGAAAAAGTGAATATAAGTTAATGAAAACACTCGTTGTTATATGAAGTAGTGAATGATTTAGAACGGTGTTATATTATAACCATAGTAAAGATGTTCTCTAAATGTAACAATTATGTTACAGTTGGTTCGACTTGGTGAAAGTAAAGGTGATGAGAAGAATGCCGAACATGATATTGCAGTAGAACTTGTAAAAAACAACATTAAATGGATGAAAAATGTCGACCTTGTAGAATCATGGCTGAAGGGACTAGGATACTAACGGCGTACAGAATTATAATTTCAAAAAAAAGTAGTTTATGGCCGGTACCGACATATTTTAGAAAGTAAAAAAATACCTTTAAGACATTATATGATGCTCGGAAAGTAAATGCACGACGAATTGCTTCAGCAGGCAAATTGAAAAGGCATTGATAATACATGTTGAATCATATTATGAAACAGTTGATGCTATGAAATCTACCAAAGTTCTAAACTTTGTTTCAAATGACGCTAAACTCAGAGGGAAATCGGTGACAAAGCATAATTATGCTGTTATATATCTATGTTCCTATATATTTTTACACACATTTTTACGCATATTTTACAAGACTCATAATCAGATTATTATACATGTATATCAATTTATGTAGTAGCTTTAAATTGCGAATATATGTTATTTTGCTTGCACAAGTTCTATAAGTATGTTAATTAAAATGTAAAATGTTTGTATACGATTGTTATATCCTACTCTTCTTTTATTCTTCAGTAAACCCTATTTCGATACGAATTCTTTATTAAAATAGTAAACATTACCTGTATAAAAGAAAAGGATGAGCACCATCCCCTCAATGTTGATGAGCAGTGAATAAGAAACTAACTCATAAATTACAAATACGCTCGTAATGGGGCAGTTAAAACAGAAAGACACGGTGCTTATTATCAGTTTGAAAAAGTTTTTTCATACCCGTTACGCAAATGAATGCGCAGATTTTATCTTCCAAATGGAAAGTTAAATACTGTGCCAAGTCGATTTGTAAATGAAATGAATGTCAAATAGATTTTCCTGATGTTCAGAGTTGGGTCAACTCGTCATATGACCCATGATTTCACCCTTCATTCAGACAATTTATATGTTAACTGGTAGAATTATCAGCTGTTCCTGATATACTTAGTAAACTCCTGTATCAATTTGTGAACATTTCGACAATTAAAGAACAACATTCTGCACCGTTTGACTATTCAGCATCTAAATATTTCATTACATCGGGAATTCCCGTGTTTGCGTGTGATATCACTTCGTAATATTACAGCTTATTATGTTTTTGCTGAGCATATTTGAAAACAATTAACGCCAAACAGGTCACGATAAATAATAAAACTGCTCATTTAATCAAAATCACACATTTATTCTGCAATAATATTAACCCTTATGCACATTTTAATAATTTCATCATAATATTTATGTATCGGTTCAAGAAGTGAAAACGTTATGTCAAGTGTTTGTCTTCATCCTTGTACATTGTTATAAGGTTTTATCTTCGTGCCGGATCAACATTAAATCACTCATTAACTTTACATTCAGAATCATTTCTTGAACATCAAACCATATGTTTTCTTTCGCGAACAAGAAGAGGAAGATTATTTTTGTTACAAGTTTTTATAATTTTCGCAGAGCACTTGAACTCTTCAAGATAATCGTAAATAAGTGTTTGCTAGACACAAAGAAAGTCTGAGAACAACATTTCCAAAAGGCCAGATGATCTTTTAAAAATGTCAATATCAAGACTCATTATACATAACACTTCCTACATCGCATTGGAAAATAACTGAGCGAACAAGTTCCTTATTGCAACACAAACCTGTTTACATGAAACATACTTATATCTTTGTATGAAAAAAGAGGCTTAGATCTACTGAATGTGATAAATCACACGCCTTTTTGCCTTGTGACTGAAAATGCTTTTCAACCCTACAATAAATAATGTCATCAAAATTATATGACAACATTGACAATAAATAAGCAATATAAAGTATCCGGCAGAATCTCACATTATCAGTCAAAACGTTGTAAAACCACATCATGCTAGAACAAATAAACGCATCAGGACACTACACAACTATAATTTCCACTTTTTCGTTTGGCATGCGCCTTCTGTTTACTCTGATCAGGGTCTGTTGTCACGACGACACTTTGGAACACACCTTTTATTCCAATCATATTAAGTGCGGAGCATTCCACATACTCCTTGGCACCAAGACGCTTGGCTAGTTTTATTCCTTGTAGCAATGATGTAGGCTCTATTCCTTGTTGTTTAAGAGCGCCCATAATTTCTTCATTTTCTCGAAGATCTGTTTTTGTTCCCACAAGAATAAAAGGTGCACCAGGGGTTAATTCACTTATTTCATTCAACCAATTATCTTTGACATTTGCAAGCGTCTGAGGATCTGTTACACTGAAGCAGACGAGAAATATATCCGAATTTGCCGCAAACACTTCCCGTAATGAACGGTAATTTTCCTGAAATTACGGGATGATATTTTAAATTTATACAAAAATATATCATAAGTTCAAAAAGAACAAATAAGATAACAATCAGGAAATAACATGAGTAGTTTATAGTTTTCCGGTATGTACTTTGATTTTGGTTTACTTCAAAGAAACTCCGAAATAGATATAGATCAAGATAGTAGGATGTGTCTTGGTACGATAATAAAAATACATGATTGCCAAATCTTGTAAAAACAAAAGTGTACACATGAAACATAAAAGTGACTAGATATATGCATATCTATCGTTACAAGTTTCATGTTTGCCCTGTCTAAAAACGAAATATGTTTTCGTTTCTGAGGCATGACGGGCCTTTAATTTTAGAGAATAACATTAAAATTATGGTTAAAACTTCAAAATACATTTGTTTGTAGGCTTCAAATTTAAATAAAAAAAAGGATTTAGTTTAAAGGGTCTTGATTTGAAAATAAAAAGATGTATAAATAAGTGTATGCAAGACTTTTTCTGTTTCATTGATGATAAATCTCACCCATGCAGTTACAGTGTATAAAGCTCTATATCTGCTGCAAAAATATATTATTCTGGTTTTGAAAAATAATGCTTTCAAAATGCTTGTATGAATAAGATATTGTATTATATTGCTTAAAAAGAATTGGTGCATGTTATAAACCATTGCTAAATGGTTAAACCCCCTACTTAAAATAGCAGCATATTTTTTTGTTCCGGAACATTTTATTCTGTTTACGAACAATATTGTACACAATATTTGTGTCAAATAACAGAGATGTTTAATGATTCAAGAATCGATCATAAAATTATGGAAATAATATAATTTTACTATTATTAAATGTTATGAAACTATTTCATAAGATGTAGATTTATACCCTAATCTGATAGAATAATGCACTGAAAGAGTGCACTTATGTTTCGGCTGGGGGTAAAACACAAGAGATGATATTTCTTTATTGGTCATAAATATCCTTTGATCCATCACAATATTTTACTAGCCAGGTTTAACACACGTGGTCGGGATTGTCAACAAATTAGGACCTCTTAAAAGGGGATAGTCAATCAATTAAGATTGGTAAATATTGTTGGTTTGTTGTGCGCTGACAATTGTTGGGATAAGTGTGCCTTGATGTTTTTTATCAATTAAAATTGTTAAAGTGCACGTAGTCGAGTGCAAGTCCTTAAATTGTGGTGTACACGGCATAATATTTCAATCTTAAAAATATTTAACTAACCTACATATGAGAGTATAATAATAATAATACAAATGATAGAGATATGACTAATTACTTGATTTTGGTGACTATACACGTCTAATTATTGAAAATTTGAACAATTATGGTGAATAATTATGCTAAAACATACAGTGCCAATTGTGTCGGTTAGTCCAAGTTCGATTGTACCATCTTCTGTTTCCAAAGTAACCGGTACTTCAAACGATCCTTCGCTACCAACTGAAATGGAAAATAAAGAATATTTGGTGAAAAGCAGTTTGGAACGTATACCACTGACAAATCTCGAATCACTTACATTTCGTCGATGTGGGTTCAAATCCCTCTAGTGACAATGCCTTTTAAAATAGAAAACATATATAGATAGTATATGCACAAAGCGTCTGAAGTCTTACCAAATTTCACTTAAACGTCTTCAATAACATATAGATGGGCTCTTTTGCGAGTTCTTCTCTCAGACAAGCCGGAAGTCACCTTATTACTTTAACAGTGTCGGAGTGACTTAGAACTCTTCATTCTTATGGCAATTTCCTTTCAGTACTGTTCAGCCAACATAGCGCTTGAAAATGATTTCTTCATACATGATATAGAACTATATAATGACATTTAAAACTGTCAATATTAATTTGTAATATGAAAAAAAACTTAATACACTATATATACATGTATAATGCTTCAGCGTTTTTATTGTTGTTTGGAACAGAATCAATTAAGAAGAATATTGAACATTTTCCCATTGCTGTGTGCCCTCTTTATAAAACAACTAACTGTACAACAAACCACATTCACAAGTATTTAGCATATTTACAATCAAAGTGCAATGGATTTGCCTTCCTTTGAATTTGGAACAATCCAATCATTGTTTCGGGGATTTCAACATCAAAATAAAAATTAAGCTACCACTAATATAACGCCTGGTCAGGCTTCACGGATGTGCTGGCTGGCCTGGCTCTATACTGATGGAAGAGGCTGATCACGTTTGGTTATAGCAGAAATAGGGTAAAGTCCCGTTGATAAGTGTAACGCATTAGTCGTTAGTTAAAACATATACATATATATTATTGACGATTGATAGATAGATATTTAGCTTAATCGAAATACTTAGTGCATGCCTCCAGGAAAATTTGCATAATTTAAATCTTGTATCATGATCATGCATATACAGTTTATACATTTCAGTTAGGTGTCATGTAGGTGAAAAGTTGCCTTTTTATACTCTATCGTGTTGTGGTTTAAATGAAAATATTACGACTAAAGAAGAAAATCTCAAATCTGTCACTGTGGTACAAAAACCAACAAAAACAAACCATAAAAAAAACAAATACAAAAAACACTAATATATTTTAACATTCACTAAATGAATATGAAAGAATTGAGCATGACATTCATTTATAGACTTACCCCTTACTGTTCCTTTTGAATTTTCAAACAAACTTTGACAGCATATATCTTCGTCGGGAAATTTATTATTAGCAAATGCCATCAGCAAACAAGTCTTGCCGACGCCACTATCACCGACCACCGAGACTTTCACCTTTCGTTCATTGCCATCTGAAATACGGCTGGTATCAGTTTCTTCCATCATATCTCTTAATGTTTAATAAACAAGTAAAGAAAAATAAAATATAGAAGTAAATCCAGGCGGAATTGATTAGAAAGAATATCCTTCATCCACGCCAACAGTCCAACTTCATCACTTTAAACCATTTTTAATCCTATTAATTTTCATAGTGTGTCCTTTTACCAAGACTTCGAGACTCAGTTAAAGTGTATCCACAAAGTTTTCAACACTGCCTCTTTAAAGCTTCATATAATAATAATCGATGACTATTATTGAAAGCTGAATATTGCGCCTTGTTTCAGAGTGACTTCCTTAATAACTTATAACCGGATTTTGTCTCTATATAAAAGCGGTGACATTTGCCTATGAGGACTTAAGTGGTGTAATTTCCGTAAATTATACACCGAGGTCTTTATCTACGATTGCAAATTATTTCAGAATGCATTTGATACGAACTTATCGAGAAGAAAAAAAAATGTTGATGATAAAAATGACCACAGTTATAGTCTATCGAAATTAGTTCATTAATTTATAAATAAATACATGTACGATAAACTGTTTTGAAACATCTGAATATATTACGTTACACGCGCTCTAAGTGTGATGAATCATGTGGGTCACGCCTGTGGTTTGTTACGGATGTTAAAGTGTGTTTAGAAAACGAAATGACGTTATATCTACACTCCAAATTGGTCCGAATCACGCTTCTCTATCTGGAACGATAACTTGACCTGGAAGATGATTGCTGGTATAATATCTGACGTAGTTTGGACATTTATATAAAGAAATTAAATCATTTGAAGTGTTGCTATAAATATCGTCAAATTCGAACGATAATAATCGTATTGTTATTTCTCTGCGGGATATTTGGAATCTAATAAATAAGAATTTCACTGTTAATACTTTTAACCCCTCTATGATTTCTGCACGATCAGTATGCATTGTCACGCGCTATAAAATGACATATTAATAGTCATCCAAGGTTTATGTCAGTCGAATGTGAATAACAGCGTTCCAAAATGTGCCTAAATTTTTCTAAGATTTAAACGGAAAAAAACGTAAGTTTCGATGTGAAAATATTTTATAGAAATAAACTGCTGAACGTAGACGTCATCAGCCGATTACCCATCTGTCACTGGATGTTTCGCCCCTTATCTCGGAACACCTCCTCTACATGGTTGAGCAGGTAGTGTTGATCAGGTACTACCTCGTCTACGATGGCTGACAGGTTGGTTCATTGCGTCTTAGCCAGAGCCAACTGGACGCTCTCTCTGCAGCCTTGCCAAGAGCATGTGCTGCCGTTTCCCGGGCTCCTCCTTTAATGCCCAATGCTCCTAGCATTTTCCAAACTGACTGTGATGGAAACCTCTGCAACCAACTTCTACTGGGAAGACCCCCTGTCTTTCGAACGTTACCTGAACCATTACCTACTTTTAGCTTCCTGATTATATATACATGTACATGCACTTTACAAATAAGATTCTTATTTATGCACATAGCAAAACACTCTAACCGTATCTATTTAGAAAAAAAATAAGATAGAGGAATGAGTTTTCGGATAGGGTATATTTAACAACATTTTTTAAAAAAAATATAATCATACTAACATTTATAACATAAGATTTCTTTAAAATTGAACATGTTAGTGTTGTGAAGGCTGACAGAAGTATCGGACATGGTAAGAAAATACAAGTATTGTAAACTATAAACAAACACAGATCTTAAATTGATATCACAAAGTTCAAATTTGTATCTGAAATGGTGCATGTGTAAAAACTTTACTGGTTGCTATTGCTAAGGGAAAAAAACAGTTACATAAGATGTCACTGGTTGCCATACAAAATAAATGGATTCCTTGGAAGTCGGTGTCTGCCATGAAATTCAATGGTAGATTCATTTGTTGCTATGGAAAGTTAATGTTTGCTATGGAAGTCATTGGCTGCTATAAAAATAAACAGTTTGCTATAAAAAGTCAATGGCTGCTATGAAGTCACTAGTTGCTATGGAAACTAAGCTTTAGCTCTTGTAAACTTAGTGAAGAATTTTAACTATATACATATAAGGGAAATCTATGTTCCCCGGGGCGGGACAATTTTGACCAAAGAGCTGTAATTTGAAATATGTTGTAGAGGTCCACCGAACAATGTTTCATATCAAATATCTAAGCTAAAGCCTATATATTATAATAGAAAAAGATTTTTTTTAATTTACTTTACACATATAAGAAAAATCAATGACCCCTTGGGGCCAATTTTGACCCTAGGACTTTTTTTTGAACAAACTTGGTAGACACCCATTAGATGTTTCATGCTTAGCTTTTTGGGTTTCCACAAGAAGATTTTTTAACTTTTTACTATATACATATAATGAAAATCAGTAATCCCCTGGGGCTAGCCAATTTTGACCCCAGGGATTTAATTGAACAAACTTGGTAGACTCCCACTAGTAGATGTTTCATGCAAATTATCTAAACTTTAGCTATTTGGGTTTTTTAAAAGAAGATTTTTTAAGTTTCTTTTCTTTCAGTTTCCATGGCAAGCAGAGAACAATTTTCAAAGGTATCCACCCAAGATATTCCAGTGAAGTTTGGATGAAATTGGCTTTGCAGTTTTTTAGGAGATGTTGTTTAATGAAAGTAAAAAGTTTACGGACGGACTGACACCAGAAGAATTGTGATCACAAAAGCTAACCTTGTCACTCTGTGACAGGTAACTAAATAGGGATATAACTATGTCAAAATGCTATTTAAGAGTTGGAAACTTGGCCAACTGCACTCAATATAGCTTCCTGCAGACTATGTTCTGTAGAGAGAGACTGGAGGATACTGATAGCATATTGTCTTTAATGTAGCTGCTTCAATTTAAAAGTTTTTTAATAGTTAAATGAAAATGTAACAACAAGATAATTCAGTGGCAAAGTTTCTTTATTTTCTCATTTGAAATAATAATTACATACATGGCAATGAAAGAAAAACACACAAACAAGTTTAACATATAAAGTAGTTCGGACAAGTAAAGCAATGTAGTTAACTTATTGCACAAGAATACATAAAACGTCTTCTAATCTCCTTGTCCAGTGTAAAACAAAATAGACCATCCTAGATAAAGTGTAAAACATAACTTACCTCACTAACTCACAACATCTAAATAAATGCATATTTCTTTTGTAACATGTAAGGAAATAAATATCATAATATATAAAGCAATCAACAAAGCAGTCGTGTCTGCATAAAACATATATAACATAAGTAAAAAGAATAATTTGTCAACCTAAACCTTTATGCAAAGAAAAATATTTTTCAAGTTAATTCATTGGAAGGAAAGTACATGTACAATATCATATCAACTAGAAAATGTCATAGGTCATGGTTTTATAATCTGCTCTGTGTATTTGTTTAAGTTAATAAGAGCACAGTGTGTTTTTTTATTGATTATTTTCTACAATGCAATAATATTTTCTGGTTTGGGCACAAAAAGCAAAATGCCACTGTCCTGAAGAGTTTGCCTTTCTATAAAAACTGTTTCACATTTCCTTATTGTTACATGTAATTACAAGAAAATTCATAATGCACAATGCACTGTTCATGTATTTGATATTTCATGGACAACCTGATTTTATATGTACAGGAAAAGTAAAATTATTAAAACATCCAAAAATGGTTTCAACAAAAATACATATGAATTATCATTTTTTTTTTCGCATTCAATTACATCTTTTCATAATAACTGAAAACATATAGCGAAAGCTAAGCACCATATCCAATTTACCTAAAAATCTAACAAGATCAATAGTTAAAAATTATATACTTAGTACATGTATAATAAATGGTTCTGATAATGAATGACCACTCTTTCGATGTCCCAAGGTCTTTAAAATATAAGTTTGAAAGAACATTCATTCACAATGAATTTACAGTATACATGTACTATGAACTACATAGAATAGCAACTGATTTGTTTTTCTATAATCACAAAAGTTCTGTCAGACCAAAATCCAAATAAAATAAATTGTAAGGGAGATAATCTAATTTATACTATTGATGGGGATTTAAAAATTTTTTTTAATTTCCCCTTTCCCCTTTTTCAGCCTAGACTCCAAATTGGGCCCTTTTTTGCTAAAAAAATTTTTTGATGACAATTTTAAAAAACTTTCAACCTTTTTTTGGCCAATTTAATAAAAAAATTTAAAACAAAAAATTTACCATTTTTTTCCCAAAGGGGAACCTGATATTTATCTAACATCGTTAAAAGGTTTTTTAATTAAAACCCAGGTTTTTCTATAAATTTAAAAGGGCTGACCCCTTTATAAACTTTTTTTTATTAAAATTCACAACATGTTATTATCAAATGTATAATAACAAGGTTCTTTAATTTGCATAATTGCATTTTATCTGTATTATTCTTCGAATCTTTCTTTAGTTTAAATGTAACACTGAACTTGACCTTTGACCTATACATTTTTATAGAACAGATTTTACAAGTTTAACATGCTGATGATTACTTTATAAATCAATTATTTTTCAACCTAGAACTTGAACAAGTTCAACCATAGATGCAGCAAGTTCATGTTGTGGATGGTTTTCTGATAGTTGATTTAATGTCTGTGTAACCAGGGCTTGTATATCACTACAGGCTACATCAGGAAATACCAATAACTCTGAATTCTGAAATAAAAGAAAACAAATCAGAAGTGATGTACATCTATGATAAAATACTTAAAAACTAGTTTTTAACTGACAATAAATGTGTTAAGACAATAATATATACCATAAATTCAAAGGCATTTCCACCATAAATGTATTATCGTGTCTTAACATTTTCCATGTTTACTGTCTGTAAAGACTGACATATATATGTATACAATAGTTTTAATTGATTTCTGTTACATATGAACAATGATATTATAACAATGTATTTTTCCAAAATAAGAAACTCATAGGCTAGCCTGGAATTATACTGGTGGCATAAGCATGTTACCATCAAAATCTGCACTCAAACAGTAAGTACTATTGTCCATCATTAAATATATTTACAATGTACAAAATATCACATTTGGAAAAAAGGGTATAAGCCAATGTTACTAGAAAACATACAAATTTTTCATCAAAATTTAAAGAATACATGTAACTATGAAACTATTCGGTACTTTTTTAAAGTGTCTTTGTTATTTCATTCCTTAAACATATATTTTCCTAAGCAGTTACATTTGGTAGATAGATTATTTATTATATAAATCATCCAACAGAAAACTTACCATAGATTTAAGCCATGTAGAGAGGGCAGGGTTTACATTGGACATAAGTTCTACAACCATTTGAGCATCTAGTTTACTAAGTTTATGAGCAACACGCTGTCCTACTATAGACAGGAGATCTTGTCCTAATGTGTCCCTGTCATTTACTGTCACTAACACCTGTAATATACAGACAATAAACCCATATCAAGTCCTTATAATCTACATATTAACTATATGTAACTATAAAACAAAGCATATGGTTTTTAAAAACATTTCAATTTCGTAGTATAGAAGTTACATGCCAAAAAACTGTTTCCATCACTAAGTAACCAACCAGCACTTTTCTCCCTATTCATTGCAAGCCAACAGTTATTTTACAAATTATATACCATAAAATTATTTCTTTTGTTTTGTTTGTTTGTTTTTGGGTTTAACGTCACATCGACACAGTATAGGTCATATCGCTACGTTCCAGCTTTACTGATGGAAGAAGACCTCAGGTGCCCTTCTGTGCATATTTCAGGCACGAACAGGCACCTGAGTAGAACCACCGACGTTCCGTAAGCTAGTTGGATAGCTTCCTCACATGAAAGAATCCAAAGTCCCGGTCGGGATTCCAACCCACAGCGGTGAGGGGCAAGTGATTTGAAGTCAACGACCTTAACCACTCGGCCACGGACGCCCCTATTTCTTTTGTAAAACATTCTGGTGATACTAACATATAATACTTTGTCAATTGTTACATAGATTAGCTATTCACAGATCTAAATTTGAATAGAGATTTCAAACCATTCACAATTTGTAACAGAAATAACATCAAGACTACTTTTAGCAATGAAAAGAATATGAACATACCTCTTCAGCAAGTTTATCAAAGCCAGCTGAATACAGTGTACACACATGATGTCTCTTGACAAAGTCAAGGTCAGTGCCAAACTCCTCAGCTAATTGTAGAACAATATCCGGCCATTTTTCCACGAAATCGGCTTTTTAGGGCCAAATAATGATCGCATTGGCGACACAGGTATTAACTCTCTCATCTTGATCACTGATAGACTTATAATTCTTGTCAGAAACTTGAATAGGAGATAAAATATTGTTTGAAGGTTAGTAGAAATCATAATATTGTTTGATAAATTGTATTTGTACAACCAAACTTTATTTTATCCACTCCTGCAGATGAAATTGTTGCTTTTAATATAAACAGAAGATATGGAATAAGTAGTATGTTCTTTTCAGCATGATGCCACTGGCTACAAAAAACTTTCTATACAGAAAACAGATGAGCCGCATCACGATAAAACCAACATAGTGCGTTTGCGACCAGCATGGATCCAGACCAGCCTGCGCATCCGCGCAGTTTGATCAGGATCCATGCATTTCGCTTACCAACCCTATCACAAGTAGAGAAATTGATAGCGAACAGCATGGATCCTGATCAGACTGCGCGGATGCGCAGGCTGGTCTGGATCCATGCTGGTCGCAAATGCACTATGTTGGTTTTGACGTGACACGGCTCAGATATTCTTTACTGATAAAAATAGTATTTCCTTATTTTTTCCTGATTATAAAAAAGTAATTTAATAGTGATTTAACTAGAAATGTGTCCATAGGACACTGATGCCCCCACACGCCACTGTTCTGTCAATCTTATGACTCTAGGTCAAATATTTTTTGGACTACATGTGCCACAAGTTGAAAACTAAAAATCAACAAAGGGCCATAATTCTGTTAATTTGGTCGCAGCAAAAGAATCCTTCCTTTACTACCATCTACACATTAAGGTTGTTAATCCCTGGAAGTTTAAGCAAATCTACATCCGGTTTAAGAGGAGTTGCGTTCACAAAATTTCTACATTGTTATAAAGTGAAAAAATCAACAAAGGGCCATAATTCTGTTAAATTTGGTCGCAGCAAAAATTCCTCCCTTTACTACCATCAACACCTTTAAGGTTTTCATCCTGTAAGTTTAAGCAAAATCTTGCCATCCGGTTTTAAGAGGAGTTGCGTTCACAAAATTTCTACATAGTATAGAGTGAAAAAATCAACAAAGGGGCCATAATTCTATTAAAATTTGGTCACAGCAAAAATTCCTTCCTTTACTACCATCTACACATGAAGGTTGTTCATCCCTGTAAGTTTAAAGCAAATCTGCCAATCGGTTTAAGAGGAAAGTTGCGTTCACAAAATTTCTACATAGTATAGAGTGAAAAATCAACAAAGGGCCATAATTCTGTTAAATTTGGTCACAGCAAAAATTCCTTCCTTTACTGCCATCTACACATTAAGGTTGTTCATCCTGGAAGTTAAAGCAAAATCTGCCATCCGGTTTAAGAGGAGTTGCATTCACAAAATTTTCTACATAGAATATAGTAAAAAAAATCAACAAAGGGCCATATTCTGTAAAAATTTAGTCACAGCGAAATTCTTTCCTTTACTACCATCTACACATTAAGGTTGTTCATCCCTGTAAGTTTAAGCAAAAAATCTGCCATCCGGTTTAAAGGGAGTTGCGTTGACAAATTTCTATATAGTATCTAGTGAAAAAATCAACAAAGGGCCATAATTCTGTTAAATTTGGGTCGCAGCAAAAATTCCTTCCTTTACTACCATCTACACATTAAGGTTGTTCATCCCTGTAATTTTAAGCAAAATCTGCCATCCGGTTTAAGAGGAGTTGCGTTCACAAGATTTCGGGACGGACTGACGGACAGACGGACGGACGGACAAGTGCAAATATGCTCCCACATTGTGGGGGCATAAAAAGTATAATCAAGTAATGCTAAGTCAACATATGATATGAATTATGACAATACATACCTGTTTTCTCTGAGAGCCTATTGCAGAATCAACATTCTGTGTAGGTAGCAAGGGATGTGCATGCAGGTCTTGAAATAGTGCATGTTTCCCCTAAGAAAAAAAATAAATTTCTTATTGCACAAAAAAACAAAATAGACCTATCACTGAAGGTGATTAATACCCCAACCAGCAACTTTGACTTTTGGAAAAAAAAGTAGTCTGAAGAAAAATTTGAGCACAAACTATCAACAAAGAAATATTTCAATTAATTGTAATCGCAAATGGGGTCTCGAAATAAGCTTGCTATACACCAAGTTTGATTACAATATCTCATTCCTAACTCTTAGTTATTGTCCGGAAACCATTTTTCTATTTTTAATAAAACTGTAACGGTGACCTTGACCCTAGGGGGTCCAAATGCAATACCAACCAAGGTCTTCATATTAGCTTGCTATACACCAAGTTTGATTACAGTATCTCATTCCTAACTCTAGTTATTGTCCAGAAACCATTTTTCTATTTTTAGTAACAGTGACCTTGACCCCAGGGGGCCCAAATGCAATACCAACCCAGGTCTTCATATAAGCTTGCTATACGCCAAGTTTGATAACAATATCTCATTCCTAACTCTAGTTATTGTCCGAAAACCATTTTTCTACTTTTTAGTAACGGTGACCTTGACCTTAACCCCAGGGGGTCCAAATGCAATACTAACCCAGGTCTTCATATAAGCTTGCTATACACCAAGTTTGATTACAGTATCTCATTCCTAAGTCAAGTTATTGTCCGGAAACCATTTTTCTATTTTTAGTAACAGTGACCTTGACCCCAGGGGCCCCAAATGCAATACCAACCCAGGTCTTCATATAAGCTTGCTATACGCCAAGTTTGATAACAATATCTCATTCCTAACTCTAGTTATTGTCCGGAAACCATTTTTCTACTTTTAATTACGGTTACCTTGACCTTGACCCCAGGGGGTCCAAATGCCATACCAACTCAGGTCTTCAAATAAGCTTGCTATACACCAAGTTTGATTACAGTATCTCATTCCTAATTTAAGTTATTGTCCGAAAACCATTTTTCTATTTTTAGTAATGGTGACCTTGACCCCAGGGGGCCCAAATGCAATACCAACCCAGGTCTTCATATAAGCTTGCTATACACCAAGTTTGATAACAATATCTCATTCCTAACTCTAGTTATTGTCTGGAAACCATTTTTCTATTTTTAGTAACGGTGACCTTGACCTTGACCCCAGGGGGTCCAAATGCAATACCAACCGGAGTTTCCACATAAGGTTGCTATATACCAAGTTTGATTACAATACCTCATTCCAAACTCTAGTTATCGTCCGGAAACTATGATGTGGACCGACCGACAAGCTGACTCCTATATACCCGAGTATTTTGAACATCTTAAAGGAAATATTTATGTTATTGTTAAGTTTTTCTACAATATAGTATTTTAGGTAATTTACCTTTGAATCAAAAAGGGAGAGAACTTTAATAGATTTTATATTAAATGTTATCACAGCATGTATCACGACGGCCAGCTGATGATGTAGTTTCAGTAATCCGTAGTTTGTTGACTTCTGATCTATCGCCAACTCCACCAGCGACACTGTACCTGATATAAATAATCATATGATAATTATGTCAAAATTATAAATCTCATAAGTGTAAAGAAGGTATTCTATTCATTAATTCATACAGTCATTCACACAGACTCAGTCAACTTTGTCAGATTCTGTATTGAAAATTCATTCAGCAAAATGGTGAGTTATTAAAATTTGTTTTATACTACATGCTACATTTACATGATCTTATGAAAATCGTTCAAATCGTTAATAATAAATTGTCAACTGTAACATGTACATAGAATTTTGTTGCATTTAAACTAATGACACAACTATATGTAAGCTTTTATTGAGCTTTATAAATGTTATGAACCATATGTCAAACACTACTGCCGGAAGAAGTAAGAATGAAAACTGATATAAGTATCTCAAAACACAGTCAATAAATTTACTTACAGAAACATGGTAATCTTAGAATCTTTGAAAGCAGTAAAATACTGAAGACAAATTTACTAACTAACTTTTAACTGTCATCTAAGCGACTGCTTTTTACTGTAGACTACTGTACAATCATTAATTTGGTGGTTTTCGTAGGTAGGTCAATCCACGAATTTAAGATCTGACGAAATTTTATCCCAAAAAATAGTTCTTGCCATGTCTCTATTCTATATATTACAAACATGCATCGCCTCTTTTCCGCCGATTTTTGTGTAATAAATACCCAGAGGCAAGAATTAAATTTATGATACGTAAAGATATGTACATGCGTAAGTAAAATGCGCGGCGATTAAGTGTAAGATTACTTAGCATTACGTTATTTAAATTACTTTTTTGCAAGAAATTGAAAAATTTAAGAACCCACGAAAATGCCCATTTTGATAAAACCACGAAATTTCATGCCCACAAATATAAGTGAATTTGCAGTACTTTGATATTGTTCCAAAATAGTTCAATACTGATAGAAGTTTTAAAAAGTGACATACCCCATCCTCACTACTACTTTTTATCAAAGTTAAAAATAGCTTGATATAGTATTGACTGGTTTACTGACTTACCTTTGACTGTATTCCAAAGTGGTTCAATATTAAAGACTGGTACTTCATTAGTTTCACAGTTAGCTTCCATGATTATGTTGAAAAAATCACAGATACAGCTTACAAACAGAGGAAGTCTTGTTTCTCCTATACCAATATCCTGTTAAATATAGGAATATAAAAATTTAAGTTTTCCCCAAATACAATTATATATTATAGCATTATTATCCACTAACCCGACACTGTTTTTCACAATTTTGTCTGAAATTCAATAGAGAATTAACTCATGCATTTTCTAGTTTCTAAATCTATTTTTGACAATGTGTAAATTGAAAATATATGGACTAAAAACAAATTTGGACTTAGTCTAGAAACAAAATATCAAGGAGAGCAATGGCATTAAGGGTACATGGAAATGGGCTGTTCAAACTGAATGACTTTTTTTCAGAGAATTTAAGGTCAAAAGAAATATGCTTATATGTTGGTTTTATAGCTTGATAGTCATTTCAGGGTTAATTGGAAACCTGGACTTGGAAAACTATGAAGTGAGAGTAAACATATTATCACTTTAGCGCACCTATCAAATTATATACCAGTAAGAAGTTAACCCCTTACTGCACTAAGATGACAACTTCTTATATTCCTTAAATCTATCGAATTACTAATATACAATGTACCAGTTTTTGTCTTTGTCTATCACTGTACATGCAGTTTTCTATAAAAAATTTTTTTATTAAATTGGGCATGTCTAAATTTTCACATGTGTATTTGAGACAGTTGATTTATTCTTACAGATATTAATACATTTTATAGATTTATATTTCTACCTAGAGGGCAGTATATTATCATTTGACCATACCTTTATCAAGTTAATTATTTTGACCATGCCCAAATAAAGAGCTGTAAAAATGACCGTGTTTATTACTTATTTACTTAGTACCAAGATTACAATGACAGCACTATGATATTTTAGGATTGCGTTTGCTAAAAAAAGTTTCACCTGTATACTTGATCCTTTTTGTATTTGTAATTAAATATTTACTTTGTGTATAGTGTTCTGGGGTATATATTTATGATGAAAAGAATATTATACTATTGAAAACAACATGATATTAGTAGAGGATAAAATCACCAACCTTATTCTTCTATCAATTTCAAATATCACATTAAACACACCAGTTAGCAACTATATTAGAATGCTGCCTTTTTCAAGATTGAACTTATACACCTAAATAAAAACAATAGAATAAACATACCTTAACATTTGAATTCAAAGTCTCATGATTCTTGAATATTTTCAGCTGTGATCTTCATTATTTATGGTATGAATATTGATAAAGATAAATCATTAAAGGTTTTTAGAATGAATCCTTTAAGTAAATACAAAAGATTAAGTGACTGATGATAAATTTACTGTGAAATTCATAGTTTAAGGAGTAACATATTAAAAATATTAAATTTGCCCAAAATTTTTTTTAATAAATGTTATGATAAAAATATTGAGTGATAAGCATTGGGCTTCCAGTCATAATTTGACAGTGATTTATTTTTCAGTGAGCTTAATTATTATCCTCCAAGTGGACTTTTGTTGGTACTTCTTCTCTTTTTTTTCAATCTGCTGATATTGAATAAGAAATCATTACTACAGAAACAGATAATCTGACAGTGGTCTCCCAAAAATGTTAACAACAACTATGTATTAACATTCATTTATCATTCACACATAAGATAGGTAATTAGCTACATCCTCAATTAGTTGGTCTAACAGTAACACCATTGGTTGATACTGTGTTAAATATATACCACAGCTTTTAATTAATTATACAGTAATACATTGGACACATCACATGTGAATATCACAAATATCACAGTTTTTTCAATGACAAACCGTACACATCTTTTGATATCATAGTTTTTAATTCACTACTTCAGTACAGAGTGATAGATTGAACACATCACCTCAAGTGATGTAAGTTGTCAAACTGTCAATGTAAACATGGTCGTCGAGATTCAAATTTATAAAACAGGAAAATCATTTTAATTTACTTGGATATTTTCCCATAAGGACAGTCATGAGGACCAATTGTTTGTAAGTTTACCTTCTCTATTTTTTCTACATTATAAATAAACTATCTTCTTTCTAATTTTCTAAATATATGTACCAGTAAAGCTTATCTTTCTGAAGAATTGATTCATAATCTATTATAAAATATTTTAAACCATAATACTGCCATTGGCCAACTATGAATAAATTAGATAGTCTTTTGTCATCAGACTCAAAGAAAACTATATGTGCCTTAGTTAAATTTTTGTATTAGGCAAATCATAAACGCATCTCTTAATCTGGTATTTTTCTGTCAAAACTATATTGTTGATAAGAACAAGTCTTATTTGTTCCTATATTAACTTGTATTCTTCAGAAAACTTTGTATTGTTAACTGCTATTTTACTCACTGTACATGTGAATCATTGTTAATTGGCTAAAAGCCATGTATTTTGTTTTATGCTGAATAAAATTCGTATTCGTACAAAGTTACTATATGGAAAAAATGTTGACATCTATCAGTATGGTCAATACCTACAAGAATAAGTTTAGAAACTATTGCAAATGTCAGGTGTCTTATTCACAGCAAACAAATCAGTCTAATTTTGACACCAATAAATCTTCCTAAGTTTTCTTGAAGTAGTTTGATGAAGGCATAAACAATGCACAATTAAATACTTGATATATCAGAATCATGGTCCATGCTGTGTTACCCAGCAATTAATAATAATGAATTACAATGATCATAAAAATGCCTTGATTTTTCAAAAGTTCAGTAGATATACACATATTTGTGTTTAGGGTGGCAGTGAATTGATTAAAGCAGCACAACTCCAGATTCATGCTAATTTTCATGAACATTTTGAAAATGTATTAAAATTAAATTATTATTTAGAGGTAATCAAAGAATGTAATTTACACATTGCAATTGGCACTTACAATCAATGCAAATTAAAAAAAAAGAGGGAAAAATATACATAAAAAAATATACATAAAAAGTACTTATTGCACTAGTCAACTAGTAGAAGTATGGTGATTAAATTGCAAAATCAGTCTTTAATCGCATGTAACATGTAAATTATTACACAAGTCTTGAATCTTTTAACCTTTTTTAAATTTTTCCACAAGTAACTGCCAACTTCACCACATCAAACAATTGAATCAGACATGACTCATGAAAATTATCACACATTCATGTTGGCACAGGACAGGAACAATTTAATCTAAGGTCATTATATAACAATCTATTTACTTACCTAATTAGACTTCACAAATTAAATTTGAAATATGCAATATAATTTTTTTCTCAAGTTTGATTTTCTTGAAATACTTTGGCTCATCTGGAGGCATGCAGCTTTAAATATGATATTAATGAGCCGCATCATGACAAAACCAACATAATGGGTTTGCAACCAGCATGGATCAAGACCAGCCTGCGCATCCACGCAGTTTGATCAGGATCCATAATGTTTGCTTACAAACCCTATTACAAGTAGAGAAACTGATAGCGAACAGCATGGATCCTGATCAGACTGTGCGGATGCGCAGGCTGGTCTTGATCCATGCTGGTCGCAAAGCCATTACGTTGGTTTTGTCGTGGCGCGGCTAATTTGTTTTAAGGTGGTTAGTTAAGGAAATCCTTTTATGGATTAATCATCTAATTTGTCATATGTGTGGATTGAAGAAAATAAAAGATATCTTCTGGTTTATAAAAAACTTTGTTTACACCATAAATCACAGTAAATTTTCAAATTTAAATACAATATGTAATTGTTTCCAAAAGGATATCCTTATTGCCTGGAAGAACTTTTCAAATTACTTCTTAAAATCAAACTTTAAAACAAAACCTATCAAAGTTTTTGGATGGACCAAGGAAATATTCTTTTATTATCATTTAGTGATTAGTCAATTATCAAAGCATATACTGATTGGACACCTGTCAAAGTTTCTTTTATCTTAATGCCTATTAACACTGTAATACAAAGATAAACAAAAAGATAAATATGACTTAAATAGATTATAGATTCTTAGGTATAGATTCTTAGTTTAAACAATATTTGTTTTAGTTTGATTGTGTAGGAAGTTAATAGCTTATAATCACACTCTCAAATCCATTCCTGAAACCATACAGTGCAGCAATGAGTGCATAGCTTCTTGCTAAAGAAAACAACATATTGACCCTGATATAGGGTTTGAACCAATGTGGAAAGCGATCTTCAGAATACTAGTCTGATACATTAACCATGCATCCTTGCTGCCACATATATAAATTCTTCAAGACTTTCCTATGTAAAGTGACTTTAACAAAGAACATGTAACATATAATGTGTCAAAAGCAGTTAAGATTTAAAACATCCAAGAAATGTATTCTAATTCTTTTTCTTCATAAGATTAGCAAACCAGCATGCCAAAGTACAATGTATCTATAAGAGCCAGGCCATCTGATAATTCTTATAACTGCTACTATCTTAATTTGAAGAACAATATGCTACTTATGGACAGAACCTGATTTAAAACAGGGCAAAGTAAGATTCATAAGGATTACAAATATTAATATAACAATAAATGTTAAATACAACGACTTTATATTACTCTCAGAAGGGCATACAGAGATTCTATATGATATTCATCCTACATAGGTTCATGTTACAAGATTTACAAAATCTCTGTTTTCACTTAATATTGTTAATACTTGGTGTTTCAATGACAAAGATCATATAATGATGCTACCTGTAGGATTGTCATGTTATTGGATATGTGAGAATTATTGACTTAAATATCGGTATATAAGTTCCAGGATCTCAGGCAGCATTATATATAGTAGAAACATAGGAAAAATATCTATGGAAAACTAGGAAAAAGTAAGAAAAATGTCGAAGTTTTTATATGGCATAATATCATTTTATTTGTAATTTAACTTATTTTATTTATTAAATAAAAAAAACATTTATTATTGATATACATTGTAACATTTAAAATGCACAATAAGTTTCCTTTAATCAAAGTAGTAAGTATTTAATAATTACAAAGGATGTTCACCTGCTTGGACAGAAAATGGTAACAGGTCAGAGCCAGTGAAATCAGCAAAGAAATTAAAATTTCCAATTTTTTTCTTCACCAGGTCAAGTTTTCATGATTAAAAGCTTGGTCAAGGAATTGCACATTATGGGTGAGATCAGGGTTTATATAATTTTATCACAGCCATAGTCTTGTTGTTAAGCCCTTGATAAGATATTATAACCTGCTCTTCAATCTGTTATCAAACTATCAAATTACCCTTCTATTTTACAGGCTGCCCATCAACTGCTCCTGTCATTTACAAGTAATACACTGAAGAGAGCAATGACATCTCTGGTAAACTTAATTAATATTTAAATCACAAAGTGTATTGGATATAGTGACCAGGGATTTTCTTATTAAAGGGTAATTTTTTAAGTTTATTGCATTCATAATATAAACAATCAAAAGTGTTTTAAGAATATTTCATAATAATTGTCAACAGCATTTATTTGATGCTTTATAAGATTTGACATAATTATTAAGGAAAGGCATTGCCTGGCAAAAACAACATCTATGGTTATAATAAGGAACAAACTTCATTTAACATTTTTTTTGTTTTTCAATAATTAATAAATTTAACACATGAATTCTTACCTTTGTGTATTTTTTATCATAATACTATTAAAGACAGACAGACAGACAGAAAATTTTTAAATTATTTAATTTCTGTGTTTTATTTTGCCATTAAATAGTTTATCATTATAATAAAATGCCTGTTGGCCAATTTAACATTAGTGTATATATCTTAAAAATGTTGATTGGAATTTGAAAATTATTTATATTTTGATAAAATGGATATTTATTCTAAAATGTTAAAATTAAATCATATCATCAAACATGATACAGCTGGTAAGACTGTACAAACACTGGCATGGATCCATGCTGATGGCATTGGCAAGTTGTTACCTATGGCAGGCAAAATATTACCTCGGCTTACCCCTTAACCCGTTAAAGTGCATGTTAATATATCATCAAATCATGTATTTCATGAATTATTTTTTCCATATTTCTTGTCATGAGATGAATAAATATCTATTAGTTATAAGAGATATTAAGTAATATGTGACATTAGATCAAAAGAAGGAAATGTGTTTGAACACCTCAGGGTCAACAAATCAGTTTCAATGACATGGAAAAGAACCTACAATCTGCCCTGAGCAATCTGACTGCACAACTCAAACCATTTTATTAACATAATTAATGATCATAAATGAACTCAATTGACACAAATTAACCTAACTATTGGTACAACAGATACTGTTTCGATAAACATTTAAAAGAGTATTTTGAAAACAAAAGTTTTGTGATGTCATCATTTCATAAAGCATTTGTTTAAGCTTTATTAATTTTACACTTAATTTAATTAAATGTTAATAGCTTATTTACAAGGTAAAGAACATCTGCTCCCATCTAAAAATAATAAAAAGAGAAAAAAATACAACAATAGACCATTGTGTGACAATATCTCGCTTAAAATACATTGAAAATTAATGACATATATAAAAGTTGATAACTTTAAAAAGAAGTCTCAAAATAATTAAGTTGCATCCTTGATTTTCTTTATAACTAAACATGACCATTTCATCTTTGTATCAAGAACACACCTTATTAAAGGTTGTAAAACATGGTTTGAAATAACCCTTACTGTTTTGGTAGCTGGCAGTTTCTTCCCGTTATTTTAAAAGCAATTTGCATACACCAGTGAAATAGATTTTATCATGTTCTTTCAACAGATTTCTGAAGTGGTCCATCTGTTAGATTTGTTTCTTAGATGACAATAACAATCAGAGAAAAATATTGTGACTGGTCAATAAAAACTCAGTCATGCTAAACAACATTATAAAAATTATAGGTTTCACATGATGCCAAATTATCACCTTGTTTGATCTTTGTTCAGAATATTCATACGAACCTGTGCATTATTAATACAATTAAGGGACTGTATTAAAGGGTATTTTTCATTGGTGATCATTTTGCAGAGAGATAACATATTAACACTCCTAATTAGAATTGGTTTGTCAATCATAAGCTATATTGTTAACCATGCATAAAGCATTGATTTAGTTTGAAAACATCTTTACCATGTAATATTTTGTTAAATCTAGCTTATCATTTAAGCAAAAAATACCTACTGGTATATCACATTTTGTTAAAATTGGTATAATGAGGTTCAACCTTTGTGAAGAAACCACTAATAAAAAAAAACCCTTACATCCAAATATTTTACTTTGTCTCAGGTATTGAGTCAGGCTAGCATGAAGTTCGACCATGCTCTCTATACTGTTGGCAGACTAACTTTACATGTTCATTTTAATATCAAAACAAAGTTCCAAAAATATAATGAAATTCTCACCAATTGATCTATCACACAGTGTACAGACACGCCTGTTAAGTTCGATATTGTTCCAACTTCCGGTTTCTACTGGCAATTTGTTATTTCTTGTTCTAAATTTTATCATGTATTGTAAAAATTTTTTGATGGAGTTTTTACAAGATATGTTTCAAAACAAAAATTATGTTTGAATAATCTATAATTTATGCATTTACTAGAATTCTCAATATCAGAATACCACTCATTTAAAAATAAATCTGATAATTTTTGTTTGACTGACATCGTTAACCATTTATGGTTATGAAATTCATGGTTATGCCAAATGTTATACAGACCACATTCATACAAAATATTCTGAACAGATTTTATCCACTGAAATCTTAATCTAGATACAGTCTGGGAGCTATTGAAATTATTTAACAAAATACGATATATCAAACACGGTAACTTGTTCTGTTGTGGTATGACTAAGTCAGACCAATATGATATAATTCTACATTTAATTTCTGTATTAAAGGGTATTTTTCATTGGTGATCATTTTGCAGAGAGATGACATATTAACACTCCTAATATAAAGAATTGGTTTGTCAATCATAAGCTATATTGTTAACCATGCATAAAGCATTTATTTAGTTTTAAAACATCTTTACCATGTAATATTTTGGTAATATTTTGTTAAATCTAGCTTATCATTTAAGCAAAGAATACCTACTGGTATATGATATTTTGTTAAAATTGGTATAACGAGGTTCAACCTTTGTGAAGAAACCACTGATAAAAAAAAACCTTTACATCCAAATATTTTACTTTGTCTCAGGTATTGAGTCAGACTAGCATGAAGTTCCATCATGCTCTCTATGCTGTTGGCAGACTAACTTTGCATTTTCATTTTGATATAAAACAAAGTTCCAAAAATGGAAGCTGAGAAGTCCATTACATAAATTCTGCAGGTTAAAGGCCCATAATATGCCTCAGAAATGCTGTAATTTTTATTTCTCAAAAACTTTTTTTATTTTTTTTATATTTAGTTATCATTTCCCCAAAAAATCTCATTTATCAAATAGATCGAAATTACATCTTGCTTCCTTTGCTCTGTTGATAATAGATATAATTATAGGGTATTAGTAATTTGTTTGGAGGTCAAAATTACTACTTTGTTTACATTTTGATACCTTTACGACACATTACTTCACATTCAGTGCTACTTCTTCAGTTGTTAAAACATCTAGCATGCCCTAAATACATTAATTTAAACATTATTAAGAATTGAAAAATACATTTTACATGTACTAATTTCTGTATTGTGTTCCATAGAAAGTCCTAAGTGTATCATAAGTGGTAGGACATAAGACTGATTTTAGGACTATCTTAGGACCATTTCAATAAGCATTATTGTCTTAAGTTAAAGACACTAAACTTAAATTAAATTGGTTCTCCTTAAGAAAAGTTAATAAATGCAATAGCACATGCTTAAATTCAACCTGCTATATGTTTTATGATGTTCATCAGCATTGCTATTCAGCATAAGATAGGAGTCATAGGTTAGGTCATTTTCTTTGAAATGCAAAATTGTCTCAGATTTGGTATTTAAGACTTTTTTCAACTAACGACATTCTATGGAAGACAACCCTGAGGCATAGTGTGGATTAAATATAAAAGAGTGTGTTCTTTTTAGAAAAAATGCTAAATTAATTCAAACATTTGTATTACAGGTAAATTTTTGTTTTATATATAAAGTATATTTAATTGCATGAAAATAATGAGTTTGCAGATTATTTGTAAACATATTTATCTATTATATGTTTAATGTCTTATATTTCAGTTAAGCGTCACAACTAACAAAATGAGAACCAGTCTGTTTCTGATAGTGTGTATCCTGGGCATGGTTTACAGTCTCGAGCACGAACATCATAATAACAGCATGATGGTTGATTATCTCGTGCACATTAATACAACATATCCAGACATTACCAACCTCTACAGTATTGGCAAGACTGTTAATGGTCTGTTCTAACAACAGTTACATTAAAATCATCATAACAATATTCTACTTGTATTAAAGTCATACAGATCATTTTAAAGCATATTTTCCTTGATTATATCTCATGTTAAGTTATGATAAAACAAGAAAAATAACAAAGAATATACATGTTACTTGTTAAACAAGTAAATAAAACCCATCTTTATAACAATAGAGACACCTGGCTATGTTTTGTCTTTCTAATAGTAAATAACTTTAATTAAAACATTGTACATGTTAGACTTTGTGCAATTTCTCTTACATTCAATACATGTACTTGATGTTATTTTCATAACTATAGATAAAGACAATAGTAGTACAATAAGCTAAGATATCCCCTAAATCCCTAGTTATAGCACAGAGCTATATTTGATATATAAGTCTCTTGACTCCCTTTGGCCAAAGATCTGCACTCGGCGTACACCCCAGTCAGATTATAAAAATATACAAATTAACCGAAGTCTGCTGGCATATAAGGAAGTCACTACTGCCGATATTGACTACAGAAATGTAATACACAACTAATATTCCTTGCAGGAGCGGACTTGTGGGTTTTGGCAATTGGAAAGAATCTAAGCAACAATGTACAGCTCCAACCCCATGTTAAATATGTTGGTAACATGCATGGAAATGAGGTATGTTAAATATTCTAACGATAAATAAACCATCATTGTCAGAGCATTGCCAAAGTCAAACCACATACCTCAACTATGACAGGCTTTTTTTGCTTTTTTTTAATGCATTTATTTAAGCTCACCGCCGGAAAGCCCATATGGGCGACCACACAATCAAGTCGGGCCATCCTAGAGAGTCCCGCCGATATCTTTTTTACCAATTTTACCACCGACCATCCGTAAGCCAGCTGGATGGCTTCCTCACATGAAAGATTTCGACCTGAGTGAGGATTGAACCTACAGCGGTGAGGGACCTGTGATTTCAAGTCAGCGACCTTAACCACTTTGCCACGGAGGCCCTTATATTAGGCTTGAACCACAGACCTCTCTTATATTAGACAATCACATCACCAGCTGTGCTACTGCGGATGTGATGATAACCTATACATTAAGCAATTGTCACTTTTCAAAACATTAGTTATATATTCCATATTTATTTTTGTAAATTTCACAGACAAAACTGAGATGGGATAGAATAAATGAGTGCAATAATGTATTTATAATTGACAGTTCAATGAAATTAGGCTATAAAAAGATAAATATATGTTTAATAGCATCAAATAGCATCATATCAATATATTTTCAATACATGTTATTCTTGATTATGATTCTGTAACTCATACATAGTTTTATATTTCTTATATAGTTATCAGTTTTTGATCTACTTCAGAATATATATTTTTCTACAGGTTGTAAGTAGGGAGCTTCTTTTACATCTTATTGACCTTTATGTGACCTCTTACGGAAGTAATTCAACCTTGACCTCATTCCTGGATACAACAGTGGTTCATATAATGCCCTCAATGAACCCTGATGGATATGGAGAGTCTGTGGAGGGTCAGTGTACAGGGGCCGTTGGCAGGTACAATAAAATAAAAACTTAACAAATATTTGGCCCATAACCAGCTGGAACCAGTAGTGATTATATGGCCTTTGCAACCTGTAAAAAATCTAGGCCAGCCTGCACATCTATACAGTCTGACTAGAATCTGAACTGCTAGTTGAATTTCTGCATTCTTTTATTTTGAATCCCTTTTACTTTAAATGAACTGTTCCAAATTCAAGAGTGGACAAATCCATTTTTTTTATGTTTGTGGACAGTCACTGTCAGTGATATACGGCTATAAATCAGAAAAAATATTAGTTTGCATTGTCTGTATCCAGCTTATCAAAAAACTCCAAAAACAAAATTTCTATGCAACCTGTTATTTATTTGCAAAAAATCTTCCTGAATATTTTTATTAAAATGATTATGCTAATGTAAAGAAAAACATAAATAAACAACAATCTACCTTTTGTTATAAGTTTGAGACAAAAACCACAACAAACTAATGTTTTTCTGAAGTTTAACTCATTAACATATTAACTCTATTGTTTATAGATTATAATTTTCTTAATAACAATGACAAGCAAAATCATGTTGTTTTTTTAACTTAAAAAGAAAAACAAAAATAAATGATCGTCATTCAATTTTCTTATATGAAATAAATGAATGAGTAATTTCTTGTATAAATTATTTCAATGGGCAAAATTCATATCTTGCGACAAAAATGAATTTCTAAATATACAATATAATACATGTATGCTTGAAAGTAACATTCAACAGCCTAGAACTTACACAAGTCAAGTACATGTAACTTAATAAACATTTTGATATACATGCATGTTTTGAAAAAAAAAAACATAAAAGATTAATATTTCTTTATCTTTTCAGACAAAATGCAAACAATGTTGACCTTAATCGAAATTTCCCGGACAGTTGGCATGACAGAAGTCAAGGTGATATTCAACCTGAAACCCAAGCTATCATGGACTGGTTGCCAAAATATAACTTTGTGCTTTCAGCTAACCTTCATGGTGGAGCATTAGTAGCCAACTATCCCTATGATCAGTACCTTAACAGTAAGTACAACATCAATATATAATACATAACACCTTTGCTTTGCTTTGAATTTCTGTTATGAACTTGTCTTTTTTCTCTCTTTACAATAACATTAAATCTTTATATGAAGTTTTCCTTTAAATAATTAAATTTTGAATTAGTTTATATTACTAGTACCATTAATAATGTGTTGGTTTGTTTATTATATTAGTAACTACCATATAGGTTTGTTTCCTATATTCTAGATTAATGTGTAGCCACAGAGTAGGTTTGTTTATTATATAATTGTTAAATGCCAAGGTTCATTTACTATACATGTATGATAGATTAAAATGCATAGATTTGTTTTATCTATGTACTTTAGAGTAATGCTGCTGATTTTGTTAGAATATCAGATAACATACTTTTTATAAGACAATTTCTTGTGTCATCCACTAGGTAGCTGGGTTTACGGATCTGGGGAGTCACCATGCCCAGACGAGGACACATTTAAACATATCAGTCTCGTATATTCAAGATCCCATCATACAATGGCTGCTACAAATGGTGCAGAATGTCCCGGTGACAACTTTGCAGACGGAATTACAAATGGGGCAGACTGGTACCCTGTTGCAGGTAAGTCATTGGTTTGTCCTACATGCAAATAATTGGTCATAAAACTCATAGACTGATAGGTAACCTATACAAAACAAGTTGAAAAGTCATTTAACCTTTACCCTGCTGAAGGCAAAAGTGTTTAGTCTTTACCACCAGTATAGGGCCAGGCCAGCCACACATCCATGCAGTCTTACCAGGCTCAATACTGTTGGCTGGCCAACTTTAAATTCTCACTTTGATATACCTAAAATTGATAATGAACGGTTTCAAAATGGAACTTGAAAAAGTTCTTTTTAAGAAATTCAGCAGGTCAAGGGTTAAACATGAGTCATGCTGTGGGTTTGTTTGAGAATTATTAACACCTAAAACAGTGAGATAGGGTACAGATAAGAAGTACTACATACATTTTGTTATAAAAGTATAATAATAAAGACAACATGGCCATGTTAGATATGAACAATATTGTTTCACATTTCAGGAGGAATGCAGGACTATAATTATCTTATGGAAGGAATATTTGAAATAACACTAGAAGTTTCATGCTGTAAGTTCCCAAATGGTTCTGACCTTGCACAATTCTGGACACAAAATAAAGATGCCCTGGTCAACTACCTCATGGAAGTCAACAAAGGTATTTGAATATATTTAGTACTTTAATGTAGCCAGCACAGACTTTATCAAACATGCTATTCATTATCAAGCATATTTTTTTCCAAATCTATTAAAATTGTAATAAAGAAGGTTTTAAAAATATACTAATAATGTTCCATATTCTATTTAATGTTCAATATTACATTTTATGAAAAAGAATAATGAAATCAACATTTTAGCATTTTCTGAGGCCCACATGGAAGATCAAAAACCAAATGTGTTAGCCTCTTTTAATAAAGTCATTACGTACTTACTTAATTTGTTCATTTAATCTTTAGGTTTAACACCTTCAATAGGATAAATATCCTAACCTTATTTATCAATCTGGTTAACCATTCATCATATTTTAGGGAATATTTCAAAATATGCACTGAGTGTATTATAGTAACTAGTGCAGGCTATGATCACACAGAACAAATGTGCTGTTTGATTTTGGTCTGCACTGGTCACATGGGTAGAAATATTTGACGCAAACAGACTAATGGTTAAAACTCTGGAAAAGTACTTGAAAAAACTCTCCATTAAATTGAAGCAACAGGACTGAAATATTACATTAAATTGAAGCAACAGGACTGAAATATGACAATTTCAGGAGTTAAAGGTGTGTTAGTTGACGAGAACAACAATGCTATTGTGGGTGCAAAATTGACAATTCAAGGGAGAGAATCTGTCCCATTTCATACCAAAGCTAATGGAGAGTACTTCAGACTACTGATGCCAGGAAGTTACACAATTGATGTAAATATTTTTATTAATATTTTTTTTTTACGACTGTATCACATTACAAAAACCTTATGAGCCATTCGAACTTAATTTAAATAATGATGTTGTTTATGCATAAACACTATTTTTACCCTTATTTTTAATTTTTGAAGGTGGAAGACCTCAGTTGACCCTCACCACAAACAAGCACCTGAGTAAACTGATCATCTCCCAAGATAGCTCTCATCAGATAGAAGTCTTAAACTTCTCCCCAACCATAATATTTCTGTCATTTTTGTCTCATCATTTTTTAAGTTATATATTTAATCAATTTAGCTATGATATCAAATTACAAACAAATCAACACAAACTATCAGCAGGATGTTTTTTCACATGAGAAACCTGTCTGCCACGATTTACTGCAATATGTCAAAAGAAAAATTCTAAGCACTAAACCCTTTATCTACTGAATAAAGAATTCTTAAATGGAGTTGCCCTACTTCTATTTTTGGACCTATCCATTATAAATTTTTGGGATATCAAGATGAAATCTTAAAGTTTGTCAGCCAAAAGTATAGAGCCTGGTTAAACTGCATGGATTTTCAGGCTGGCCTTACTCTATACTGGTGTTAAATGCTGATCATTTTTCGGTTCCAGCAGGTTAAGGGTTAATTACTTGTCCTATGTCTGTAAAACTCCTCTCATTTCAACTGTTACTGTATTTATATAAGAATAAGAGCACGCTGCTTTTATGAAATAAATGTTCAATTTTCATGTAAAGATTAGTCTAACATTCCCAAAAAAAGTTACAACAAAAAATACATCACATAGTTTATTCTATAAATTTAACTTAGCCTTCAATATTTTTTCCCCTAAAAATGTTCCTTTTATTTACAGGTGACATATAATAATGCAACAACATCTGAGACATTCACAGTAGTCCAGGATGCAGTGACAAGGAAAGACATAACTTTAAACTTGAACCTAAGTTCCTCCTCTCACTGTGTCACTTTCAACTGTTATATGATTACATTCCTTTTGTCTTTCTTGTTTGTATCAAAAAGCTTAATTGGGACCAATTAACACAATTTTGATGCAGCCCAAGAGCAGAAATACTTTGCCATAATCCAGATTTTATTATGTTTTCTAAACTGTGATAGAGTTTCATCTTAATAATATATAATAGGCTTATTATAAAAGTATGTTGACCTGGAAGTTCATTTCTGCTTGATTAGGTTGGCAGGGATTGTATAAGTAGGCATGGGAATGCCCAGTAAAAAAACAAGTGGTTAATACATGTCCTAGATTAATATTCTTATAAAATGACTTTATTTATTATATAATCCTCTCTGATCTGAACTATATATTTTCATCAGTTTACATCTTATTGACTTTAAATCACATTTGTGTGACACACAGATTTTTGTTCATGTCAGGTTGTATATGCTCCAGAAACATGAAATCTTTGTCTGACCCTGGAGCAATGCCTTATATATAAAAATCCTTATTTACTGTATCTATTTATTCAATTTTTTTTATAATTGATTTTCAACATTTTTATCTTATATATAAACTGTTCAATAAAAACAAACACTTTTCTTTAACTTTAGAAGTTTGTCTTCTTCAGAAAAAATTGACGTCTATAACAAATGACGCAACGACCATTTAACTATATGCTACACGGAACATGATGTTTATACATTTTTTTTTTCAACATTTTTATCAATCAGTTGCAAGAAATAAGTCATAGGACTTGCACAAAATTAGTTTGACGTGTTAGACAACTTCCAGGAAATCTGCAAAACGTTTGTATGAAAAAGTTTCAAATTTCCTGTATGACTTGTTCAGTATCAAACAAGTCACTGTCTCTATTGTTTTTCTGAGTCATGTGACTATATATATTGGTACACATTGTTACACAACTAAATATACTATTATGAAACTATGAGTAAGTTGCTTTGATACATCATAACAACAAATATGAGCCACGTCACGACAAAACCAACATAGTGCGTTTGCGACCAGCATGGATCCAGACAAGCCTGCCCATCCGCGTAGTCTGATCAGGATCCATGCTGTTCGCTATTAGTTTCTCTACTGGTAAGCGAACAGCATGGATCCTGATCAGACTGCGCAGGCTGGTCTGGATCCATGCTGGTCGCAAACCCATTATGTTGGTTTTGTCTTGACGCGGCTCATATGTTTTATTGCTTAACAAGAACAACAATAATAATCAAAGTAACCACACTGAATGCTCCTTGTGAAATTTCAACATAGCATTAAAAATAAATAAATATGTTTCAGATTGCATAATAAAATAAACAAGAGCCCGGTTTGAGCCGGGTGATGCTCCCCGAATAGGTTTTGGACACAGGAAAGTACACCTCTTGTAGTTTCAGAGTTATGTCCGTGGAAAAAGTTCAAAGTGCAATAATTCTAAAATTAGGCAACGCAGAGTTACAGTTCTTTTGCACTGCACCTCTACTCAATGAGATCTATCTACCTACAATGTTTCATGTTGATATCTCTTATAGTTTTAGAGTTATGCCCCGGACAAGATTTTTCTATAAGGGGAGATAATTCAAAAACCAGGCAAAATAGAGTTATGGTTCTTTGACACTGCACTCCCCCTTGATGCCCTCTACCACTGTATGAAGTTTCAACAAATTATCTCCAAGGGTTTTCAAGTTATGTTCCGGACAAAGTTCAAGTTCAAAGTATTAAAATAAACAAAGGGCAATAACTCCAAAATTAGGACAAAAAGAGTTATTGTTCTTATGCACTGCACATCTACGCATTGAGATCTATTCACCTACAAAGTTTCATGTTGATATCTCTTATAGTTTTAGAGTTATGCCCCGGACAAGATTTTTCTATAAGGGGAGATAATTCAAAAACCAGGCAAAATAGAGTTATGGTTCTTTGACACTGCACCCCCCCTCAATGCCCTCTACCACTGTATGAAGTTTCAACAAATTATCTCCAAGGGTTTTCAAGTTATGTTCCGGACAAAGTTCAAAGTATTAAAATTAACAAAGGGCAATAACTCCAAAATTAGGATGAAAAGAGTTATTGTTCTTATGCACTGCACATCTACCCATTGAGATCTATTCACCTACAAAGTTTCATGTTGATATCTCTTATAGTTTTAGAGTTATGCCCCGGACAAGATTTTTCTATAAGGGGAGATAATTCAAAAACCGGGCAAAATAGAGTTATGGTTCTTTGACACTGCACTCCCCCTCGATGCCCTCTACCACTGTATGAAGTTTCAACAAATTATCTCCAAGGGTTTTCAAGTTATGCTCCGGACAAGACAACGGACGGACAGACGGACAGACGGACGGACGGACAGACAGACGGACGGACGGACAGACGGACAGACGGACAAGGCGCCGACTATATGCTCCCCCGAAATTTTTCGGGGAGCATAAAAAATATATTACCCCCCCAAAAACATAAATCTGTTCTTCAACAATTGATGATGTGACACAAGTAATATATTTATCATGTTGTTATCTTTTTTCTATCTATTTATAAATGTATGTTATTGTGATTGTGTATATATAATCTGTCAATAAATCAGAAAACAAAGTGTGAAGATGTTGTTAAGTTTATTTATGATATGTTTGTTAGTTGGTTACAAGTGCCTAGTCTTAAACAAGTGAAGAACAGCCATGTACCTATAGACCTTGACCTTTGAAAGTAAGCCAATGTTTGGCTTTACAAAAGAATGCATCATGACTTTCTAAAGCTATCAGCGGAAAATCCTATTTGTAACAGACAGGTAGTATTTATACACATGCTCATACTGTTTGACCTCTTACTGTGTTACCTTGACCTTTGAGTAAAGGTCATTGTTTTGTATGTAATATGTGCTGTTATTATGGTTAATAAGTTTTGTTTGACCTCTTACTGTGTTACCTTGACCTTTGAGTAAAGGTCATTGTTTTGTATGTAACATGTGCTGTTATTATGGTAGGAAGTTTTGTTTAACCTCTTAGAGTTCTTAGTTACTTTGACCTTTGAGTAAAGGTCAATGTTTTGAATGTGACATATGATGTAATTATGGTAAGAAGTTTTCCTATCTTACTTGAAAGTCATGTAAAAACCTGATTAAGGATGGCACACTTAATGAACATGTTTTCAAGCTACCATATTGCAATTATTTCAAATAATGATCACAGTGTAAAATTTATGTCATGTGATTAAAATGAACTGAAATTTAATGAAAGCTGTCCTATAAGGCAAGAACAACAGCTCATTTTTATCATGATAATACATGACACTGGTCAATATTTACTGATATTTTGTTTTGTTTGGTATAACGTCATACCAACACAGTAAAGGTCACATGGCGACTTTCAGTGGTGGAGGAAGACTTCTGTGCATTATTTCAGGCATGAACAGGCACCCGAGTAGACCCAATGATATTTTGTAAGCAAGCTAAATAGCTTCCTGTCATGAAAGAATTCAATTGCCTAGTAAGATTCAAACCCACAGTGGTGAGGGGCAACTACTTGGTCACGGACGCCCTAATTAACTGATACATTAGGGTTCCTAATTCTCATCTAATTAAATGTTTGGACCAAGCTTTTATCTTGGAAAGAAAATCTGTCAGGTGTACACATGTACACAAACATAACACACATATACAAAGTTCTAGCTGTTCTTCATTAGTGACCTGCATGTTTAACACGAGTGTATATCATGATATTTCCACTTACCTTTCTACATAACCTGTCTTTTGGAAACTTTCCCACCTGAAAGTACCAATAAAACTAGATATGAAATGATGTAAGTTAAATTTACAACTACAAGTGTAAGCTGTTCGTATTTTCTTTTTGAATGCTCAAGATGGATAAATTATGAGGGCTGTTAGAAAAGTATCCGGAAAGTTTTCATAACTTTTTTATTTACAGACATATCTAGATAAAATATTCAACACTGTTACTTTGGAGAATTATGCTTATGATCCAGTTGAAAAAAAAAATCACCATTTTGCATTAATGTAGGGTTATGTTGAGTGGGATACAGTGTCAGGAAAATCTGTCCAATGCATCTAAAAATTACAAATATTCACGACTTCACAATACACACTTCTCCCATGTATAAATCCACTTGTCAAAGCAGGACTTGAACTGACCTTGTGGAATTTTACCAATCGTTTCTCGAACAACAATTGGCAAATCATGGACGTCATCAAACCTCTTGCCACACAGCTCTGAATTTAACGTCCTAAATAGCCAAAAATCACACAGTGCTAGATCTGGGGAATATGCAGGATGTTTCATGGTGTCAATTCAACATTAATCCATGTTTCATCTGCTGTGATAATGGAGTTCATGAAACATTTGCCATGGATATGATACTGTCTGAGAAATGACTTGGCATCTACTACTTTTTGCAGTTTCTGTTCCAGTGTCAATATATGAGGGATCCAGCAAGCGCATACCTTCGACATGCCGAGTTCCTTGGTAACAATTGAATGAACTGAAAATATGTTAAGCCTGACCTTTGCAGCAATGTCTCACACTGTTAGCCTTCTATCACTCTGCAACAGTTCTCTAATCTCTTCTGTTTCACAAATGTCGTGTAGGGGCATCCTGATCTTTGACGGTTAGCAACATCACGCAAAGAATCGTTTTTAAATATGTTGTGCCACTAATAAATGCTTGATTTCTTTATAGAAATTTTGCTGCAGGTATTCATTATCATACAAATCGTCTCTGATTTTGTTTTCCCTGTTAGCATGCAAAACTTTATTGAATATGGCTGCTCTAGCGCCAAAATTGCAATATCAGAAGAGCGATGAGTTCAACTTCTGTTGTTTACGGAAATGATGTCATATTACAGCCAATGACGTTACGTTTGTCAAGATAAAAGTGTGCAAAAAACATCACATGCAATTTGTTCAACTTTTGACATCGGAAATACAATTTTTGATCTCTTTATAAACAGGTTAATATGTGATCTTTTACCCAATCTTACAAAGTTGTCCTGCTCAACGTCACTTGTCGTTGCCATAATGACTGTAGGTAACACTAGTAAGTATAAATATCATAATTTTTTCTGCAGGACCATAAGAATAATTCCCAAAAGTATCAGTGTTGAAAATTTCATCACGATTAGTAACAAATGAAAAAAATATGAAAACTCTCCGGATCCTTTTTTAACAGCCCTCGTTTGGTTGTAAACTACAGCAGACAAAATATGTGTCATCAGACAAATATAGATATCTTAAAACTAAACACTTATGATTATTTACAAGAGTTTAAGTATTATCAAAATAAAATTTTCTTTTTAATTGTCATCAAAACTTGCATGAGACAACTTATATTTTCAAGTTGTTGACTTAAAAACATACAAATATAGCTACTGGCATCATAAAACCTGCCATTCAGTCTCTAAAATTTCTTGATTCAAATTATGTAAAACTGTTTATATACCGATGGAGCCAATAAAAATAACCATAGATTATGAAATAAATACACAACTGTATAGAGTAGAACAAAAACGTTAAAATAGTAAAACAAAATAGTGAAATGGGAAGCCTAAACAATGTCAAATACATGTATTGCAATAATGAAAATATTATAGGCTAAACTATATTTCATGATGTGACTTTTTTATTTAAAAAGATAATATATCTTGTACCTTGTATAACCATAAGAATTTCTGATTTGAAGCCAAAGTCAAATAACACACATATTTCATTATGCTAAATTGCAAGATATTATTAAAAAGATTTTTTTTGCTCAAATTAACACAACCTGTTTTTCATGATGTTACACCTGTGTACCAATATTTGTAAACTCAATCGGCTTATTTCAGAGTACCATGAAAACAGAACAACTGACAAAAGGACAAAGTTACACCACTTCATTGATGAGTGTATAAAAAGCCTAGAATCTTTCAACTATCTGTAGCTTACCTTTTCCATTAGATGGGCAGCAGCATGAAATTTTTTAGATAGAAACATATGCCACATCATACTGCAGACACCTAAAATATGACATACATTAATTTATAGTTTTCACTGAAATGAGAACTGAAAAACATGCAAATGAATATAGTAAATTTGTTCAAAACAATACAATTTTTTTCCCTACTGAACATAGAAGGACTGAAAGTGTGCGTAAATATGCGAAAAAATCACTGTTGACTATCTATTTTTAGACTTGTGACGTAACCATTAAAAAAGTGATGCACTTAAGGTTAGTATGGAAACAAAATAGGCACAATTTAGCTTTATATCAGGTATGGCAGCATTAACTTTTGATGTTGTGTTAGAATGGAAATAATATATCCTACGCAGTGAACTTAGCGTTTGATAAAATCACAGTCGCTGCTATGCCCTCGTGATATAATTTCTTGCATCAGAACTACAAACAGTTACTTTATTTAGCTGTAAAACAACTGTTGGGTATATATATTATTTCTAAAATCTCTTTCAAACATTGTTTCGTATTTATAATCATAGAAAACTTGAATATTTTACCTTGTCTCAACATTGCATTCTGTACCAATCTCAGAAAATCTAGAGCTGACTTCAGATTATCTACCTCCTAAAATTAAATCATAAAAAATTCATAATTGCCACCCTGTTATACTATTATACTCTAGCTTTTTTATCATGCTCAAGGGTTATGTTGACCCTCCCACTCATATCCCCCACCACCTCAAAAAATAAATAAAATTGTTTATTATTGCTTAGTGTACGTAAATCATTCATGCAGTTTATTGTATCCGACAAGTACAATAGATCAAGTAAAAGGACAACATAGAAATTGCTGGATTTATTTCAGCTTTCAATTACAGAATACCGGTATGACTATTAAAGAATTCAAATTTGTTTCTTATGATAATTTAAATAAATAACATTAATAATGTATATGTTCTATACCTCTGGTTGTTTATTCCATATAACTGTATACTCCCAACAACAATTGCTAAATAAAACATCATTCTCTAAACTGTGTGGAAATCTTTTCCGTAACATTGCCATCTGGTCTAACATAATATAAAAATATACAGGATTATTGTTACATTAAAAAAACTTGTATATTTTCAACTTTTCATCAATGTAACAAATACAAATAATATATGTATATGATATTTTAATATTAAACAAAACTTATTGAAACATTAACTTAAAAACAAGGAATTCTAAGATTTGTTTGAAATCATTCATATGAACATAAAAGTCATGAAAAAATAAATTTGTGGGACTCTGTTAGGGGTCAGGAAAGGCTGTGGATTGTGTATAAAAAGAAATAATAGATAACTTCATTCCAACATTGCCAATACTGACCTATGGATACAGCACAATGTAATTCACTCCTAATATTATGCTCAGTTTATGATATTATGAGGTTATTTTGCATTGTTGAGTTCAATACTGAATACACAGCTGCCCAAACTATATTGGATGAGGTACTAGCTGAGTCTGATATAGGTTTTACAGCTGTGTACTAGTCCAATAAAATCAGTATTGTTCTCAACCATGTTTTATGGCATGTTTATTTCACACAACCATTTTTTTTACATTTTAAGTGAACTTTGTTACATAATTACAATAAGGATTTGATATGGATTTTGGACTGTTAAAATAATGAAAACCAGGCTATATGGGGTAAGTTATAAGTTTGATATAAACGAAATGAAAACAAGGCAATAAGGGATGTAATATGGATTTTAATAGACATGTTTTGGTTTTTCGAAATAAAAACAAGGCTAAATTGACTAGATTGGATCCAATATTGATTTCTAGTGGAACATCAAATGGTACAAATGCTGAAAGGACATTGGTTATATTTTATAGGATCTGATATAAATAGAAAAATTTTATATTGTCACTGAGCTTTGCACCCTTGAAAATATTTGAAAATTTTCTGCTCCTTATTGAAAATATTCTATATCTACTAAAAACAAATACAGTATCTTTTATACAGTTGATGATGAAAAATCAAGACATACATGTACATAGGTACTTTGCCACATACTTTTAGATAAAAATGTATAAAACTTAAATGGCAAACATTTGTTTCATTGCCAAAACTTTGGATAAATTCTATAAATATCTTACATAGATTGGAATTACCTATCACAAAGCAAACTGCCTTTTTTAACTCATGTACTTAATTTAAATATCTGTATTCAAATATGTTTCAATGATATTTACCCCAGACATTATCTTGACTAGTAGATGATGATGATGATGATGATGGCAGTGTTTCCTCAGACATAGAACTCTCGTCCTGAAGAGGACGGTATAAATCTTCAGGCTGAAATCCGACTCTCGACACATGGCGGGCAATGACTTCAGTTATACATCCTACAGTAAAATACATGTGCTTGATCTTTTTTAATGAGTACCCATTTGATACAATATTTAAATAATTCACTTAACTTGTGCTTGATTGATGTAAAGCACTTCAAAATTCTTAAAGTTTATCAATTGGATCAAAAGTGGAGTTGAGGCAGCATGGCTTGGTTTTTTGTGCCGATGACTAAATTTCTCGACTTGGCATCAACAGGCCTAATGCCTTTACAGCCTTATTGAATTTTTCGGGAAAACAAATTACTAATTCAACACAATAGCCATTAGATTTAAATGCATTAAAAGTAAGAACATTATCATTATCATTTTGTCATGAAAAAAAGATATGCCACTGTTGATAAACATGATCAAGTTAAGATATTCTCTTAGACTACAATTTATTTGTTAAAACTGGAAAAATAATCCAGACAAACATCTTTAAATGAAATTAAATTTAGTAACTATGTAAAAAACTATTTTCAAGATATGGATAAAAAAAAGAAAATAATTCAAAAAGTATAAACATTTACCTTTTCCCCCTTCTAGCAATGTTGATATGCTGACCGTCAATTCATCGGAGCTTGGAACTCTTCTAATTTTGGAAGGTTTTAGCTTAAGTAAAGAATCTACACATATTAAATCCTCTAATTGCCTAGCTAACATACTCCAAAGTTCTATATCCAATGGAACAGGCTCAGTGTCCACTATCGGGGACAATGTCTCTGAAGTTATACTTATTGTGTCTGCATCTGGGTCTTTTGCTGCGCCATCTAGTGTGCCTCTTCTTTTTGGCATTGTGCCAGATATCTCCATGGCAACAGATCGAGAGACAATAGCAGCAAGGAAAGCTGACTGGCAATGTGATGCATGTATACACAGGTCTCGTATGCTTTGCCACCAGGGGGATTCCAACGTCTTTTCTACAACTACCTTACACTGATCTAAAAAGAAACAAAAGAAGACTGTCATTATCATGAAATAGGCCAATCATTAATACTAAATCTTATAATAGTGAACATTTACATTAAAATCCCTCCATTCATGATGACTTAATAGTCAAAACACACATTTTCATTTTCTTTATATCGTATCTGTGACCTTTGCATGTGACCTTGACCTTGGTCACTTGGACCTGCATTTTTGCACAGAACATTCTGCCTCACATTTCACATCTGTGTCAAGTTATATTAAAATTCTTCAATGCATGTAAAAGTTTTGCACCTGACAAGCATTTTTCTTTGATCTTTACCTGTAACTTTAGCCCTTGGTTCATGTGTGCAATAATACATCTCACAATGCTGAACTTTTCTATTAAGTAATACTAAAATCTAGCCATACATGTAGAAGATATGCTCTGGACAAAGTCTGGACATATCTGGTGAACTTGACTTTTCATATTTATAGATAGATTATGCCGATCATACACATTTTGCCTTACAATGGTGAACAATTTGTTAAATTTGTGAACTATATTAAAGTCCCTGAATGAATGTAGAAGTTTTATTCTCCTCTGACCTTTCTTTCAAACAAGCTCATAAAAAGTCAGTTATTTCTTACTTTTGATTTGATATGGACCATACCTCAATGACAATGCAGAAATTTAATCCCTAGAACAATATATATAGCACCATATAGAAACAAAGCAAGATGTGTTCATGAGGAAAAATACCCTCATCACATTTCTCTTCATGTATATCTAAGTTAAAATTACCTGAATTTCAACCCTTTCCCACATGGACACATGTTTAAATGTATATGGGACCAGTGCAGATCCAGATCAGCCTGTACATCCATGCAGTCTGATCAGGATCTCCACTGTTTGCTTTCTAAATTCATAAAAGAATTTCTGACTGAAAATTGAACAGTGGAGATCCTGATGAGACTGCATTGAGGTATAGGCTGATCTGAATCAGCACTGGTCAAACATGCGTTAAAACATGTATCCATGTGGTAAAGGGATTGAGGATCAAGGTCATTTAGGGGTGAAAATTGTTTGTCATTGAATCAAAATGAACCTCTCATACAAGGCATGTTGAATGAATAGCTTATTAGAATATATACATGTATCTTATTGGTAAATAATGAAATGGTCTACAGACAGGCAGACAAACAGATATTTCAAAAGTTACATACTCACCAGTTTATCACTATAACGGCATAAAGATGGATAATTTTGAATAATTTACATATACATGTATACGAAAAAAACACCCCTCCCCCCTCTCAAAAGAACAAACTTAGTTTTCAAAATGAGTAAAATATACTGAGTGACATACATGTACATTGTATATCAAAATCCAGCATTTTTTTTATTAGCAAAAAGATCAATATCTAAACTCAAAATGAAACCTTGAATATAAAATGGGTATAATTTAAACACTTGCTGTGCATAACAATACTGTCATACATTCACCTTTTTAAATCATGTAAGTTTCAAACCAGTCAAGAGTAAATTTTTTTAAAGTGCATGTATTTATGAAGGGAAAAACCAAATTTAAATATTTCTCAATGTAAGATAAACATTCAATTTAAAATGTAAAGTGATGAATCAAGAATGTTCAACCAAGCATAGTCAATAAATAAATTCAGTGTTTGTGAACCTGGAAGATTTTTTGTTCAGTGAGCTGGAACACAGGAAGTAACATGAATATGAAAATAAACCACATGATCTTTCAACTTCCTTTTCGCTAATTGCAAAATATTTCTTGTTACTCATCGGCGTGAGGGCGAAACTGTCATAAAAAACCCTAAATTTATCAAGAAAAGACGTGACTGCAATGCAAACTCATTCAGAAGACTGACATTACTGAGCAAAGTAAACATTTAATCGAAGAGATAATTTACTTTGGGAATAAGATGCTAATAAACAGATTTTCAACAATATTTTATTTCTTTCTATTACATATGTTGTTGCAATGTTGTGCATATACTGTGAAGGTCATGACACAACCTGGATGCAGACAAAATGGAAATACTCTATCGTGTAACATTTTACCTAAGGACATACCATACAACATTACCAATGTACATTTACAAGACGTCAGAAACTTGTGTAACATTGTTAAAGGAGATTTTCATGGGAATAACTGGAATCACATTAAATCTTTGCATATTTCTGTGACACCAGGTAGTGAAACTTGTCCACAAGCAATTGGACACTATGCTTTGGACAATTTGATTGGTCTAGAGGAATTCAAAATTCTATCAAGGGTTTTCATTGGGTTGGAAAACAACTCCTTTGCTGGACTTACAAATCTTAAAACATTGTCTTTTACAGGCTGTATAGATCTTCATGTGGACACAATAACAAAAGCATTAGATGGACAACTACCAAACCTTGAAATATTAACTATGACATACATAGATATTGATGGTTTCAACATGGGTAAAGATTTTTGCAACATGCTGTCTGTAAAGCCAATAAAACAAGTAAATTTACATCATTTAGCTATAGATCATGTGAACCTGGGATGTATAAATGGGCTACTTGATACATTGGAAATCTTGAACGTATCTGGCTCTACAATCATTGATGCAAATACCACAGGAACAGAAACCAAGACCTTCAAAAATTTAAAACTGTTAGATGCAAGTTATGCTGTGCTTCCAAAGTACATGCTTGGATTTTTAAAATATCTTCCAAAAATAATTGGTCATTTCTACATACTGAATTTTGAACAAGAAACAATACTGTCCCATATAGAGACAATAGATCTAACAGGAACAAATCAACAGATTCCTGTTAATCTTGACAATCTAACAATATTTTTGTCCATCAATGAAACATGGACCACAGAACATATTATACTGAGACATAACCAACTTGGACACCTAGATGTAATGGTTCCTTGTGACATATCACCTTTCAAAGTTTTAGATCTTTCATTCAACAGGATAGACTTTCTCCAACCTAACTTATGCAAATGTTGTTTCAATCTGAAACAGCTAAATCTTGAAAATAACCTGCTTTTCAAAATGGCTAGGCACAATTTTTCTGTCTTTGAAAACCTGACAATGTTTTATACAAATCTGGAAAATATAAATCTAGCCAAAAATAAGCTTACAAGAATTCCAAGTGGAATGTTCCAAGCTAACAGGAAGCTTAAAATTATAAATTTGTCTGAAAATTTTCTGAAGCAAATTACATTTAAAGTTGATCATTTGAATGAGTTGATGGATCTTGATTTAAGAAAAAATCAAATCTCAGTTCTGGATGAAACATCTTTAAAGCATCTAAATGCATTTCAGGAGAAGAGACAATATGCCAGAAATAACACAAATATTATCAATCTGGATTTCAATCCATTATCATGTTCAACATGCACATCCTTGGACTCAGTAACTTGGATTGCAAGATCAAAAATGATTAACAGAAATAATTTAGTATGTACAAATGAAAATGGCAGACATGTTCAAATAGATCAGGATACAGTTACATCAGTGATATCATTATGTAATCAGGCATCTAACCTGAGGAATAAAATTGTGATTTCTGTCCTGACACCAGTATCAGTAGTGATAATGTTAGTAATACTTTTCTGCTCCGTCAGAAGATGCAGAAATAAACGTCAATACAAGCAAAGAATGGAAGAGAAATTACATCTCATTCAAGAAAACAAGTTGGACACAGAATATGTTGTGTTTCTATCTTTCAGTAGTTACGACCATGACTTTCTGACGGAGAATGTCTACAGACCTCTTCTGATGCATTTGCAGGACAGAACAAAATGCGAGAGAGATTTAATATGTTTAGGTGATAAACATTTCCAACTTGGTAGACCAATCAATGATGAAATGGTTGTCAGTCTCACTAAGTCAGCGGTCATTCTTATCTTACTATCCCACAACTTTTGTTCCAGTGATTACTGCCGCATGGAATTCGATCTTGCATTGCAGTTAAATAAACCAATCATTTTGATAGTGAAAGACGATGTTGATCCAAATGACATGGTTCCTAGCTTGCGAGAAATCTTTCATACAAGAACAAGAATACTGTGGGAACAACATGATGGTGATGAATATAGGCTCAAAACAACATGGGATAATGTTTGTACATCCATTCTAGAACTCATTCTGTACGACTAAGCTATCAACCTACATGAATAATCAAATATGATGCTCAGAAATGTCTCACCTATACTAGCTGTAAAGATTTTCAGCAAGTTGAACAATCCAGGAATACCATCTATTGACCTATTTGATTCACTCAACCATGTCCATACCAAAAGATGCTGGAAAGATAGCACATAGCAAAATAAAATTGTTAACATTTTTTAGATATTTTTACATTTATTTGAATGCAAATATATTTATTTTCCACTGTTTAAGATGTATCTTACTGTATTTTTATGATTTGTTTTTCTAAATCATTTTTTGACGGAATTGTTTATACCCAAATTTCAAAACTGTGATGGTAGAATTAAATAAAATCTGCACAATGCAAGCATTAGTTTTCCTTTATTTTATTTCAACATATTTATTTTGATTATTCAACAATGTCTGCTCAAAGTCATTAATATTAATTATACACAAGTTTTTTTGTCTGGAATAAACCAGTAGTAGTGTCTTAAAAGAAAACATGGTTGTGATATAAAAAGAGCTTCTATCCCTCTTTTTCATTTTTGTAGGTGGGTTTTAAGTTGCCAAAAACACAGAAAAGGTAAAGCTTTACTATTGGAGGAAGAATTCAGGTGCCCCTCCCTGCATTATATCAGGCTCCAGCAGGCATCTGAGTAGAACGTATGACATTTCATGAGCTAGTTGGATAGCTTCCTCACAGGCCAGAATCCAAAGGCCATGACGGGAATCAAACCAACAGCCGGAATGGCAGGTCAAAGACAAAACGCAAAACATAGATACATGTACCAGTAATATTAAAAGATATATAATAATTTATTTTCCTTTAGGATTATTTCTATATAAGTAGATAACTTACAGTTAATTGTTCCATTGGAATGTTGCTTTTTCTCAATACAGCACCAAGATCTCCTGGAGAGCCCTGGTACTTGAAACAACACTCATATAAAAAGCTACCTGTAATATGTTAAAGGAAATGACTCATAGAAACATCCAATTTAAACTCTATACATAGATAAGCTGAGGCACTTAAAACAGGAAGATAAAAAAATACAATTAAGAAATATTATAATTGAAAAGCTTTATTTCTGTCCTCCTTCTACATTTTTAAATAAATAAATTGGCTGTTATTTGTGTAAAAATAGTAAATAAAAGACAAAGGCATAAACAAATGTTAACAAATGTGTACCTAAATGAAGTTTCTTGTCATCAGGCAAGTCTTTGACTATAGTTATAGCACTGGTTCCTTGTTGTGAGCCATCACTCTCTACTACATGTGGTGAACACGTGAAACAGGCTAGGAATGATGACACATGTGACACTGTGTCTGGCTCAAACCTCACCCTCCCTGTTGGCTGGTCTGTGTGCCCGATTCTTTGACTATGTTCCACCTGGCTGATGATATGTTCTACCTCACTTTCACTTAATCCAAGTAACATTGATAAAGACTGTAAAAATATAAATATTAAACCATTAAGCTACTAGCTAATAGAGAGGGAAACTAGAAATGTGTCCATAGGACACGGGTGCCCCCACACGCCACTGTTCTGTCAATCTTATGACTCTAGGTCAAATATTTTTTGGACTACATGCGCCAAAAGTTGAAAACTAAGTCCCACAGTGATGTTGATCATTATTCCTATAATTTAGTGATGTTGATCATTATTCCTGTAAAGTTGGTTGATTCTAACTTAAGCACTCAAGGAACAAATAACACAACATAATGAAACCGATTTTACTAAGTCAAGTGCAATAACTCTACAAATACTGGATGAATCTACAAGCAAAACCCAAGGTGCACAACTACATATGCTGACCAACATTCCCGTAAGGTTTCATGACTCTATATGTCAAATCCTTTTTGAGTTACATGCAACACAAGTTGAAAATTAAAAAAAAAATTTAAGTCAAGGGCAATAACTCTAAAAATACTACATAAATCCACAAGAAAATACCCAGGTGCACAACTACACATGCTGATCAACATTCCTGTAAAATTTCATGACTCTATGTCAAATCCTTTTTGAGCTACATGCGACACAAGTTGAAAATTGCAAATTTTTACTAACTTAAGGGCAATAATTCTAAAAATACTGAATAAATCCACCAAAATTACCCAGATGCACACCTACACATGCTGATCAACATTCCTGTAAAGTATTATGGCTCTAGGTTTTTTGAGTTACATGCGACACAAGTTGAAAATTGCAAATTTTTACTAAGTCAAGGGCAATAACTCTAAAAATAGAAATAAAACCTGACGAAAATACCCAGCTGCACAACTACACATGCTGATCAACATTCCTGTAAAGTTTCATGACTCTAGGTCAAATATTGTTTGAGTAATGTGCGACACAAGTTGAAAATTGCAAATTTTTACAAAGTCAAGGGCAATAACTCTAGAAATACTAAATAAATCCTGACAAAAATACCCATATGCACAACTACACATGCTGATCAACAATTCTGTAAAGTATCATAACTCTAGGTCAAATTCTTTTTGTGTTGCATGCCACACAAGTTGATAATTGCAAATTTTTACTAAGTCAAGGGCAATTACTCTAAAAATACTGAATAAATCCACACAAAAATACCCAGGTGCACAACTGCACATGCTGATCAACATTCCTATTAAGTTTCATGACTCTAGGTCAAATACTCTTTAAGTTATGTGCGACACAAAAGAGAACAGATGGACCGACAGACAAGGGTAAATCTAACTGTTTACCTGTGAATCAGGCTGTATTGAGACAATATAAAGTGTTTACCTGTAAATCAGGCTGTATTGAGACAATATAAAGTGTTTACCTGTAAATCAGGCTGTAATGGGACAGTTTAAAGTGTTTACCTGTGAATCAGGCTGTATTGGAGGGGTATTGCATTGTAATTGTTCAATATCTACGTATATGTCTATCAAATGATCCTGTAGATGACAGTACTGCATAAATAAACGTCTCTCAATATCTAGGTGTTCCTCACCTGTAATGTATTTCCTTTATACTTTAAGCCTCTCACAAAAAGATAAATTAACATGTGTTGTCAGTAATATATAATGTTTATCCTATTCATTTCAAATATTTCATAAACAAATGTTTGTATGTTTGAATCATTTTCTATCAAGTTTAATTGAAATTCTTAAATGTCTCCATTGAAAAATGAATCAAACTTTAACAGCAGAGTGTAACAGATCTGTTCCAAATATAAGTCATGCCTGCCATAGAATAATAGTAAACAGTAATGAAATAATGAACATGCTCAACAATACTTATTCAATGTTTGAATACTTTGTAACATCTTACAACAATAAATAAATGGAATGTTAAATACTGAGATAAAGGATAAAAGTTGTCTTTACCAATGACCTGTAGTCTTTGCACACACGCCTTCAGTATTCCTTTCATAAATTTTGGACTCAGATATCTTGTTGATAATATTTTGTCCACACCCTGAAAAAATTAAAATACTTATTTATTTAAACAATAATTAATCATCATATTTGTTTTGATTCCACTCTCCTTGAATAATTTCCTCATTAATATAAAAATGCAAACTTTAAGAGTAATAGATAATGTGGAAGATCTAGTACTTAATCATAGGGAAGCATATACTGTATGTGTAGAAATATTCGCGGGCTTCAAATTTTCGCGATCTTCGCGGTGACATTCGATCCGCGAATTCATGTTTAACGCGAATATTTCTACACCAATAATTTCTTAATAGTCATATTTTCGCGCTCTTATAGAACAATGTATATCAGCGTGTGATATGCTTTCACAATTTTTATTTAAATCTTTACTGAGTAATTGTGTTTTGTTTTCCAAGTTATTCATCATTTAAAATCGTTTATGTTTTTTTTAATTGTTTGTTCAGAAAAAACAAAACATGATCTGATCAGATGTCAAGACGTTTATGACGCAAACTGTGAACAATTATTCAAGCTAACGGGCATTCATTTGTTTGCTATAATGTGTCCGCTAGACAATGTTCTTTTTCTGTACAATAGAGTATTGTTTGACATTTGGTATTGAAAATAACTGTGAACTCCCACGATGATTACAGTAATTTTCCTTTTTAACCTGAATTTATGATTTTCGGCAGTCACCTCCGCGAATTCAAAATAGCGCGAATATTTGTATAGACCCCCAAAGTGCACCTTTCCGCGAAAATTTGCTTCCGCGAATTTAAATACACATACAGTAATATGTAAATTAGATAATATTTACATATTCTAAACATTTGTATGATAAACAACAGAAATTGTTCTTGAAATAAGCCTTTTATGTCATGATTACTATAACATTAAATGTGTGCTACAGATCATGCTAGCCATGACTGGAAATACTACTGATGTACATGTAAATTAAATGTCCAACACAGTCATTACTGACTGAGGGCCAAGACAGTTTATTTGAACAATCTAAAGATGGACGAGCAAATTTTATTCAACAACTTTCTTAATGATCATCTAAATACACTGATAACACTGCAGGAGAAATGACATAACGTTTCATTGCAGTTATTTCTTTATTCTAATGAATAATGTATAATCAAACTGTAAACAAATACATGGTACATACCTGCTGAGCTATGCTGGAAATCTTGATATTCAGGAGCAAATCTCTCACTTGAGTGTCAAATGCATCTAAAAAAACAACATTTTTCTTCATTAATGAATAAAGCATTTTACAGAATTTTGAGGAGATGAATATAAATTGTACTTAAGATAAAATGCTTTTTTGATAATAAATATTGTGAAAATTGATTTAAAAGTGAATGGGGCATGCAAGAAATCATTGCTAAATTGATAAAATCCTACTTATAGCAGCAGAATAATATTTTCATAAACAGCTTTATACCTTAAATAAGCAGCATAGTTTTCTTTTAAAAATACTTCAAAACAATTACATTTATGAGAGTATAAATATTAAATAAATTGTTGTGTGGCAGCATGGCTAAGTGTTAACATGTTGAACTAGTAATCTAAGGATTGCTGACTGCACGGGTTCAAACCCGGTTAGAAGCAAGCCGTTGTTTCTGTAAGCAAGAAACTTTACACTCACTGCTTAGTACTGGTTGATTGAGAGTGTTTCAATAAGATTATAGCTTCCAACACAATTAAGATAAAATAAATTAGTATGAACTTTTGTTAGAAATGAGAGAAAGTTATTTTAAAACATTAAAAAAATTACCTGACTCCTCATGGTTTTCCTTAAGCACTTGTTTCAATTTCTTCAGTAGGTGCATGTCCCTTACTCTCTTATTATTTTTATCACTGAAATATTTATATTATATAATAAGTATCAGTCTACACAAATATCACTGAAATGTTTATATTAACTATTGAGCATTAGTCTACAAAAAGTCAGCTAAAACTCTCTGAATGATATCAGCTATAAGGACATCCTTTGTGATGAGTATAATGCTAGGTCATTCTGACCGACTGTGATGTAGGTCCAGTCTCCATACTGTTGGGTTTAACCAATTATATTCAAGAATAAAATCTCTCACATTACATATGGCTAATCCCAAATTCAAGTCCCATAAATTTTCTTTCAGAGTTGAGTTAGGTTTTTTCCTTTCCAAATAAATTAATTCCACAAAAATTTTTTTTTTGACAAATTTCTTGAAATTTATTTGAATAATATTAATCTACTCAATTCAAGTTAAATTAAGATTTTAGGGACTAGTTATGGTAAAACAGCTTTCAGATTATGTAACAACTTTATATGTCAATGTTTAATGAAATCGAAAATATTAATATATACCTATTACTAACACAGGTGACTTTGTGATAACAAATTTACTGTACTGTAAACATTAAGCAAAACCAGTGTAACCATAATTTAATCCTTTCACTTTCAGATATGAAGCTTTGTTATTTTCTAAATCAATCAATCAAACAAATTAAGCTTTTGATTATTTCTTCAAAAATTGGCATAAAAAACAACCACCTTATTTACTGTATCTTTTGATGCAGTTTTTGAAATATAGAGTTTTGGTTAAACTAATTAACGTAAATGCAATTTACAAAATGTACAATATAAAAACAAATTCATGAAAGGTATAAAACACATCAAAATTTAAAATTTCAGTATTTAAAGATTAGGCATACTAAATGTATACATGTACAAAACTGATACAAGATGTAAATACCTGAGAGCCAGATGGAATGGTACTTGTACAGTTTTCATCATACCATCGGCATCAATGAGACCGACCTGGAAAGCTTTAATTCTGACACCTCGACAAGTGACGTTGTTCAGTCCTAGTATACCATGTGTCACACATATTAACTTGCAATGTCTGCTCACATTGAATGCTGCTATCCTAGGACCATTTCCTGCTACCCAAATCTGTAAGTATACATTTATAGAGGATAAAAAAATTGTTTTCCCAGAGTATATTCAAATGACAATGTATATAGTAAGGTATACAATGATGGGCTATTATCATAGGAAGTCATTTTTGCTATCTTTTTAATGCAGGTTTTTAAGTCATACTTTTACAATCATTTACCAAATGATGTAACAACACACATTAAATATAAAATTCAATCACTAAACAAATAAATGTGTGACTAGGTAAAAAGCTATACTAACAAAATAAAGCTTAAAATAGAAAATGTAAATAAGATTAATGAAGACAATAATGAAATAAAGTACCTCAAGAATGCCTCGCCTTGCTGCATATATGACAAGGAACTGCGCTGACCTACTCTGTTTCTTATGACTAGTACCTTCATCTTCTCTCACCTCCACCCAACCAACCTGGGCATCTCTATAACCTACAGTATATCAAATCTATATAACTTATCTCTCACCTCCACCCAACCAACCTGGGCATCTCTATAACCTACAGTAATATCAAATCTATATAACTTATCTCTCACCTCCACCCAACCAACCTGGGCATCTCTATAACCTACAGTAAATTCAAATCTATATAACTTATCTCTCACCTCCACCCAACCAGCCTAGGCATCTCTATAACCTACAGTATATCAAATCTATATAACTTATCTCTAACCTCCACCCAACCAACCTGGGCATCTCTATAACCTACAGTATATCAAATCTATATAACTTATCTCTCACCTCCACCCAACCAACCTGGGCATCTCTATAACCTACAGTAATATCAAATCTATATAACTTATCTCTCACCTCCACCCAACCAACCTGGGCATCTCTATAACCTACAGTATATCAAATCTATATAACTTATCTCTCACCTCCACCCAACCAACCTGGGCATCTCTATAACCTACAGTATATCAAATCTATATAACTTATCTCTAACCTCCACCCAACCAACCTGGGCATCTCTATAACCTACAGTAATATCAAATCTATCTAACTTATCTCTCACCTCCAACCAACCAACCTGGGCATCTCTATAACCTACAGTAATATCAAATCTATATAACTTATCTCAAACCTCCACCTAACCAACCTGGGCATCTCTATAACCTACAGTAATATCAATTCTATATAACTTATCTCAAACCTCCACCTAACCAACCTGGGCATCTCTATAACCTACAGTAATATCAATTCTATATAACTTATCTCAAACCTCCACCTAACCAACCTGGGCATCTCTATAACCTACAGTAATATCAATTCTATATAACTTATCTCAAACCTCCACCTAACCAACCTGGGCATCTCTATAACCTACAGTAATATCAAATCTATATAACTTATCTCTAACCTCCACCTAAATAGTTTTTAACCTGCATTTGCAATAAATATCATCAACATTTGACTTAAGCACTGCTATAAAATTGACTTGCACTTAATTGAATATACATAAACAAATTGACAATTGTCCATTGTTAAAATACGTGTTTAGAATTTGAAACATTTCATTCATCTATTATGGACTTTTGATCCCTAAATACACTATTTCTGAGCAACAAACATACTGCACTTCTGTGCTGTCTGACCGGGTTCTAATCTAGTCTGTGCTTATATTTATTGCTACCAGTTCTAAAAGAATCAAACAATATGAATTTTACTGTACATACAAATGAATATTTTGTTTGTTTGTTTGTTTGTTTCATTTTATCCCTTTTCCCAACAGTATTTCATCCATATAGGCAGGTAGTTTCCTAACCATAGTTCCTTGAGAGTTACACCAGTACTAGACTACCTTCCTCTGCGCTAAACTACCAAAGCATCTCCGGGGATCAAATCCACGCCAGAGAGGTAACTGGATTAGAAGTCATCCACTCTAACCCCTCGACCACAGAGGCGGTACAAATGAATATACATCATCATTAAAAAAAATCATCAAAAATATAAAAGTATTTAAGAACAAATTTATTTCAAATGACAAGTTAATGAATCAAAAAGACATTCATCTTAAATCATATAACTGATTCTGGGAAATAAATTCCTACATGTGAGGAAGAAAGATAATGAAATATCATTTACCTTTCCACATTCTGAGAGCTATTCCTCTATCAGTATCAATCAGCATTACTCTACCGAAGGTATCAGTAGTAGCAGCATATGTGTTGTTAGGTGATAAACATACTGATAAACCCTCACGTCTTAAATCTGGCAGTCCAAATCTACAAAACCCATGATCAAGAAAATTTACATGAACTCTTTACTGACTTGCTGCAAAGGTCCCAATGATATATGTCATAAAATTGACATTAAATTTGTTTACAACAATACTAAAAGTTGGTATAAAAAGATGATTTTTAATTTACAATTAAAAAAGAGTTGAATTTAAAAATGAACTCAAAGGGATATCTTACAATACAATAACAGTAACTCATTAATTGAACACCTATTTTATCACAAATAAAAAAAAGGTTTCCAACATACTGATGTCAAGTCGATAGTTTTTTTTACAATAATTATAAAACTTAAAACATCTCCACAGAAAGATAAGTAAATATACCAAAAATTAGCAGGTGCTCTTATTTGACATCTATGGAAAAAATCCTGTTAACAATATTTTAATTTGAATAGAAAATACTGTACATGTATGAATAATACCCAAGTGCTAGAGGTCATATTACCCGAGTGTTAGAGATTATATTACCAGAGTATTGGAGATTATATTACCAGAGTATTAGATGTTATATTACCAGTGTCAGAGGTTTATATTACCAGAGTGATAGATGTTATATTACCAAAGTTTTATAAATCATATCACCCAATGTTAAAGGTTATATTACCTGATAGTAAGTAATTATTTTACCTTAGTGTTAATGGAGTGGCTGGCTCTATCTTTACAGGTTTCTCAGCATTCACCTCCGGTTTACTTTTAGAACCAAAGCTTAACCAACCACTGAAATATGTGTTAAACGTTAACAGTTTTTATTCTTCTTTCTACGGTTATTTTCTGTGTTTTCCTTTATTCATATTCAAACCTTTCTATAAGTCAAATAATTTTATAAACTACAAATATTTATTGATAATCTTAACAACAAAACATTTTTTTTTCTTTAAAAGAATTGTTTCAATCTTTCTATATGCATTTAAAGTGGAACAGTCTATAATGGGCACATTTTCTATGAAAGTATTTTAAATATTATTAAAAACAGTAGAAATGTATACTTTGGATATTCTTATAAAATATTTCATTATGAACAATAATATGATGAAAAATAATATTTTGTTCTAGAACATTTTACTATCTGCTATATAAATATGTGTAATATTGCACCATGTATCACTTGCTAACAATATTCAAATATAATTATTTTGTGGTTTGTTGTTATGCTGGATACTAAATACCATCATTATTTATTGTATTACAGAACAATTCACTTTAAAGTATGTCATGTACCATCAATTGTAACTTAAGAACTTTGAATAAAAACAAAAAATAAAATAAATTTACTTATTTTTTTTTACCAGCAGGATATACAAATCAATATTACAGAATAAACTTACCTGGCTGCTGAAATAATGGCAGACTTTAATTTACTGGCAACAGCGAATGCTACTTCTGACAATATTGGCTGGGTACTGCCCTACAATTAATGATACAAAAATATTTAACAATAAAAGTAATATCTTCATGTTAGCAAGATTACAATGCACTTTTATATACTTTTGATGAGCTTTGTATGCCAATGATCGTCAATTTAAGTTTAGTGAACTTAATATTTGTGACATTTTTTTTAATGACATTACATAACAGGAAAAGTTCATTTCAATAATTTAACAGGGAATCAGTAAATAATATAAATCAAAATTGAACATTAACATTGAACCATATGACACATCATTTAATTGTTTAACCAAAATTTAATGTTAACTATTACCATGTTTGTTACTAGCAAAGATTTACATGTAAATACACATGTACAAAATTTCACATGTAATTCTTCTAAAATTCAGCTATAATTTGTTATTACACAATAATGTTGCTTACGGTATTTAAATACTACTTGAAAGTTTTACTGACACATTTAAACTAACACAAACACACAGACTCTGATATAAATAGTTCCCTAATGAAGTTATTATCTAAACAAAAATAAAACATATGTTCATCAATAATCATTCCTATATATGTGTGTTATTACCTCTATGGCAAAAAAGAATCCCAGATATGGTCCTGTACCGGACATGAGGTACACTGATGCTGCAGGCGGTGCCGGGCGTATTGTGCTGGTGTGCGATGTTACAGATGCAAGTACCATCTGATCAAAGGGGTTTGGGGTATGAACACCTGTGAAGTACAGAATAGGAAATTCAATAAAATTTACATAAAAATATTGTGCTTGAACAGTTTCTTAAAGTTATATACATGTATTAATTAAACAGAACAATATTTTTTCATTTGGCTTGGCATGAACACTTCAGATAATCAAAACTAAATTTTAATAATGGAAAATTACAAAACATATATTCAGATATCCCAAGTAAAACTGTCTTCTTTATATAATCTTGTTACATTGACACTTAGAATATTAGAAAATCCAGCAAAATTACATATTTTTTATGAGAAATTATTTCTCAATCAGGAGCTTCCAGTAAAAGCGTTTAAAAAGAAGTTTATTTCTATTGATTAACTTTCTAAATAAACAAGAATGAGATGAGCTGCGTCATGACAAAACCAACATAGTGCGTTTGCGACCAGCATGGATCCAGACCAGCCTGCGCATCCGCGCGAACAGCATGGATCCTGATCAGATGGCACAGATGCACTGGCTGGTCTGGATCCATGCTGGTCGCAAACACACTATGTTGGTTTTGTCATGACGATGCTCAGATCTTTTGAATCACCTGTTGTGTGAACATCAACAATACTGTCCATATCCTGTGGTGCCCACTTCTTGTAAGCTAGTGGAGGGGGCTGTAAACTAGCTTCACCACTTGCTGTTGCTAAACAATAAGGATTTAGTTTATTAATGTCTTATTGTAAATATATAGAGATATTTACACAAATTAATATCATTAACAAAATTACAGAGTATGATAAAAGGGTTGGGCAAGATGATAAGAGAGACAAGACTAAATTTATCTAGGACTTTTTTCTAAAATAAACATCAAATAACCTCCCCTATCTAAATCTATAGTAAATACTAGTAAAAGACATGTACATGGTACATTGCTAAATTAACTGAAACTATTTAAAATATTGAAAAATTCATACAATAATTTATGAAATAAGTCTTTGTCATAGAATTAAATTCAAAATATAAATGTTTCTGTTTCATTGCTTCTACCTATTAAGATTATATATAAGACAAAACTGTAAATATGAGTATTAAACTTTTTCCCAGCTCTAGCTGGCTGATAACTTATCATAAATAAGACATTTTTATGTTTGTTTGTTGTATCAGGTTTTAAGTCACACCAACACTTTAAAGGTCATATGGCTACTTTCCAGCATTACTGGTGGAGGAAGACTTCAGGTGCCCCTCCATGCATCATTTCAGGTATAAGCTTGCACCTGAGTAAAACTGCCTAAGCTGGCTGGAAAGCCTCTTTTAATGACAGAATCTAAAGTTCCTGAACAGATTCTAACTTGCAGTGGTGAGGGTCAAGTTGTTTCAAGTCAACAACACTGATGACTGCCACAGATGTCCTGCATTGTTATGAACTATATACAGCTACATACCTCTAGCCACCTGGTTCCTGCATGCCTTTAGTGCTTGATAAAGACTGAAACCATCAATGGTAACCAGGGCTCTTGTATATAATATCAGAAGCTCTTCATGCTGAAAAAATACCCAAACTGTTACCTAGATCATTTCATTGTAGTGCTAATTAAAAGGTGTGCATTAGATGTGTCATAAAATCATATTAAAATGTAAGAAAAGAATACTTTAAGGTATGATCATCCTAACGGGCACAATAAGCAACTGAAAAATTGACACCATAGGTCAGATGTATACCTTGGAGGACACTTGCAAAATTTAAACAAACTTTAACGTACAGAAATCTACAATATCATCTTTATAAAAAAGTTTTTTCCATTAACGTTTGGTGAGAATCAAAATGTAACATTCAGCTAACAATCTACATAAGCAAAATGATTGTTTCTACTCATAATTTATGAAATATGTATAAAAATGTTACCCTACCCCACCCATTTTAACATGTTTTTGACCAATTTCCTACTTTGAAAGCCTAATTAAAATAATCCCTAAAATTTACTAAAATGAGTGCCTGTTTTCAGTTTCCCTAAATTTTCTCAAATGTATATTAGTTAATTTTGTATAATGTTAAATACTTTTACTGTCTAGTTTTGATTTTATTGCACTTTGAAAATATCAGGTATCATATTTGTTGTAAAATTTAGCATTATTTAGCCAAAAAATACCTATATTGATTAAAAAATAAAAGTTAAACACTTTTTTCTACCCAAAAGGGATATGAGAGATACATAAATAATACATGTATAAAAAGAAAAAAAAAAGGAAAAAAAAGTTGGACTTTCTGGGGTTTGAACCCACAGCCCTAAGTTTCGATGTATTTAACAGTAGAACTAGCCTGTTTGAATACTCTTCAACACAGAGGTAATGCATTAGGATGGTCATACCTTAAGTATATCAGTGTACTTTAAGTTTATACGTGATAGTTAAGCACTTTTCCAGTGATTAATCAAGAGGACAAATGATTCAAACCTGTTCAGCTATGCCAAGATATCTACGAGGAGCATAAGTGTTACATTTCAACTTAAGTACACTTCCTGTATGTAACTTCTGTGACAGTAACAGTGTTCCAGTCTGTAATACAATAAATAAATCTTACTAATCATGTGTTCCATAACGTCCAACATTATCTACATTATTACTACTTAGTATAAATTATCATTATTTTCATATGTATATTGCAATCACAATTAAACTTCTGCCAAACCCACTTGGTGATTTTAACCAATTCTTAACTTTTTGATTTTAGCTAATTATTAATTTGGTGATTTCAGGAAATATGTAATCTTAAATTTCAGGCAATGTTTATCTTCTTTCTTTTAGGCAATATTTAACACTGGGATTTCAGGCAATAATTACCTCTGTGTACATGCGTACATATCCCGACTTAAAGCCAACAATAACACATGTCCAGTCTGGTGCACCCTGGGTACTTCTTTTCTGAGATGCTAGTGGTAAACACAACAAAGCTGTTATATATTCCCTGGAAAAAAAGGCTAGTTGTTTTAATTAACCTGCTGGAAACTGAAGTGATAAGGTTTTGCCACCAGTATAAATACATCAAAATACATCAGTGTAGTCTGACCAGTCTCTATACCATTGGAAGCTTGAACTTCATATTTTGATATTGAAAGTACTAGTCTTACTCCCACTGTTTTTAAACTATTTTATCTCTTATCATCTTGTTTCACTATTAACATTTTAACCATGACTAGAATACATTCTCAGTCTCACCTTTGTTAATGTTAATGCTTGGACTTTTCTTTCTTAGCTTTTCTTTTCACCTTTTACTAACAATCTGACGTGCACTTAATTCCTGCCTATAACACTCATAAGAGGGGTTGGCAGTATCCAGAGATAGATGGATAGATAAATCCCTATAACTCTAACTGGACTGTTCCAAAATCTGGTCTCATTGTTTAAAAGTTGACCTTGACAGCCATACAGTCATACACTGGTCATGGTCATACTTCAATAATACAAAATGAAGCTCAATTTTTGGGTGAATGTGTGTGGGGAGAGGGGGTGGGGAGAAAAACTAAAAGCAGCCTACAAGTTTTCACTTGGGGCGACCGTGGCCGTATGGTTAAGGTCGTTGACTTCAAACCACTAACACCTCACCGCTTTGGGTTCGAATCCCGACAGGGACTTTGGATTCTTTCATCTGAGGAAGCTATTCAGCTAGCTTACGGAACGTTGGTGGTTCTAATCAGGTGCCCATTCATGCCTGAAATAATGCAAGAAAGGGCCCCGAGGTCTTCCTCCACCAGTAAAGATGGAACGTCGCCAAATGACCTATACTGTGTTGGTGTGGAGTAAAACCCAATCAAACAAACAAACAAGTTTTCACTTGAAATTTTTTTTCATGTGTTGAATTCTTATTTAAATACAGTAAAGATTTTGTAAGAAATGTTACAAACCCTGTCTCCTGAGCAACAGAACCAGACCATACAGGACTATAACCAGTTGTTTCATCATCATTTCCACTATCACCATCAAACTTAGCTAAAATTGAAATTTAAAATACTCTGTAATAACTTATATTATCATGAGCATTCGTATTGTATTATATTGTGTACCATTTGGACAAAACAAAATTGAAAAATATTATTTACTAAGCTTTGGCAGGTAAAGTTAACTGTTGGTTTCTTATAACTTGTTGAATAAGCTCTGTAGAAAAGACAGAATAAGACAGTAAGAGCAATGGAAAACATTACATCAAGGTTCATATAGGCATTGCACATAATATTAGCTTGACTAACAGACAACAAACTGGTACATTTGCCAAAATGTGAGCAAACAAAAACACCCATTCACCTTTGAAATGGGAATACTGTATGTAAAGTACAGAATTATAAACTGACTTACGAGACATTAAAGCAAGTCTGTCTTGATTTGCAAGGGCAATTAAATCAGCAGCAGGGGATACTGAAATTATACAATCTTGCATCCATTTCTTCCATCCATTGTTTGTCTCCCCTTCTGACCCTTCTTCTGGAGTAGTCTCCCTTGATTCTGCCTCCTGATCATCATTCCAATCTTCCCCCCAATCCTCATCCCAACCATCTGATGTTGGAGTCACATCTGTATGCAAAGGAATAAATAGAGTTATAAAATGATTATTAAGACAAGTTTTGAGAAATGGGGAAAATGATCTTTCCTGACAGGTGATGTTGGGGTCAATGTTTTACAATAATTGCTCAAAATATAAATGAATTATTGATCTTTGTGGAAAATTATAAGAGTTGGACATGATTTCATTAATATTGCTCCATATCTTGGCTAAATTTTTCATTTTTGTTACATATGGTAATTTGGTTTTATTTCACATTATCTTTTTTATCTAATTGCAAGTCAAATATCTTGGATTAAATCTCTCACATGTTTTAGTTATTAAAATAGGGTTTGACTAAATACCAAATATGAATTCATATTTGTGAATATCAAGAGAATACCGAATATGAATATTATTTTCATAAAATTTTGAAGTAGGGTCAAATAATGCTGAAAATATGGACACTAGTTTTATAAATCTTGTCATATATTATTATGATGTGGGAATTCGAAGTAAACCTTTAAGAAATGAAAAAAAATTGAGTAAAAAGAATAAATTGTAGAAGAGAAATCGAAGTTCAAGGGGGACATAATTCTGGAAATAGCCAAGCTTTTTAAGCCCCTCTTCTTTTGACAAAGTTTCTCCACTTCTTTCATTGTAACTCACATATTTTTTTTTGGAAGTGGCTTGCCGTATGGGCCTGTATGACTAGTCAAAAGTTCTCGTTGTACGTGAGTCACATACGGCTAGCTAGGTCATACTGTATTGTCTAGCCGTATGGCACTTTTCAAAATTCTATGAAAGTCGAAAATGCATATTATGTTATTTTATGTCTATAAAAGAGGATTTTAACCAAGAAACAGCAATTGTCTTATTATGAGAAAAAAAGATTGTTTAGATGCAGTTAAAGAACATCAATTGAAATAGCTAACATAATTATTATAATAATCTTTTCTTGTTTCACCTTTAAAACAAAACAAAAAAAATGAAAGAAAAATGAAAAAAAAACACCGAAAATAATTGGTGTTGGGCTCTGATGCTGACAGTAGAAATTTGCCCATCATTAAGGAAAGTTTGCCTGTTCCGTGAAACAAAGGTGCTAGTGGCATTAATTTGACCTAAAATGTGTTTAACCTTGTTATTCATGCAATAAAATATCCATATATTAAAAAAAAAAAAAAAACATAAAAAAAATTGTTACTGTTATATTGTTATAGACAGTAAACAAGAGCGATCAGTAATCACATGTGTCGCCTCATGATGGCCAATTTCATGTTGGGACAAATTTTGTGACAGACGGACAGACAGACGGACAGTGCACAACTAGACTAACCACTTTGTACTGATCATTCCTGTAAAGTTGGATAAAATTGCACCAGTAGTTTATGAGGAGTAGTCCGGACAAGCTTTTGCGTATCTGGCAACACACACAGAAAAAAACACCTTTTTATCAAAGGGCCATAACTCGGCCAAAAATCATTCAACCTGGAAAACCCGTGCAATATGCGCAAGGACTTGAGCTACAGATCAATCCTGTAAAGTTTCATTGAAATTGCATAAGTGGTATAAGAGAAGTAGTCTGGACAAACTTTAAAAATAAAAATTTTTAAAGGGCCATAACTCAAACAAAAATCATTGAACCGGAAAATGCTGACAATATGCACAACTAGACTTGGTACTGATCATTCTTGTAAAGTTTGGATGAAATTGCACCAGTAGTTTATGAGGAGTAGTCTGGACAAGCTTTTGTGTATCTGGCAACACACAGAAAAAGAAACCTTTTTATCAAAGGGCCATAACTCGGCCAAAAATCATTCAACCGGAAAACCCGTGCAATATGCGCAAGGACTTGAGCTACAGATCAATCCTGTAAAGTTTCATTGAAATTGCATTAGTGGTATAAGAGAAGTAGTCCGGACAAACTTTAAAATTAAAAATTATTAAAGGGCCATAACTCTGACAAAAATCATTGAACCGGAATTTCCTGACAATATGCACAACTACACTTGGTACTGATCATTCCTGTAAAGTTTGGATGAAATTGCACCAGTAGTTTATGAGGAGTAGTCCGGACAATTTTTGTGACGGACGGACGGACAGACGACGGAGAAGTGATCCCTATATGTCGCCACTACTCCGTAGAGGCGACACAAAAAATTGTTTTCTTTTTTCTTTTTTTTAATAGAACTATATGGATATTTTATTGCATAAATAATATGGTTAAACACATGTTAGGAAAACGACTTTATAATTTAAAAAAAAAATAAACTATTTAATATTTTATCATAAAATATAACTTTGCATAACCAGGGTCATTCAATTTGAAAGACCCTGCATAAACATATTTCATCAAGATGACAACACTTGCATTTCCTTCGTATTATTTTTTTTTACAAAATGGCGGAGCATCTTTATTACAGTAAACATATGAGGGCAAATGCGGGTTCTTGGTTAAATCCTCGATTAAATATTCAAAATAACATAATTTTATGCATTTTCAACTTTCGTATAATTTTGTAAAGTGCTGTACGGCTTGAAAATACAGTGTGTCCTGGCTAGCCATACATGATTCACATAGGTTAGAACATTTGGCTAGCCGTACGGGCCCATACGGCTAGCCACTGCCATTTTTTTATGACATTATGATGCACAAAATATTTGTACCTCCAATATTGCAAGTTTTTAAAATTCAAAAGCCATTTTGACATTATAAATATGAAAAAGGAAAAGCCTCAAAGCGAGCTTGGTTTACTTTTACCATGAAATAGTATAAAATAATCGTTCATTTTTATTTTACATTTTCCGTTTTAAAATTGTCATTAGGTATTTTATACACTGTTTCAGTTTATTCTGGTTCCCTGTCCAATTATGGTTCCAATAGAAGTGCAGGGGTGACCAGTCTACTCTACACATCCCTTTCTTAGTCAGAATTCCTCAGTTTTTAGTGTTATTTTTAAATTCAAAAAGTTGGGGTGTGTCATTTCAGTACTTCACGACGAAGTTCAAGAACCATCATTAGCGGTATCGCGTTACTGTAAAAAGCTCAGCTGCTCTTCGAGCTTTGCCTACTTATATTATATATATATTTTATGTATATAAATAGTAAATAATGTGGCAGCCCAATTAAATTTCTATTCAACACAAAATGATGATAGTATCCCAGCTGCTGTCAAATAAACAACCCACCTTTGCCAGCTTTATTCCCATCTCTACTGTCAAAAGAATCCTTCAATTCTGGGAACAAATAGTCACGAATACCGACCACGTCATTCAGACGTATAAATGGCAACAAATGACAAGACATAGCAATAATTATAAATAACAATTAAGTTTAGAAATGTCAAACATGTTTGGTTTCCAAACAATGGTGTCAGCTCATTGCTCCTGAATGAAATGAAACGTTTCGGTCATTAGAAGAAATGGAATAAATGAGCTTTTTGTTTAAATTCTACAAATGAGCAATATACATGTGTTATAAAGCTGAATTACTACAAAATATTCATGAAATGGTTAATTTGCCAACTTTCAATTTCACCGGAACCGGAAATATTGAGTGGATGAGACTATTTTCCAGATATGCCGTTCTACGATATTCAATATGTTCCGTTCACGCCGTGTCATTACCGGAAAATATTTCAGATGTCGAAGATTATCTTTCGCCTCGTTCAATATGATTTGCACTGATTGGTGCAGTAACTGTGAATCTTGATCTTGTTTGATGACACTTCTTTTAACATTCGTCAAGTGTTCTCGAAAGTAATGGTCTTTTAATTTGATGAGATTTCTAAAGGTTGTTTCTCCCATACGCTGTGTTGTAGAGTTTGGATTTACTCCACAGGGAGTAAGGCTCCCACGTTTACAATTTTTGTAAACGTTTACACGATTGCTAATAACCGAAACGATACCGTTTAAATGGTGGTACCTCTATGTACTATACACACCATGTATTTGAGTAGCCAAATGATGTCAATCTTTCTATTTTTTACACATGTACAGATAAAGATAGCGCAGGGCTCATCACGATTGAGTCAGCACACATTTGTTGCATTGTAACCCCATTTTCTACTAAAAATGTATTATGCCACGAACAATTTTGCACCGTAATGCTGTGTGGATCTATTTTCCGTTTGTTTACTTTTAAATAAACAACTAGAATTGATAAAATCTATGATTACAGGCAATGATTAAGAAATTTTGTAAGACAATATGGTCATTTCGATTAAACGGTAAACAATATCGTAAACGTTTATGAATGAAAATCGAAACGAATCCGTTTAAACGTGTAATCGTGGGGGCCTTAACAGGGAGTATGTTTCAGTTGCGTGTAATTCTGGGCAGAAAACTGTTTTAAGTAGTTCATTTGTGTGTGTATTTGCGTTTATTTATACTCGCCACCGGTTGCCCATATGGGCGAGTCCTCCAGAAGAGTATTAGTCATTTTAGATTTTTGGAGGATAGTGCAATTACAGATACAGAAAGATGCCCCAATTCCAGAAGCTTCTCCTGGTTCTTTAGCGTGCCAAGTGTTTAAGCACCCATACACGGGACCTCGATTTAAAGTCTCATCCGAAAGACTGATTAGTAATTTTAGTTGGCCAGCCCGGGAATCGAACCCACAACGTCGAGATTACAAGTCTCGCGCTCTAACCGATTGAGCTATGCGGGCTGGCTTAAGTAGTTCAGTTCTTGCTTAAATTAGTATATGATGTTTTTCACGGTGATTTTTTTTTATATTTTCACCCATGGTTTTCTAATTAAAAGTTATTTAATAGGATTTGAGGTCCTATTGATTATTTGCAGAAAAATATTGTCCTTAATAACTTCTATTTTTTCATGGGTTCGAGATTCAGAATGTCATAATATTTGATGTGATAAATCTAACATACTAGAATAGGTATTACTAGCTAGTCTTTTCTATAAGCTGGTAACTTGATAACTTATGAACTAGGGTGTAGTTTTCTTCTTTATAGTCCTTAAGTTCTGTATGTTTTGATACAAGTTTCATCAATGTGTTTATTCAAATTAGGTTGTTGATGATATATGTACTTCGATGTTTGGAATTAATCAAGAAACTCATGTGGTGTGTATATTAACTACATGTATGTAGTAATACCACCAAAAGAACTACCTTAAAAAATTGCAAAATGTTATTTAATACTTGCTTGTGGATACATGTACCTGAAAAATGGAAATGCATACCTGTCTCTTTGTAAAACCGAGTATTGGGAAAGCCAGTTATCGTCGTAAGCTTCAACTGTCTTTAAAGTATAATTGATTTTCACGTTAAATTGTTAAGCTGTTTTTACTATAACAATGTGTACTCTTATATGTGTATATATGACTTACAAACACAAGAAACCTATATACGTTATATTGTTACAAATTTAAGCTTTTAAAATATATGTAATCTTTATACATGCACCTCTGCTATTTGTATTCATGAAAAATTCACGATTTTAAAACTACTGTGTACAACTATACGAATATATCGCCACCTTAGTGCAGTAAAATGTTTAAGTCCTTACAAATCTAATAGGAGTTAATCTGTTATTGAACAAAGGGGACGTTATACTGATTTCCCAAAGTTCGTTAGCATTATAATATTTGAAATTGTAGGCAGTAACATTTTAAAGCTTCAACATTTAACACCGAGGAATAAATGTACGGTTCCTGAAAGTAACGCTTGTGTCCACCGGCACTTCTAGTTATATTTGTTATAAGTTAAAAATACACATAAATTTCACACAGTAGACCATTTTCAGAGATCTCAAAAAATATATTTATCACACACCCGTGCCGATTTTGCGACTCCGTAAATATGGTATTGCACGGTCGTGCATATATTTTGACGTGACGTCATTAGCGTTATACAAACATAGTGTAAAGACGGGCTAAATGTTAGCGTTATACTATACAGTAGGCGCGTCAATGAAAAATGACTCTTATTTCACTTTAAACGGTCGATCTTTATTTTGGATATGTGATAAATAGAATATTAAATTCGTGTAAGTTCATTACTGAATTTATTGCACTCGTTGGATAAAATAATATTATGCTCGCCAGAGGCTCGCATGATATAATTTTATTCAACTCGTGCAATAAATTCAGTATTAAACTTACACTCATTCAATATCCTCTATTTATTGAGCATATAATTTGACAAGTTAACTATAACGCAGTAATCGGACATTAATGGGTCTTCTGGCCGAGATTTGTTTGTTAAGAGTTTAGAGAGTTGATGTTTGAATGCATTATATACTCGATTGTCATGTAAACTTGATTACACTGTTTCAAAACATTATATAATTTCTCTTATTATGCACATTATCCACTAACCACCAAATGCTGATTATATAACTGTGGGATCGGGGACAAATGATTAAAATAAACCTGACATATTGTGCAGCACATTTAGTTAATGAACATTATTTACAGCATCATTAAAATAAAAAGATTATGATGACATTATCATATTATGTATGTATGACGAGAAGTTCCAAAGACTTACGTTGGTTATAATTACATTTTGTTTACAAAACTTTATACTAAACTACAATAATATTTGATAGAATTATCTTGTTTAGGTGGGCCAAAATTTTAAATTTACACAAAGGTAAAATGGTTATTGCAAAAAATAAATGATTTAATATCTGATGTTATCTCTAATCAACTCTCACAAGTATAACGTTTTCAAAAATATAGTGTTCTTTAGCCTAAAGTTTTCAATAATCGTTCAAATGTGCTGATTTTACGATACCGTATTAGTTTGACAGATGGCGGGAAATTTTAAAGAAAAAGTAAAAGAACGTCACGAAAGATAAATGTCGTTTTTTGAGTCCCTTGACGTAGATGACAGGATAAAAGCGGCTGCAAAGAAATGTTGTTACACACTTTTGCTGATTTACATTTCCTTTCTTGTATGAGAAAATACACAACCTTATGACAGTTGGCAAAGTGATGTCTGTTGAGTGTATTCTGAAGCATTCATGCACTGTATACTTAATTGACATGATGTTATATATACATATTGATTAAAAATACAACCTATGTTTTACTTTGTAACTACATGCCAAAATTATCACAACATAACCTATTTCCCAACATGGTCAATATATTAATATTACACTCAAATTTTTTGATATAGGACGTATTTTTACATGTACTTAAATGTTTTATAATAATATTGGGTTGGCTGAAATGTATGTCTAACTATTTATTGTTAAATATTCGTAAATACTTGTATACTAGTAATTTAACTTCACATTATTTATGAAAACTTTTAACAATGAAATGATTATAATACATGTACATGTATAAACAAATTTAAATAATAAAGGAAATTAAAGTTTTTATATCTAGTATTTCACTACTTTGTTATTCTTTTGATATGGAATCCATGCTTTTTTTTCAGTGAAATTGAATTCCTGTGAATCTGTTCTTTATCTGACCAGTCCTGTGGGTGCACTGTCAATGCAAGATGTCTCAGCACTTAAGATAGCAGTTTCTAAACATATACTGAATAAACCACACAAAACTGGTAAATGAATACTTCTCTGTTTATCTTGGCCCTTGATCAGATAGAATTCCTGCATTAAAAACAAAATTGATTATTAGTAATACTGTATGTAAATTGTGTTTATTAATACTCAATTTCAAAGAACATTAAAAATGAATTGGACTCTGTACTATGCTTCCATTTATTCTTTTACTGCTGTAGCCTATATAATGACAAAGCAACATTTCTTTACCTTTTTACACTTTATAACTATTTGATATCAAAGCAAAATTGCTTCCATTTCTTACCTTTAATTATACATGTATGTGATGTTTCATCTTGTTCTCTTTAAATATATGTGATGTAACCTTGAACAAATGTCCAGTTTAATTCTATGTAATCATACCTTGTGATGTGACTGTATTCTTCTTCAATGTGATTCTGTTCTATATTTTAACAGCGTTACAGTTAACTGAGGACCTGAAAGCTGCAGGAAAATGTCGGCTAACAACTGGCTGTGTGGTGCTGGATCAAGCCCTTAGGGGTTTGTTGATAGTTTAGTTTATCTCAGTTTTATGTTCATTTTTTGTAAGGAAAAGTTTAAAACATTGAGCCATCAGTTGCTATAGCAATGACATGTTTATACATTGTAGTGCTATCAGTATGGAGTCTGATATACATGTCTACATGTCTGTGTAACGTTGACAAGCTATTATGTAAGGTGCATAAAGTCCATATTTTTAAATTGAAATTCCATACATAAAAGTAGTGATAATGGAATGTTTTAAAATTAAAGGATAAAAAATGTCTCTTGCACAAAATTAAGAGATTGATATACAGAGAAAAGATTAATGGCACATTAAACTTTAAAAATAAAAAAGATTTGTCCTCTTCAAAAAAGCAAACCTATGTTTTATGTCATTTTTATGCTCCCCGAAAAATTTCGGGGGAGCATATAGTCGTCGGATTGTCCGTCCGTCCGTCCATACGTACGTATGTCCAGAATTCGTGTCCGGTCCACAACTTTGTTATTTGAAGTCGGATTTTAAAACTATTTCACAGAAATGATCACCATATTGAGACGACGTGTCGCGCGCAACATTTGGCTCGCTACCTTGAAGGTCAAGGTCACAGCATGACCTTGCAGCAAAATCGTGTCCGGTCCATAACTTCATTATTTGAAGTCGGATTTTAAAAATATTTCACAGAAATGATCACCATATGAAGACGACGTGACATGCGCAACATTTGGGTCGCTACCTTGAAGGTCAAGGTCACAGCATGACCTTGCAGCAAATTAGTGTCCGGCCCATAACTTTGTTATTTGAAGTCAGATTTTAAAACTATTTCACAGAAATGATCACCATATTGAGATGACGTGTCGTGCGCAACATTTGGGTTGCTACCTTGAAGGTCAAGGTCACAGCATGACCTTGCAGCAAAATCGTGTCCGGTCCATAACTTCATTATTTGAAGTCGGATTTTAAAAATATTTCACAGAGATGATCACCATATTGAATCCACGTGTGGCATGCAACATTTGGGTTGCTACCTTGAAGGTCAAGGTCACAGCATGACCTTGCAGCAAAATCATGTCGAGCCCATAACTTTGTTATTTGAAGTTGGATTTTACAACTATTTCACAAAAATGATCACCATATTGAGACAATGTGTCGTGCACAACATTTGGGTTATTTTTACACTTTGAACTTAGTCTGTGACATAACTCTGACACTACAAGAGGTATAGTTACCTTCCTGTGTCCAAAACCTATTCGGGGAGCATCACCCGGTTCAACCGGCTCTTGTTTACTGGATTTAGGGCATGTTAGATGCTAAATATGAAGAAAGTAGTGTTAAAAAGAAATGTAAACAAGAGTTTTTTGTCTTTCAATCAAAATAATATATCACTATAACTTAACTAATAGCCAAAAAGCAAAATATGGATCAGCCATATAGTGCCCTACCATTTTGGAACCTCTAAAGTCTTTGAGAAATTGGGACTTAATGGGTCTTTAATTTTCACAATTATTTCGTATAATTGTTACTAAATTACGACTACTGCTAAACAATTAGGTAAATTTCAACTGTTTTACATACTAGAACATTGTGTTTAAATTTATGATGACTTTATTTCAGGTGGTATCTTACCTGAGGGAATTACAGAGATATCTGGGGAGAGTGCTAGTGGAAAAACACAGTTTGCTCTTCAACTTAGCCTAACAGCTCAACTACCTAAAGAATATGGTGGACTTGATAATGGTAAGCAGTGATAATAAATATGAGTGGGCACAAGGTTTAGGTTACTAACTAGATCTACACTGTAACTTTAAATCCAACCAGGCAAAATAAATTCTTTTATATGAAGCTTTCTAGCTGACATACAGAAGATAAGGTGTCTAATCAAATGCCGACTTGTGCCTGAAATAATGCATGAGAGGGGAACGAAGGTCTTCATTCACCAGTAAAAATGGGAAGTCACAATATGACCTTGTTAGTGTTCTTGTGACATTAAAGCCACCCAAAAAAGAAAAAGGGGGAAAAACGTGATCTGTCAGGTAAGTTCAATAGGAGGACTGTGAATTGGGCGACTTGGGTTTGATTCTCGGACAGTACAGGGGTAACAAGTCATTTTTTTGTGATGGATTATGGTCATTTGCACTGTACCACATTTCTAGCATGTACAGAAGTTACAATTTCCTTTGAGAAAGTAAAGGCAACTTGTACTGGTAAACTGCATAACAGACTGCCCATGGATGTTGCGGTGACTGAAAACACTTTGGTAAATTAAATGTGCCATTATACAGAGGGTAAACTACCACCATCACTAAAGGAATGAAAAAAGATAAAATTTTAGGAAAAGCACTGGTGCTAGATAACAGACACTAATGTACATAATACCATTTAAACTGTGCAGCAAGCCTTTAAACTACATAAAGTAACAAAGGTCTAAAACAAGTCAGTTTTATTTCTTTCTTTATTTCTAATAAAGGAACTCTGTATATCTGCACTGAAGATGCTTTTCCAAGTAAACGGTTGTATCAGATGATTGAGAACTTCACCAGTCGTCATTTGGAAAAAAAGATCTTTAAACCCTTTGGGAAAAACCCTTGGGGATAGAAATTTTTTTTGAACACGTTTTAGATTTTTTAAGTTAAAACCCCCTGTAATTTGTAATTAGTTTCTTTTAACTAAAAAGGGGGTTTTGAAGTTTTTTAAATTTAGTAATATTTTTTGTTTATAATTTTTTGAAAAATATTTTTTTTGACTTTAATATTTTAAATATTTTTTTTTTCCTTTTAAATGGGCCAATTTTTTGTATTTGGGGCTCTGTTTTCGTTTTTTGTTTTTATTTCCAGATTTAGATGTGCAGCCCGTGTTAAAAATTACTTTTATTTATAATAAAAAATTTTCCCTTTTTATTGAAATTTAAAACCTGAATTTAAAATTAAAAGAGGGAAAGAAGTAAAAAAAAATCCCGGGGTAAAGTGGGTTCTTTTTAAACTAGTTTAAAATGAAAAATTAAAAACGTCACAGAGTATAGCCTGACCAAGAACTGAACCTAGGACCCACAAAATTCTATTCCTTTGCTCTACCAACTTAGTTACCCTTCAGCTTACACATTTCCTTAACATTTTATTTGCCTGGGGCCAGTTTCTCAAAGCTCTGTTAAATTTAACCGTCCATAAAATCTACTAACACTCTGTTAACAGAGCTTTGAGCAACTGGGTTCCTGATCTATTTTTCTTATCAATTTATTACCATCATCATCATTAGATGATTTGTGATAGTAAAAACAGCAACAAAATGTTGCCCATAACAAAACAAATTATTTATTCTTTTTAAGAATGAGGATTTCACATTTCATTATGATTTAATTACTTATTTTTTTTTAAAAGCGAATAAATACATGTATTATTAATTGACTGCTATAGGAAGGTTTAATGGAGTGTTTGGAGAAAAAGGCGGACTTGTTGCTGAAATCTGCCTCAGTCAAGCTTATAGTACTAGATTCAGTGGCAGCACATTTCAGAAGTGATTATGAAGGTCACGAGATGTACAAGAGAGCTCAGCATATCAGTTCTGTTGGCTCTCTTCTCTACAAGTATACTCACCTGTATCATATACCTGTTGTCTGTATTAATCAGGTATGGTAAACAAAAATTAACTAGTTATTGTATTTGTATATAAATGGTTACATTCTTTTTTTTTAAATTTCCAGAATAGGCCAATAATGATTTGGCACCATGAGCCTGTGCACACTATTTTTAGACTGTGTCTTCACGATCTAGATTATATCGAAACTTGAAGAAATTCTCATTATGTTATCATAATGTTCTCTTAAGTTGTGCCGATTGCTAATAAAAATCTCTGCCAAAACACAGTCAAGCACATAATTAGTTTATCTGGATTATTATGTTGGATTCTTTTTTTTTTAATGTTTTTTAAATGCATCATTTAATTGTACTAAAATTTGTGACATTAAGGTCATTTTGTCAGTGATCTTTACAATGTTCTACAATTTTCATACGAATAAGTATAAAATATTGAGCCTGTTTAGCTGAAATTACATGTAGGTTTAATGTTTATAGTACTCAAGTGTTACTTTATAAATTAAGAAAACATTTCATATGTAATAAATAAATAGTTAAATTAGTTAATTTATAGTTTAGAAAGAAATAATTAATACATGTGAATAGAACGGTTCAGATTAAATTTTACTTTTCAATTATTATAGTGAAATTACCTGTATTGTTAAATTGCAAATACATTTCAGTAATTTTTTTTTTCTTAGGTGACCAGTTCAATGAATCCAGAAGGGAGACAACTCATACCATCTTTAGGATTGACCTGGTCGAATCATGTGACGACGCGAATCATGCTAGCTCGTACCCAGCGTACCGTAGTGATTCAGCAAGACAGTGCGAGGGGTCGCCTAGAAACTGTTGTTAGGGAGATGGAGATAGTGTTTGCACCTAATCTACCGTCAATGACTGTACCTTATATTATAGATCATGAAGGAATGAAAGGGTTTAGATAGCATTAAAAATCAACGCTTGTTTATTCTTTACAATAATAAAATTAACTAGTTTTAATGCCTTTTCTGTTTGCCTTAAATCCTTATCAAAACCATTTATGATTTAGTGTTTTGAGAGAAGCTGACAGAAATGAGCAACTTGACACATCCTTGCAGAATAACCACAGTTGCCCATCTATTATATAAGGCACAAAAAGCAACAAAGTAAAACCACAGACCTTTTAATTAAATGGATAGCTTCTACTGAATCACATTCAACCAGGAGAAAGTATCAGACAGGCAAAAGTATGTAACAGACAGATGAGGTATCAGTAAAGGTTCTGCACACAGAATACTAACTGATCTTGTAAACTTGGTGCCCATGCTTATTATAAAGGATGAAATGAATGATATCATACCCTGCATGTTGAGTAAACAGTAAATGCTGATCTAGTTAGGTTTAATGTGTAAATTTCAAAAAGAATGTTGACAAGTGTCAATATAGCGTGTTTAAAAACCTTTTCCTTTGCATGATCTGCAATGTTACTAATGCAGAAACCAATATAAATAGGAGAAGATAGTTCAGTTAACATGGTCACATGTCACAACAGTGGTCCGGAAAAGTTCCGGTATCTGGTATGCCCTTGTGCCGTATATCGATTTTTGTCATTCAGAGTAGGCCCCTATCATATTTCAAGCTAAAGTTTCAATCGACAAATTGATCACCAAATACATGATATAATTAATCAGTTATAATTTTCTGTGGCACAAATGACTTTAAATATCAAAACAAAAGCAGTTATTAGTTTCCCTCTATGTTTGATTTGATCCTGAATTCCGTGCGTTCTGGACCACAGGTTGCGACATTAATACACTTGAAATGGTTCTTCCAAAAGAGTGGCAGTGCAAATGTTGATTATGATACAATCTTGTCTGCTCAAACATTATTGCTGATGTCATTGTTAAAAATGGGGTATGAGTGTAGGACAATGCAATCATGTAAATATTCAGCTAAACATAATACATGTACCATTTTCATGGACCACTAAAAATGGACAAATGAACAAATTCTTTGTTTACACTTTTATTTTTCATAAATAAAAAGATTTTTTAATAAATACCAACTTAGAACTTATATAGAACAAATACAAAAACAGCAAGCACTTAACTTGATCTTCACTGACCATGAAGTATAACAGTATATTCAATCATCTTACATGATAAACACTGCCATATATTTATACAAAATATCCTGTCTAAAATTATATTTCCTAATGGCAGCCATTTTGTTTTTTTTAACACACCAGACTTTAGAAGCAATAATGCTGGATATATGCCAGCAGTATAGAGCCAGGTCAGCCTCTCTACATTGTTACAGTCTGACCAGGCTTCATACTGTTGGTTAAATTTACTATAAGATTATGTGAGGTAAAAGTTTAAAATGCGTTAAGTAAAATCTAGTCTGCCATCTTAATCATTTTTGTATCTCTATTTTCCTAACATTCAGTAAAAGATTTTTTTTTCAACTTTAACTGCTTTAAAATTGTGTAATACACACTAAATGACAATCAAGGTTTAAAAATTAAATATATTTCTTTCTTGTTTTTGTTATAACATAAGACATGTCTGATAAATCCTGTAAAATATATTTTTCTTTATTTAAGTTATTGAAGTACTCTTGAGTACCAATATAAAGTCCTTAGAAATAATGTGAAGTGCCAGGATGAATTACAGTACTAACTTGGCACTTTTCCAAGAACTTGTTTGTTACCTTGTACTGAAAATTCAGTACTTGTAACATCCCCAAATGACTAAAGCTTAGGTGAAAATACCCAGGCTAAGATTAATATACATTTAATAAAGTATTACTACTTTACGATTATCATAAACATCTTAACAGATCATCAGTAACAATTGAAAAATTAAATTTACAGAGCCCTAGATACCGTTCATTAACTTTTGCAAACAATGAATTAAAACAACACATGTTAATTAACACCACAAGCACCATTCATACAACATGTACATTAAATTATAGTTCTAATTGTCAAAAAGGCAGTGATCAGGCTGCTTTCTTTTCCCATAACCATTATCATTTTTAAAAAGATGAACTTTACATGAAACTTGTTTTTTGTGTCTTTTGCAAATTAGAAAAATCTACCACTTGTTTTTAGTTCTAGCTATATTCATATTACTCTAAATTGAATAAAAGCCACCAGTATCATGGCTGTAAAGTTTGTTAAAAGATAAAATCTAAGGGTTTTATTTTAAAATGTTTTAGTTTTCCCATCCTGTAGCTAGAACATCCATACATCGATGACATGGTGAATCTGCTGACTCGGCAGTAAATCTTCTACAACGTTCACAGAGGAAACAATCTGTATCTTTTAAAATAATCACATATTTCTCTGGATGTTTGAATCCATCTGAAAATAAATATTTAATAAGTTACACCATTTGGTGCTGGGAAAAACAAAATGAATCAAAACAACAACAGTATTAGCAGTAAGTTTTTTGAGGTTATATATTGTGTTATATAACAATTTTTATATACAGTCCTATAACTTTAGAATTCTAAAGTCTTCAATAAAAATCATGAAACTGCATAATTACAGTGCCATTTAAATCATAAACTTGCAACAAAACAATATAAATGCCACTTTTGTCCAATGACGATAAACAAATGTGTAATATTATAGTACAGAAAGTACCTTCAAATTGAAGCCTCTAGGCTTGATAAAATTTAACAGTCTTACTTTCAAATATACTTGGTAGTAAGACAGGGGCAATTTTATTTCATGCCAATTTAAGAGTCTGATATTGTCAACTTAGTTCTATTATTCCGTTCAATCAGTCTAGAATAAATTATTGAATAGGCCAGCATATAAAATTTATAAGAAGATAGATTAAATATAAAAAAAATTATCGATACAGTTAAAGGCCCATTATGCCTCAGAAATTCTAACAATTTTATTTCTCATAGGTCTTTAATAAAATTATAGAAACCTGACCCACTCTGTTTCGTGTGTTTCACTTTCCTTATTCTTTTTATTAATTTTATTTCTCACATATTTTTATTTTTTGTATCTTGTAACAGTTTCCAAAATGTTAACTTATTAGCTATTGTTAGAACTTCTCCTTTTACTTTTTACTCTATTCGACATTTGGATAATTATAGTGAAATAGTATTTTTGTTTACATTTTTTGCTACTTTTTCGATACATTAACTGCACATTTAGCGCTAAATTTTCTCAAGTTTGTTTAAAACATCTTACATGCTTTAATCATTGTTAAAACATTTATTAAACCCATATTTTGATATTTCTAATGAATTAAAAACAAAATTTTTCTGAGCATAATGGTATAATCAGGAATATTTATACCTTTCATATGAACGTTACAAATGCCATTAACTGCCTGCACATCATCAGGTATGACAGTAAGGGCCTCGTCGGTCAATGTTGTACTAGCTGTTTGAAATATCTCACACAGAGCTGACTCACTGGATGTATGATCCTTCTGTAACTCCTACATGAAAAATGTAACACTTTGAAAACACAATGGTTTGACATTAAATAAATACTAGACATATGACTGGTTGTTATATTTTTTCTGGTCCTTCGGATCACTGAGTCCAGCACTTTTAAGTGTTGAGAATTAAGTACTGCTCAAGCCAGTGCTAGGAGGCATGAGGGTTGTTGCACTTTTTTCATTATCCCTCATGGACAGACTCATTTAAACCAAGTTTGCAATTTTCATTTAATTTTGCTGTTTTTAATGCTTCTGAGGGATCACTTTTGCCAGATATTTTTATAAATACTAGAAATGTTTCTATATGAGATAGATGCCCCTCATTAGTCTAAGGACGGACAAAAGCAAAACTATATTCCCTACCCACCAACGGATTCAAAGCTTCACTTGTATTGATTAAATGATCACAGACAACCAAAGATAACATGAAAATTCTGCCAGCAGAACATTGTGCTCGATTATTCTTAATGCTTGACAATAATACAAAAGGTTCAACGGGCAACATCTCTACCGAGGCTCTTTTTCTCAAATTATTGATTGGACAACAATACAACACAAGGTATCATTATGTCCTTAACCTTTGAACTAAATACTTCAAAATCAGTAACGGTCACCTACTGGTCATTGGCAATGTTTTAATCAAGTAACATAAACCATGGCTTAATCCTTAACTTATTGATTGGACAAGGAAGATGTTATATATGTATAGATGATGGATTCATGCATGAACCAATTCCATCACAGCACGATCAAACTTCTTATTAGTGGAGCATAAATTAAAAGGCAGACGGGGGGCATAAAATTTTCAAAAAGAGTTTGAAAACATAAAATTTAGTGTTCGCGAGTCAAATTTTTTAATTGGGAGAGGGAAAATTTGGGTGCCGTATTTAGTTACTTTTGGGTGATAAATGTCTCATATATGGTGATTACCATGTTCAAATATGACATAAGTAAAAGGTTAGTTAGGAAGCATTACCTGCAAAGGTAGTTGAGAAAAAAGGGTTCTCAAGTTTTTATCATAAATCTAAAAAATCCAACTTTAAAATTTATCACTTTTCATTTCAAATGAAAAGTTTTCAATCATTTTAATTTGTTATATAGTAAGCTACTTGTATAAATGAGGACATCAAATTCAATGGAAGGCTCTGATTGGATGACATCTTGTAGATGATCTCTGATATCCATTACTGGCTCAAACGTATGTACAATATCTAAGTTATTCCACTCTTCAGGAAGACTATACCAACCAGTTTTGAATAAACTATCCACATCTGTAATGACGATAGAAAAATAGCTGATCTGGGTCATATATTCCCTATATGCTTGTGAAACTCTGACATTCTTCATCAGTTTTATAAGTCATATAAAGATCAAATTAGCTTCTGTGTGACATCACTTTTCAGAATAAATATAAAATGAATGATATGAAACTGACTGAACAGAGACAAGCAATTGAGTTGAACACATCTATAAGAATTTAGATTGATAGCTGTCTTACCACACTTGACTTGTTGAATAACTGGTAAGAGAAATAATGAAAATAAGAACATGACTTTACTGACTCAAAATAAAAGCCAGTATTTAAATGCAATAGCCATTATTCTTACAAACACATTGTCATTAACCTGGCTTTGTTACCATCATTCTATCAACAAGTTTTATCAGATTTTGTAAAAAGCAAAATGTTGTTACTATGAATAAAATTTTGGCTTGTGTCTTCTTCCTGGACTATAACCAGTACTTGTGTTAGATAACATTTTCAGGATCCCAGTCAGGTTCTATCCAAGCCTGGGTTTAGAGGTAGACACCTTAACGATAAGACCACTGCTCCCCTTATGAAAATGAGGCTTAAAAAAAACATCCATAGAATGAATTATGATATCATACCTTTTTTCCGCCTACTAGGTGGGTAATGGTAATAGAGATCTTCAGTTATATGTGGTAAGATTGGTGCCAGTGACCTTGTCAGAACATCTAATATATAGTACTGAGTGGTCAAACTAGCTTGACGAGGTAAACTTTCCTTCTCTCCACAATAACACCTAGAAAACATAGCAATAGTAGGTGAATGATTAAGCAAAATATTTCTTTCAATAATCCAATAAATAATGAACACTCTGATCTTATATTTAATTAAAAAATAGTCTTAAATACTTTAGCCCTACTTGTGAATTGCACTCTAGACTTTTTAAACCAAGGCCTTTGCTGAAAAGACAAATCTCTTCAAAATCAAATTCTATGATTCTGTAAAAACAGAAACATAAATTCACCATTATATTTCATAATACTACATGTGTGTACATGATAAAGTTGGGTATTATATATGTACAGTATATATGGCTCACCACCTGACTGAACCATATGGGCGAGCACTGGTTTTAAATATCACATTGTGGCTATTCTATACTACCACACTTACATAATACTAACAGTACAAACTAGAAATCTTACCTGTCTTTGACAATCACAGAATAGAATTTGGACACTTCCTCTTTACAGAATATATCCACAGCATGTAGCAGCTTTACATACTCGTAATTTTCATAAAATTTCACAACCTACATATGATCAAAAATATATAATTAACTTGACTTCTGTCAACATTATCACTTAATCAATCATTTGCAGATACATGTAGAAATATATTCATTTCAAATCTATATAAACTGCATCAAATATCTTCATGAAAGTAATGAAATCAAATTTCTTGTGACATTTTTAATTTCTATCAAATAATTCTAACTTCTTGACCTGCGTTGATTTAAATTTTAATAACTATTCAAGTGTACTGTGTATACATTATAAAAAGCAAAGGCTTGGAAAAAACTATAAGCCTGCGGATATATAAAATTGACGGCAAAACAAGATGGTCACTCAACTTTTTTTTTTTAAATTTCTAGAATGTAAAAAAACCAATGTTCATACCTGAGTTCCTAGTTTATAGAGTTGGTAGAGCATATATTTATCTTGAGGCCACAGTAAGTTATAGTCAACAGGTTCTGGTGAACTCCCAGTACTAATGTTACCCAACAGAAATCTTAATGACTTTCTCAACTGTATAAAAGATATAAAATTTATGTTTCTTTCTAAAGAAGAATTCAATTCTTTCCTCAACTATCTGCATATGAATTTCAAATTTTCTGCCTAAAATTATTTTTTTAAGTTGACTTTGATGAAGTACTCTCAAATCTGGTTCCTGGAACAAACCAGTACAGAGTGTCATATGAGGAAACATAACTGTGACCTAAGTCAGGTTCAAACCCATGATCCGCACATTGAAAGGCAGATAGTAGGCCATAATTCATGTTAAAATAATATCAAATATGTTACTTATGCCCCAAATGGTCACAAAAGCTAGACATAGACCATTACACTTGATGTCCTACATCAACATCCACTTAGCTCAATAAGGAGACCATCTAATTTGCGATCCAAGAGGTCCATGGTCTGAAAACTTCTGAATAAATTCTCAAGAGCAATATACATGTACATGATAACATTAGAATAGTTGATCACATTTTTACCTCATATATTTCTCCTAACATCTGATCCAGCTTTGATTTTCCTATGGTAGAATGTGTTTGTAAATTGGCAACAGCAGCCCACCACCTTAAAACATCAGCACCATAGGCTGGCTCCTTCTCTTTATTCTAGAATATGATTTATTGTAAATAGTTCAAGATTATATGTGATATACATATATATCCCTTTATACGAGATAAACTGTTAAGTGAGCTATATTTTATTGACATCAACCAACAATATAAATTAAAAAGAAAGCAGATGTCCAATCTTTTTTTTTAGTTCAGAAAACTAATTGAAGTAATTGGTTAAAAATCGACATTTTTCTTTTATGTGACTAATGTAAGTTACTTGAAGGCAACAAGTAAATGTATGAAAAATTTAAGAAAGCCAGTGTATGAAGAAATTATTGTTAGAAAGCAACGCTCAGCCTTATCCTTAAAATTTGTTAAGTCACTGCACCGTACATACCAATTACAGGCCTCGACATTAGCGGTGGTCCGTTGGTCCCAGACCACCTGATATTGGCAAGGACCACCTAATTTTAAAAGCCGCTGGTCCGTCGGACCACTTGAATTTTCTGGTTGGTGCAGACTCATTTGGGAGAATGGTGATTTGGTCAAAAACATGTTATAAACATTTTCTTTAAAATCATTTGTCCGATGTACATGTATATGGTTCATTAATTATCTGATTAGTTAAAAAAAGTTCTTGAGTCATCTATAATTTCATTTTAAGTCGCTAAATTTGGTTTATGCAAGTTAAAAAGAGTTTAGACTTTTGTTGATATCAAATTAAGTACAAAATGCATTCAAATGATGCTAATAATTATGCATCGTCAGATACTACGGTGGAAACCAGTAACATTTATGTTATAATTTCATGTTAATTAACCGTGGTGCATCCGACGATGGTAATTATCATATTGTATGGGATATAAGATAAACTCAAAATTTTTCATATACTTAATAATGGCAGCAAACAAAAGGAACTGGAATATATGCATCTAAGTAATTCTTTGCTACTTTATTCTTTTATTTTAACTTGTTTTAACGATAGAGAATCCATTCCTTCTCCAGAGTTAAAATTACTTTAAAAGGTTAACACATACTCATGTTAAAAATAAATAATAAACAACAAGCAACAGGGAGGTAAAAATTCGGGTATTATATCTCATCTGTGAGAAAAATAAGCCTAAACTATATAGTTATATAAAACATTAGTTATTTTTTTTTTATCCTCTAGCTATTTCCTTGTTTTAAGATAATTTATTAGTTTTATTAAAAAATGTTAATCTATAAAAGATACATGTCATTACAGACACAAATTGTTTCACTATTCCCTAACTTGAGTTGAGAGAGAAATCACTTCAATATAAAAGTTAACATAAACAAGATATGTTTGTAAAACATGTATGCCCCCTATCAGCAGCCAATTAGTCATGTGATAAGGTTATTATGCAAGTGAACTTCTGAACCAGTGATCAAAACAATTAAATAAGGGTTATCAAGTATCTACGTGGTCATTGAGCCTTAACCTTCTGACCCCTTGACGCCAAAACTCAATAGGGGTCATCTGTTGGCTCACCCGACCATATCATACACAAGTTGAAGTTCCTAGGCCTAAAGGGTTTTTAGTTTAATTGAATCCAGAAACCGTTTTAACCTACAAGATCAATGTGACCCTTAACCTTTTGCCCCTTGCACCCAAAATCAATAGGTCCTTCTGCTAGTCATGACCAATCACCATACCAAGTTTTGAAGTTACTTTAGGCCTAAGGGTTCTTTAGTTATTGATTAAAAAGCTCGTTTTAACATACATAGGTCAAATGATGACCTTGACTTTGACCACAAAATCAATAGGGGTCATCTGCGCTGCCATCGAACCTCACCATGGTTTGAGTACCTAGGCCGAAGCGTTCACTTTTAGTTATTGAAGCAGAAACCGTTTTTGACTTACAATGTCAATGTGACCTTGACCTTTGACCCCTTGATCCCAAAATGTCATAGGGGTAATCTGCTGGCATGACAAATCACCATACCAAGTTTGAAGTTCCTAAGGCCTAAGCGTTCTTAAAGTTATTTGATGCAGAAAACGCGTTTTTACTTTAGCAAGGTCAATGTGACCTTGACAAAAATTTGACCCCTTTCGACCAAAAAACTCAAATAGGGGGTCATCTGCTGGTCACGACCAAATCAGTCATACAAAAGTTTGAAGTTCCTAGGCCTAAGCTTTTTTTAGTTAATTGATGGGAAACCGTTTTACCTACAAAGGTCAATGTGACCTTTGACCTTTTGACCCCTTGACCCCAAAATCAATAGGTCATCTGCTGGTCATGACCAATCACCATACCAAGTTTGAAGTTCCTAGGCCTAAGGGTTCTTAAGTTATTGATTGGAAAGCATTTTTACCTACAAGGTCAACGTGACCTTGCCCTTTGACCCCTAACCCCAATATCAATAGGGGTCATCTGCTGGTCATGACCAATCAGGACCAAATCACCATACCAGTTTGAAGTTTCCTAGTCTAAGGGATTCTTTTGTTTTGATCCGAAACCGTTTTTACCTAAGAGGTCAATGTGACCTTGACCTTTGCCCCTTGACCCAAAAAAGACAATAGGGGTCCATCTACAGATCATGACCAATCACCATATCAAGTTTGAAGTCCTAGGCCTAAGGGTTCTTTCGTTATTGATCGGAAACTGTTTTTACCCAATGAAGGTCAATGTGACCTTGACCTTTGACCCCTTGACCCCCAAAAATCAATAGGGGGGTATCTACTGATCATGACCAATCACCATACCAAGTTTGAAGTTCCTAGGCCTTAAAGTTCTTTAGCTATTGATCGGAAACCGTTTTTGGCTTACAAGGTCAATGTGACCTTGACCTTTGACCCTTGACCCCAAAAATCAATAGGGTCATCTACTGATCATGACCAATCACCATAACCAAGTTTGAAGTTCTAGGCCTTAAAGTTCTTTAGTATTGATCGGAAACTGTTTTGCTTACAAGGTCAATGTGACCTTGACCTTTGACCCCTTGACCCCAAAATCAATAGGGTCGATCTATGGTCATGACCAATCACCATACCAAGTTTGAAGTTCTAGGCCTAAGGGTTCTTTAGTTATCACTCGGAAACCATTTGGTCTACGGACCGACGGACCGACGGACCGACGGACCGACAAGTGCAAAGCAATATACCCCCTTTTCTTCGAAATGGGGGCATAATAAGAGCCCTGTTGTGTATTTTGAATGACATATAAAAAACCAAATAACTTTATGATAAAATAACTACTAACTTGCTCTCCTTTACTAGTATTTCTGATTACATAAAAATATATATCTAAAATATCTGTTTTCTTAAGGTTAATGATACATCTTTGTCATCAATTTTAAACATATTTTTTCTAATTTTGCAGTAAAATGACATAATAATAATTGACCACCTGACTCCTGGAAGGACCGCCTTAATTTCAAATCTAATGGTCCGGCTAACCACCTGCTAAAAAAGTTAGTGTCGAGGCCTGCAATTATCATTGACTATTTAACTTTTTTAGTTGATTTCTTTCCTTATCAAATGTCAAAAGTCCTTAATCAAGGGTCCTAACATACCTTTCCACCATTAATGACTACATCTGGATCTACCACATTACCTATTGACTTGGACATCTTTTTTCCATCTTCATCCATTGTAAACCCATGTACAACTAAACTTCTGTAATAGTGATCAATTACTAGCACTACATTACAACCTTCTATAACATTGACCTTTTTAAGATGCAGAAAAAATATGACATAATATGATATAAAATAACATGATTTATTAGTGTTTGTTTTTGGCTTATCATGCTGTTTGTTATTAAAATAATCACAATAATTTTTCAATACAATCAAACTCTGATCAATATTTTACATTGACAATAAAAATACCTTTGTTTTTATATTAAGTTATTCATTTCATCTATATTTATATAACCTACTTTTTACTTTCTAAATACGTAAAGCTAGAATGTACAAAGTCATGTGCATATCAAGGAAGGTAACACCTCAAATTAAAAGGGAGTTAACTCACTTGTAAGGCGCTCTGTCTTTTACTGCCACTGATGTAAGAAGAGATGACTGAAACCAGCCCCGGAACTGATCGGTTCCTTCCATATACACGTCTGCTTGTTTGTCACCTGATAATATTAACAATATATGTATGTTATACTTCAAGTGTGAATAGATCATATAATTCTCATAGTTACAAACTTGCCATTCTTTATCACACTGATGTATGTTATCTATCATGGCAAAACAGGAATATGTATCATATTCATATCAATATATGTATGCTTATCACTTGCTGTTTTTGAAGTATACCAAGATATTATAAATCCATGTAGATGTGTTTAATTAGAATTCAAATCAACAGCAATATCTTGAATTCATATAAAAGTTGTCCTATAAATATGATGTTGCTTTGAGATATTTTTGCTTCTGGGCAATGCAGTTGGGTTTGACCAACATAAACTATATCAAGCCTGTAAAGTCTGATATATTGGACTAATATAAAAGTTCCAACCATAATACAAGGTATATAACACAAAATAGCAGATGTAAAACTTTAATCAATTCACTTTTATAAACATGTACATTTATTAAGCTAACATTATCAAGCATTTTCTATGCTAGAAAATGTTTAATCATTGATGTATATGGACAAGAAAATCTTTAAAACTTTAAGTACTGTAGAATACAAACAAACAAATTGCTCTTGAAGTAAGAAATTACCTAGCACTGCTGCCCAGGATGCCCCACTATCAAACCAGATATCTAATATATCTTCTCCTTTTGTATAGTCATCACTTGCACCCAGTCCATTCTAAATACAAAACCATTTACATGTTGTCAATTATCTGATAAAAACCTGTGATATTAATCAAGTAAAAACTTATTCTGACTGCAAACAACTTTCAGCTTTTGCATCAGATACATGTACATATAAAATAACTCTAACTCTATAAGTTTTTGCTTATATTAGCAAAATTCTTAAATACTGAAGGTTTAAAGAAAAATAGGAAACATATTTTCCATTTAGATGAAATTTACACAATATGGGTTCTAATTCAACAGTTTAATAATATTTCAGCAAGTAAAGAAAATCATAAAAAAAATTGCCAAAAAAAAACAACAAACTGCAATCTAAATATTGATATAATGTATTACTACTCACCTGTTTGAGTAATTCATCAGGAAGAAGTTCCTTGTTTGACATAGACCACCAGCAGTCTGACCCATGTTTACCTACCAGCTCCTTTATATGCTCTACTATAACTCTGAAAGTAAAATGGTTATATACAAATATCAGTATCATGATGATTTTAATTCAATCCACATCGACAACTAACTCTAGACAAATGGACAAATTTTGGATGGAAGGATGTATGGACAGATGGAAGCTACAAAAACTACTTTGGGGGGCATTACAAAAACAGAATAAGTTAATTTTACAAATTTCACTCAAAACTCTTCATTTATATAATGAAAATTATTCCCTTTTTCAAAAACTGCTTGTAATGATGTACAAACTATGGATGCCAATGAACATCAAAATGAATATTTGAAAATTTGGTTAGCCATTTATGTGTACATTCAAATACTAGTACATGTACTAAATGTTTGGAAGTTCAGTCGGTCATAGCAACTTTGGTATGCAATTATTTGTTATGTTATCACTCAGATACATAAGATAATATAAACTGCTGAATACAATCAAGTCATTGTATATATATGAAATGTTTGACAAAACCTTTATTTCATAACAAACAAATATTTGTACACTATTTCATAGGAAAGAAATACCTGTTTATTAATGGTTTGAGTGTATGTTTATGGTAGAAGACAGGTATAGGAAGTCCCCACACCCTCTGTCTAGAGATACACCAGTATGTTCTCGAGTCTAACTGCTTTTCCATGAGATGTTTTAGGTTGCTAGGATACACTGTGACATCATTCAAACATTCCTACAAGTGTAACAAATACACATAGTTACATTCATTTGTCTCTCACCTTTAACCTGGAGGTTCAGGTACCAAAGGTGATTAGTCTTTGCCACCAATATAGATCAAGGTCAGCCTGCACATCCATACAGTCTAACCAGCCTCTCCACTGTTGGGTGCTCGATTTTTTATTTTCATTATTGAAATCCCTTTAATATTGAAAAGACTGTTTCAATTTCAAAGCTACGCACATCCATTACACAAATTTCCCTGGTTGAAGTGTCTAAAGTTATATATCTGCTTCTATAGTTTACATAATTTTTGTTTTATTTTTGACAAAGAATATTCCAAAATACCCTCATGAAAGAAATCTGTTTGAATTTTTCCCTAAGAACAAATGGAACACATATAAATCATTGCTAAAAAGTAAAACTCATCTTAAAAAATCAGCTTAATATTATAATTTTTTTCACAAAACATCTTATACTGTTAAAAACAATATTTATGTATAATAAATAACTGAGACATTCTATTTTAAAAGTCTTTTAAAACCTATCATAAGATTATGGAAACAAAATAATTTTACCGTTTATAAATTCATAGAAAATATTTCATGACATGTAGCTTTATACACTTTGAGGATTAAAATAAAAATAAATTAAAGCCTTGATAGTAACACTGTCATACATTCATTCTGGCAATTTCATCAAAAGAAGGCATTGTTGTAATATACATACAGTCCGACCCCGGTTATCCGACAACCCTTTATTCGAATACCCGGCATTATCCGAAGTATATCGGCGGTCCCGTTTTTATCTCTATATAAAACAATATAAATACGAGCGTATTATCCGAAATGCATTATCTGAATACCTCCTATTTTTCGAAGTAAAATTTCGGTCCGGATTATACAATTATGAAAGAATTTCACACCTATTATTCGAATATAGCCTAATTATTATTCAAAGCCAGACTTATTGGCGCAGATCCACTCGCTGACCAGTCGACTTGTGAAAAATATTCACAGTCATGGGTGTAATTAGACAATCATGATAATAACTCTTTGTGTGTTCTTTAATGAACTTTAATTACCGAAAATGAAAAGCTATGCATCGTGTCCGATTTTGTTGAAGATGACAGCAATAATTTTTATACATTCCGTATCTGTGAATTTGTCAAAACATCCAAAACATTTTTTTCATTACATGAGAGCCTTAATTTATCTTAATCAAAAATACCAGAGTTTAGCTGTAAATACCGAAGTGACGACACGGCCATTATCAAGGCTTTGCGCGAAACAAAACAATACATAATGTAGAATAAAATGTTAGTATTTATGTATTCAATGTCAATACAATAATTTTTACGCATTTTTTCTTTAATATTTATTTTTCTCAATTGATTACAGGAAGCAAGTGTGTTGAAAACGGTAGTTTTGCGATGATTGGTCAAAGTGGAGTAGTTTTCGTCTATCACAATATTCCGATTTCGATTATTCGAAGTAAATATTCAGTCCTAGGCACCTCGAATAAACGGGGTTGGACTGTATTTATAAATAATTTGACAAATAAAGATATATGAATCTGCAATTCACTTAGAATAAGATGAAATTAACTTCCTTTGAATCAAGCTGTGCCCACTGTTATTTTAAAGAAACTTCATTATCAAAATGCAATAAATTGCCAAAAGAATAGACTATGGTTGGGCTGTTAGAGATGCAGGCTGGCCCAGCTCTATTCATGTGGCACATTCATGGCATTTTGAACTTGAAAGCCCTTAAAGTAACTCAAAGAACTGAAAGAAAATATATCCCACATATGATTTATTAGTGTAAGTATAAACATACCAGGGCCCTTGGTTTTAAAGCTTGCGTGTCTATAAACCATTGTCTACTGGCACGTATGATCACCGGTTTTTTAGTTCTCCAGTCATATGGGTAACTATGGACAAAATCTTCCTTATGTATCAGACTTGCACCAAGTAAATCTATCACTGAAATACAGTTGATACTTATAATATTTTAATATGTAATATACATACCAAAAGTATAGTTTGTGTCAAATTGTTCTCCCATAGTGATATGCATTGCACTTCATGATAAAGATAGGAAAAACTAATTTACACATACCGGTATAAAAGCATCTAAAAGTAGGACCAATGCATAAGAAACTAAAATAAAATTAACATGTTTGAGCATCAGGTTTATCTTCAAAAGTCAAAATATAAAATAAGACAATAAAATTCAATACACTTCATTAAATGGAGCCATTTTTGTCTTATATCAAAATAATAAAGTTGCATAACAACCAGTATAATATATAAAGACCTAGTTACCTGCTTCTCCAGCATTTTTACCAACAGTCTTCCCTTGTAACAGGGGTCCAGCCTCCTCAGTATAACAACAGTTATCATCTAGTGCACTTTTCTAGAAGAGAAATATCACAGTTATCTATCCTTACTGGAAATAATCTTTAAGAGAATTACTTCTGCTATACAGTATTTGACAGATAAATGTAGGAAATTATGGTTTAGGGTTAAATACTCTTGTAGTTTATTATTTGTTCATTAGTCTCATCAATGTACACATTTATCTGTATGTTATCATACTAAAGATTTGTGAAATCCCTAAAGAGTTTTGAATAATCTAAAAAAATTACTAACAATTCAGTCTCTCATTAGAATTATCTAAATAATTCTATCTGATATTAACACAACTGGAAGTTGTAATTATATTTGATTAACGCTCAACCTTTCCCTGGAATAACTTATTCTGGAATCTTTTGAGTCTTGACCCTTATAGGACAAAAACTTTAACATCTTTTGAGTTGAGTGGTCTCTTGACCCTTGTAGGACAAAAACTTTAACATCTTTTGAGTTGAGTGGTATACACTTTCATCAAGAACCAATATTCCCTTTTAACAGAAATGGTTATATTTTCACATTACAACATGCACTCATATGGTTTCATAAGTTAAATGAGCAAAAGTCTTAATATTTTCTACACATCAAAGTACTAACTATTTGTATTCCAAGACTTTTTGCAAGATGGAAATCATCATGACCATGTGCTGGGGCAGTATGGACCAATCCTGTGCCTTTATTAGAAGTCACATGACTGCCAGGAAGAAATGGGAGACTTTCATTGGTCAATGGATGTCTGTATATAACACCTTGAAGGGCTGCACCTTAACAAAATTAACAGAAAATGAAATTAATACTTAAAAGTCAGTGATGTGGAACTGTACTATGTCTCATAGCAATTTCAAGTATTTTAAAATAGGAAGGATGAGAAAGCAATAAATATTGTGCTATCACTCCAAGCTGCTAGACATAACCAAACATTATGATCTTTTTTTTTTTTTTAATATTTAGTAAGTATTATGTTTAAACAAAAATATATGGCAATTACAATGCATATAAACTATTTTTTTTGTTTCCCACAAGTAAATTTTTTATTGAAAATGTAACTGTTGAATATGTAAATTTATTGAATAAATAAAGTTTTAACTAGTTTAACAATTGTACTATATTGATTATGTTTCAGTGCATCGGACATCCTCTATAGCAAATCAAGCTAGTAAATACATAATGAAGCATTTCAATCTAACTTTAAAGGAGAAGTTTTTTATTAACATTTAAAATGGTTGCCATTATTACAAAAATTGACATAACATCATATTAACAATAATACCTGAAATGGTGCCAATACATATTAGTGGTTTTCCAACAATGTTTGTCAGTTTTTCAGTAAAACTCTCCTCACATATAAAAACATCTCTCGAGGATTCATCTTCCATCAATACATAGCTGGAAAATATCATAAATAAATATTGAATGAGTTTTTATTGCCCTAAAAATGTGTGATAAGGAAAAGAAATGTCTATTACATCAATATTGAGCCGGTTATTTAACTTGTAGCTGATCATTTGAAATATTTACTAAAAGCTTTCATTCCAAGATTCCAAATTCTAAGTCTATTACAAAAGTACAGCAGGGTAAAAAAAAAGGTGTTTTTATTTGTTTGTTTGTTTTTTTCATTTTAACAAATATCCAATACTTCAACTAACAGAAATACTATAAAATGCAGCTAATGAACTAAGATATAAAACTACATGTATTATATTGTTTAGGAATAAGATAACACAACTTTGATGAGATGTTCCCTTAAACATCAATAATGACTGTCTATACACTAATTAGCAAAAAAGTAATTACTGACTTAACAGCTTGATATCATCCAAATATGTTTTGCTTGTTTCTATATTAAATAAAGAAAGGGCATTATCTTCAGTTATTATTATTACTATTTTCTTGTTTGGTTTTTCTGGTGCACCATCACAGTTTAGGTCATATGGGGCCAAAACAGGAAAGATGATTTTGGCCTACCTCCGGTGTTCCAAACTTTAAGCAACACCAAATGTCAAAACCACCTCACCTGTTGGGAGCCGAGAGATGCACAGACCCCAATAATTTTAATTCATATAGTCGCTCTTTTTATTCAAGCAGGGTAATGATTGGTGCAATTCTGATGCCTCAACCCATAAAGCTACACCTCAGCCACAAGGGGCATCTTTCAGTAAAATGGTTCACAAGGAATAAAGGCACAAAAGATATCAGTTTAGCAATTGGTCTTGCTTAATTGCACCCCTGCTGAATGACAAGCAATTAATATATATCAACTATGCTAGTAACTATGAGGAGAATGGTAGAAAATCAAATACACAAATCCTTATTTTCACTAATATAAAGAATTCATTTTAAACTGATTGTGTAGGAAGCTAATAGCTTTTAGGGATACTCTAGAAATTCAATCCCATTCCTAGAACCAACCAGTAGCAAGGAATGAGTAAAAAGTTTCTAGCTCAAGACTTGTCCCTGACAGGGTTTGAACCTACATAGCCAGTAATCCTTACTAGTCCAATATGTAAATTCTAATGACTTTTATATCCCGGGACAACCAATATTCAATCAGTTAAGCTGTTTTTAGCCAATAATAAATGGAAGGGGAAATTATACTTTAAATTTATTTTAGCTATTAATGCATCTATTAACACTTATTCATTTTCAGGTTGGTACATTTTCAACAAGTCTTGATCTTTCTTAGAAATTCAATAAAAACAATATGACCCACTCTGGTTACTCCCAGGAATATTTTAACCTAAATTCAAACAGCAGGGTAATCACCATGGAAAATTTGTTAAAGATAAATCAGGGCTACTAAAAATTGTAGAAAACTTCACAATAGTCTACTGTATTCAACAATTTTCAACATTTTTTTCAAGATTTTAAAAAACTTACACTAAATGTTATAACATGTGCACAGCACAATGCATTGGTATGACTACTGTTAATGTGTTTAAAAAGGCAGTTAAAGGTGTCACTTCTTAGTACGCTATTTGGGGTGCTAAATGCATCCAATCTTTACAGCCATTTTACCTTCCCCACTTTAAAATATTAGCAAATATGGAAACTTGTCTAGATCTGCCAGCTGGTATCGCTTACAAAACAATTATTCTACAATCATCACATGAAAAAAATTGATAACAATATAAGATTTTATTAATAAGGACCCCTGTGTAAGTCTGATGAATATTTAGTGGTATATCATATAAATAAATGTTTTAAATACACCTTGGACTGAGGTAAATGGTAAATGGTAAAACTCTTTTGCCAATACTTTATAAAAAAATTAAATTGCTTAGAAAAAATTTTACCACTATTTTAAACAAGAGACTATATTGATATAGTGAAAGTTTGACAATTTATATTGTGTCACTTAAAACAAACAGTTTCTTATTGTTTTTCTGAAAACATCTGACAATTAATCAAGTGTGGCATTTCTGCAAGTTTTGAAGTTAATACAACATGTGACTTTATGCAATTTAGTCAGGCATGACATCCGTGCCACAGAATTAAGAATGTGTTTGAATTTAGGTTGTGATTGAAAATTGGTTGTTTCGGGATATCATTTATAGCTTTCTTTAACTTTGGATATATAACTGTTGAGACTACTTTCTTTACAATTCCTTTTAAATGATTTCAATTATATATCCTGATACAAAACAAAAACCAAAGAAAAATTATTTGGTTAATATATCATCCTAGACAATAGATTTACCTGATATCTTCACCATAACAAACTGCTTGATTTGCAGGAATTGTCCATGGAGTTGTTGTCCATATTACAGCATGAAATTGGTGAGAATTTTCTGAAATATAGCAGGTTTATGTCCAAAATTTCTCACTTGTGACTTATAGCATTAAAGTATTTCATCATCAAACTGACGGAGGGACAGACAGGTGGCAAATCTAAAGTCCCTTCCTGTTAACAGTAACATGTTAAATTAAGCCATTCATGAAAAAGTAAATGTAAGTTAATATACTTGTAAGTAAATCATACTATTATTTTACAGATTAATATAACTTATGTTTAAATGACAAATATATTTTTGAATGCTCAACAAAATAATAAATATAATGCAATACTTATCATCAAGAATTACATGACAATAAAGATACAATATGCCCAGGTCTCAAAATATGTCAATATAATACAAAGATCATGTTGAAATTACCTATTAAATTCTTTATTTGACTAGATGTATCTGTAATGGGGAATTTTACATATATAGATGTGCTAACATGGTCAGCCTTGTACTCTAATTCTGACTCCGCTAAAGCTGTCCTGAAATAATAAGGGTCAGTATGTCAGAAAAGTATTATGTTCTGATGCTTGAATTGTAAAACACACTAACATTCACTACCTTGTACTTCACCCAAAACTACCGGTACAATAAATGTAAAAAAAACATGTACATTTGTAGCTCTTACATTCAAGAAGAATAGAAGAATAAGACTTTTTGCTATATAAAATTATTTATATTTTCACTACAAATATGACTCAAAGACAGTTTTACCTTGTACAACCAATGTAAAATATTCATGTCACATATGTTTTTTTCCTTAACAATATTTTTTCAATTAACTGTTATGCAATGTACTGCTTAGTATCAAAATGTACCTCATAGATGAAATCATACAATTACATGTACATGTATAGCACTATTACAGTTTTTTTTAATACTCATTTGTTGATAAACATAAATCAATATACAAAATGAAGTTTTATGATATCTTTATCTTATGACACAGTTTAACTTTTTACATATAAACAAAACTTAAAACTTGACTGGACAAGATATATAAAAATATTTTAATGAATAGAACCTCCTGTAAGCTAGCTGGAAAATTTCCTCATATGAAAAGATTAAGATATACAGTAAGCTACAGATGTAACAGGGTGGAGACTATTTTAATGTCAGAAATAATGCATAGAAGGGCACCACAGTTCATCCTCCACAAGGAAAAAGTCATCATATGATCTTAAAGTGTCACCCTTAAAACTTTAGTAAAATTAGAAAGGAAATAAATATTGCTTTACCTTGATGAAGGAGACCAAAACACTGGCATCAGATCTTGGTAGATATAACCCTGGAAGAGAAGAGTAGTTTTCTTCATGACTAATGATGGCTATGAGACAACACTTGTTAAAAAATCACATCAGTATTGGAATAAAATAACAAATAATTTTATTTTTTTTTCAAAATAAATTATGCAGCTGTACTAGTGTACATCTAATTTTGCTTTCTTTTAAATGCAAACAAAAGAAATACATAATAATTCATTTATCTATTTAGTTGTAGAAATACAATTTTCGCAATTGTTTGGCACTAAAGTCATGCATGTTATATCCAACTAGAAAGGCGCTAGTTTATGGAATGGAGAAGTAATAGTTTATAATGATACAAATAAACCTAAACAATAAATGCCTCAAAAACCTTGTTGTACAAATTGACACAAAAATAAAATTTTGCAATTAATATTACCTTTTCATACATCTGAAGAAATACTTCTAACTGTTCCACCTCATATTGAGGATTATATGTAAAATAAGGATTATCCCAGTCCCCTATCACACCCCATTGTTTAAAACTATACATCTGTGTCTGAACAGCCCCATCGGCAAACTGCTTTGCTAAAAAAGTAATACATCTGAATAAATATGAAAGTACAAATGTAAAGACCTTCCAAGCTCATTTTTAGCTAAGTTTACCAAGTTATCAACATATTGTCAATGATTTGTTATGTAATTTGTTTAATTGGTACTTAATAGCTGGTACAAAAAAAAACCTTATTACTTATTCTTCAGAAAATACCAAAACATGAATAAAGAAATTCCTTTTTCCCCATTACTAATGGATAAATGTTTATTAAAAGAATGCAGTTCCATACAACGTCAAACATAATGATATGAATTGTTAAATTCACACATTTAAAAGCCATGACATGAATTTTGAAACATTAACTTTATGTGCTCTGCTATTGTTGATAAACAATTCATCAAAAAGTCATATACATTTTTCACTTATTAGGTTTTGATACTGCACAATCAAAACAGATGCATCACAAATACTTTCAAGTCATTTAATAGATATACAATGTATAATGGTAATATCCTGGAATAATTTAAAGATTTAAAATTATTATACAAGTACCAATGTCTCTTATCTGAAGAGGTGACAGATTCTGTTGGCTTTTATTCTTTAATGCTTTCAATTCTATAGGAAGTCCATGACAATCCCAGCCTGGTACATAGTGTACACAGCTCCCTCTCAACATATGGTAACGGCATACAATATCTTTCAAAATCTGAAATCAAAAGACTGTTTTCTATTGATATACAGTAATGAATAAATAATAATAAAAAGCCCTGATCAGATTAGGGAATCAAAATCTATAAATTTGATAACAAGAGGGGCCCAAAGGGTCACCAGAGAAAGAGGTCAAAAGGTTTAGGTGGAGCCTCTTTCACCCCAGAAGAAATAGCAAAATTAAAACATCATGAAAAATACAGGATTTGCACTGTAACAGTACATATCAAAATCAATGACCCCTGGGGCCGGGCCAATTTTTACCCTAGGGTTTTCATTTGAACAAAATTGGTAGACATTCACTAGACGATGTTTTACGCAAAATATCTAAGCTCTAACTATTTTGGATTTTCACAAGTAGATTTTTTTAAGTTTTAACTATATACATGTATATATAAGGAAAATCAATGACCCCCTGGGGCTGGGCTAATTTTGACCCTAGGGCTTTTATTTGAACAAACTTTGTAGACACCCATTTGAAGATGTTTCATGCTTAAAATCTAAGCCCTTGCTCTTTGGTTTTTTTTAAAGAAGTTTTTTTTTAGTTTTTATTATTATTGACATGTAAGGAAAATCAGACCCACGGGGAGGAGCAAATTTAACCCTGGGGCTTTTATATGAACAAATTTGGTAGACACTCCTAGAAGATGTTTCATGCTTAATATCTAAGCTCTAGCTCTATGGGTTATTTAAGTTTTTACTATAGACATATAAGGAAAATCAGTGCCCCGTCGGTGGTTCTACTCAGGTGCCCGTTCGTGCCTGAAATAATGCACGGAAGGGCACCTGAGGTCTTCCTCCACCAGTAAAGCTGGAACGTCGCGATATGACCTATACTGTGTTGATGTGACGTAAAACCCAAACAAACAAAACCCCCGCGGCCGTGAGGGCCAATTTTGATCCCAGGGCTTTTATTTGATCCAACCAGAAGATGTTTCATGCTTAATATTTAAGCTCTAGCTCATTGGGTTTTTTAAAAGAAGATTTTTTAAAGTTTTTACTATAACATAAAAGTAAAATCAATGACATCCCCCCAGGTCAATTTTGACCCCAGAGATTTTATTTGAACAACCTTGATAGACACTCACTAGAAGATGTTTTATGCCAAATATTTAAGCTCTAGCTCTTTGGTTTTTTTACAAGAAGATTTTTTTTAAAGTTTTTACTCTATACATATAAGGAAAAGCAATGACCCCCTGGGGCTGGGCCAATTTTGACCCCAGAGCTTTTATTTGAACAAACTTGATAGACACTCACTAGAAGATGTTTCATGCCAAATATCTAAGCTCTACCTCTTTGGGATTTTTAAAAGAAGATATTTTAAGTTTTTTCTTTTGTTGCAATGGCAACCAGAGTTCTGCATGGGATTAAATTCTTTGAAATTTTTTTAAAGGTGACCACCAAAGGAACATTCCTGTGAAGTTTAGATGAAATTGGCTAAGTGGTTTATGAGGAGATGTTGTTTAAAGAAAAGTTTAAGGCCGGAAGCCAGACAAAAAGTGATCACAAAAGCTCACCATGTCACTTTGTGACAGGTGAGCTAATAAAATAAACATGTGTTGAACATTGGGGGGGTAAATATCAGTATGTATTTGTATTTCATTAAATTTTAATTATTTCTTTTTAATAAAGCTTCATAAAAATGAAATACTTAACATGTAACTGATGCAGGGTTCATTTTGGTAAACTTCAAAGATTATATTTTCAGAAGTATAGTGTCAAATAAGCATTCAACAAAATTTATTTTTGTACAATACTTTTTTTCTTATTCTTATTTTTCTAATAACTCATTATCATCTACGTCCATCTGGCTGATGCATATATTTCAAAATCTAAAAATAAATTTAAACAGGATATACATTAATTTAAGAATGAACATTTGTTTAAACAGTTACATGTATGTTTACTTGTAATTTCATCCCAACACAATTAAATGATTTCACAGAATCACAGTACTCAACATTTTCCAGGATCTTTACCTTATTAATAGCATGGCCAACATGTGTCTTGCCATTTGCATAAGGAGGACCATCATGTAGTATGAATTCTTTTCCTGTATTATTCTCCCTTTGCCAATGATACAGGTCCTTAAACCCACATATCTGCAATTAATATTTTAATACATGTATCATTATTACATATATCAAGATAACATTTCATGTGTACTCAAACTCTGTATTATTGATGCAACTCTATTACAGACATACTCTCATTATTTTGTCATGTGAGGTCATGCATACGTTGAAATTAAAAAATCTTTGATCTCATTCAATAAAAAATGAAATGCTTAGTTGAGATTGTTCTGCTGTACCCAAAATATTAATTATTAAATTCATAAATGAAATTCAAAGCAGACATATGGGAATGTTAAGTATGTTGACAATACAGAGTGCCATGCTACACACAGGAATTTTCAAGCTTAAAATATTGATCTCAGGATGACATTCACACATCCACTGACAGTGTTCATTAAACATACGTTTTAATATTCTAAATGTAGCTTTGTCATGTATTATGTGGATACTAAACAGAAATAGCAATCAATAAAAAAAACTAAATTAAAAAGAAAAAGAAAAAAAAAATGTTTGTATTATACCGTCACCTTAGTATAGCAACGGATTAACTCCTTATTATATTACCACCTTAGTGCACTAGCAGGTTAACTCCTATAATTAAATTTTATAAGGAGTTAGCCCGTTACTGCACTTGGGTGATGATATATAGTCAACTTGTGAAGGAAAGTAATTTTTTGTTTACTATGTTAAACAGAAGATTATTTTACACTGTTTTATGATAATCAGTCCATTATTGGCAAGACAAATTTATCTTCTAATAAGTTGAATGTCACAGACACTTGTTTAGAAGCGAATATAAGCAGAGCGGGCCTGCGAAGCGAGCACAGGCTATGACTTGCCCGGCTATAGACTACATGTGTATATTTAAAAGAAAATGAAATAAAAAACAATTAAAAAATTTGTTGAATGTCAGTGACTTAACCAGTAGCGATCTATCGGCATCAAGTATTTTTAAAAAATCTTTCAACATGAAGCTCTCCTTACAGATGCCTACTTTTTGAATATCTTTCTCTCGAATCGAAGACTCTCTCATCGAAATAGCAAAGCTTGTCTGCGGCAAGTTTAATGTGCTACTATATTTTTTGCTTTTCTTCGAGTTTGACCCCGACTTCTTTCCATTGAAGATATACCGTCGCTGCGACAATGATATTCTCGGGGGTATTCCTTGCAAAATAGTTATAAACCTCATCCTGGATTAATGTATCATTAAAATAGTTCATGGCATAGTAATTATGAGCGAAATCGGCAGTTTCTTAGAAAAATGCAAAACTTCATCATGGGCGCAGACATATTGGGTAAAGTGTAATTCGGTACCTTAAAAAAATATTGTTGTGGGAATGTAATATTGGCAGTAAAATCATCCGATTAAAAACATCCATACCTTTATATAGGGATGAGATTTTTTTAATCGGACATTAATTACTGTTTTATATGCATCTCTGCTTAAATTGTCAGAATTTCAAGATTATGTTTGTATTAAAACATGTTATGTTTATTGTAAAATTTTACACAAGTCAGAAAATGCGGGAAAATCCAGCCATTTAGACTGTCTAAATGACTGCAAAAATACACACTTTATAATATTTTTCAGGGTCATGTAGAATTATATGTGGCATGTCCCTGTCTATATAAATGTTAATCAAAAGTTAAAATGCGCAAGAACCACGTATAGAAGTTATTCCAAAAACATTTGCCTGTGTCTATTACAGAAATAAAATTGCAATTTGTCAGCTTGTCTTAAATCCAATCTTCACCCCTTGATGAAACACATCGTATATGAGATTCTCAATTGTCACGTGCGCTATGCGATCACACCTTCCACGTTATGTATATACATATGTACACTGTACCTTTCTGTAAGCAAATTCTTATTGCTGTATTTCTGCTAGATTATACACCTAACTTATGATCTTGAGTTATAATTACAAATCAATTATATCGATTAATTCAAGGTATTCTTGGATTCTAAAGAAACAAATCGTAAGATATACAAGAAATTGAAGAAAGTAGGAAAATAACTGACGACGATAATTCACAATTTTACAAACATAATGAAGTGTACATACAAAAGAGTTGCAAAAGTTCCCTACACCAAAACTTAAATAGATCAAATCGAAAATGTCCAAAGAAGAGTAGCCCGATGAATAAAGCTAGATTATGATCAGACCTCTAGCGTCACGGACATGCTTCACTCCCTTAACATTCGAAAACTGGAACTCAGACGTAAGTTATCCCTTCTCTATTAGATTCACCATGGATGGTCTGGTTGCTCACCCAATAGAAGAATGTTTGACACCGCTGTCCCGAATATCACGCCATAGCCATCCCATATGTTATAGGTTATTCACAGCATCTTCAGACTATTATTTAAATTCTCATTCTTTCCTAGGACGGTATACCACTGGAACCACCTATCCCCCGCAGTTGCCCTACTCCCTATCCCAGAGCAGTTCAGTACAGCCATAGCTTGCATCGAACATGTCTCACCCTACTTTTCAAGCCCCTGTTTTTAACATTTTTAAATATGCTTTTATCCTCTTTCAAACAACTCTTTTTTTTAAACTTTCTTGCGATTTTTGACGCGCGGACATGTATACATGTACGTCCCCGCGAGGGGTTTGACATAAACGGAAGATATATAAAATTGTATCATAGTTTGGGGACCTTTCTGTTGAAAAAGTGTCAGAGTTAAATCGTATACATTTACATGCACAGTGCGGTAACTGGAGTGCAGGTATCAGTTACCCGCACTCCAGATAATGCCCGTTGATTGGTTCATTTTTGCTGGGGTGACGGGAGAGAAAGGGAAAGGGGAAGAAATATCATATTCAAATGCTCGTTCATTGGTTAATTTTTTCTGGGGTTTCATATTAAGACAACGGGGAACGTGCTGCCATGTTTCACTATGATACAAAAGAGAAAGAACACCAAAACACTCGGCAATCTGATTTATACTCGAGGCTATGCCCCCTCGTACAAATCAGATAGCCTCGTGTTTCAGTGCTCTTTCTATTACTTATTCACGTTTCCCATGTTATTTCATTCCAGTCCATAGTTTAGTTTATGATTTGATAAGTCAACAGCATATTTTGTTTCATGCATATTTTATTACATTGCACGGTTTTCACGTGTTTTGTACCAGTGTGTAGGTATATATTCGATGTTTTACTATTGATTCTCACTCGAGGCAGTATTTGACAGCTTTTATAACACGTTCTTTAGAGTTATAGTTATTCCCTCTTCCCGCCCTCCCAGTTTCTAAGAAAGGATGCTATTTAGTGGTTTTCTTTTTGTCGAGACAGAGTATCGTTATAAATAGTTATGTTTTCATTTATCATTATTAATATAGTTTCAGTATTTTTCAGGTTTATCGTTGGACGAATATGCATACTGTATGGCTTTCCGAATTCAGCCATACAAGATACTATCCACAGGATCCAATGGAACTGTTGTATACCTGAAGAGATTTTAACACGATCCAAACTACATGCATTTATTTGTTGAAAGTTGTCAAATACAATGCCTAAATCCTATTCTGTTGTTTTGGTTTCTTTCTAGTAAGATTATAATATGGGATAAGTGAACAATTGTTTTACTCACGACACAGAGTGAGTAAATAGATATTCCCCATTTCCACGCTACCTTACTATAAATTTATACATGCGTTTCTCATAATTATTATATATAATATCAGTGTAAACTTCATCTGCTTTCCTATTGACATAAAAGCATATAAAACATAGAAGAAGCTTTTTGAAGCTGGAGTCATTGAAGTACTTTGATTTTCAATGTCAAATTATGTCCCTTGTTAAAGCTCTCCTTAAAGAAGGTTTTCAATTCCCAATGGAGAAACCGATAAACAAAAATGAAAGGTCCAAAATATAGTTAAATACATATTTGTTGGACATTTTTAACCAAAAGTATGCAATATTTCATAGCTTTTAAGTCAGGTAAACTTTGTTTATTGATATCTTGAATGTTCACTGTGATTCATGGCTAAAAAATTCTAGTTTACTGAAGTCATGCAAATCCTCAAAAACAGTATGTTATGAATAACAAGACTTTATCGGATACTCAAGAAGAATGTGATCTAGGAGTTATTTTTGAAAAAGATCTTAAATTTAGCAAACATATTTCTACAAAGATTAATAAGGCGAATAGTATTTTAGGCCTTATTAACCGGTCTTTTGAATTTTTAGATGAATACACCTTTGTGAAATTGTATACAGCTTTGATTCGTCCTCATGTTGAATTTGCAAATGTTGTGTCGAATCCATATTTAATAAAAGAAATATCAAGTCTAGAAAAACTTCAGCAAAGAGCAACAAAACTAGTTTCATCATTAAAAGATCTGACATACATGTATATTGACCGTCTTAAAAAGCTTAAACTGCCAAGTCTAATACACCGTAGATTAAGAGGGTACATGATTCAGACGTTCAAAATAGTTAAAGGCTAAGATGACTGTAGTTTTGAAAATTTGTTTAGTTGTTCGGCATCAACAAGGGGACATACTTTAAAACTAGAAATGCCTCGTAGTAGAACAACTCATTGCCTACATCAGTTTTCAAGACGTGTAATATAAACATGGAATAATTTGCAAAAAAAATGTGGTAGACTCAAAAGTGTTTATGAATTTAAAATAAAGCTAGACCAACACTGGACCGGAGACACTCCATATAAAGTTTAAAATGTTTATTGAAAAATTATGCTGTTTTAATTGCAGGGCTCATCCTGGGGGGAAATTTTAGGGAGAAGTGACTTCCTCGCGAAAATTAGGGAGAATGGAAACAACCCAATGTGTATGCATTAACATGCATGGCTATACATCCTTTAATTGTAATATAAACACAATTAACATCACATATAATATTTCTCCAGTGTATTAATTAATAGTAGATTAATTAATAGTAGTATTAATTAATAGTAGATTAATTAATAGTAGATCTGGCAATGGCATCTAAATGTTTTTGAGCTGCAAATATGAATAAAAAAAAATTATTTCTGATATCTAGTGTTCATATATTTTCATGTAGATTTGTTGATAATAATGTGTAAGAAAAGATATGATGATAAAATCAATTTTATATTTTTTACTTTCCTCACTGAAGTCACATTGGATATTGATTAATAATATCTGTTCTATTCTGTTCTGGTAACAGAAATTTCTTTCAAATTCCTAACTGTTGTAATGTCACAGTTATATGCATATAATTATGCTTATAAAACAATTTTCAAACATCAAAGAATATGTAAAATATGTACTGCAAACATTTGTGCACATTATATTTGATCACTAAAATTACATACATACATTTCTTATTGAAAAATTGACTGAGAAATTGTAGAAAATTAATTTCTAATTACCTCCCTTTATTTTCATGAAATGTTAAATTCGGTAATATCTTTATAAAAAATGCTTTTTAAAATTTACAATATTGATAAATCTTAATCTGAGCGTCATATTTACGACATTAAAACAAATATATACTGGGATCCTACATATTACCGGACAAAATATGATGTTTTTTTCGCTGTAACTTTTATTTAAAATAATAAAAAAGAATAAAATTTTACCCAAATAATTGTGGGTTCTAAATATACGTAAACATTCCTTTATCAAACATAAAATTTAACATTTGACCGTAGAAACGTGTCTTTAAAGTAGGGCATTAAAAGAGGAAAAAAATCGTGTAGACAACTCAATTTACCGGACATTGTGTTTCAAAATTTTTTTAAAGTCTTAAATTGAAATTAAGCAAGGAAACTACGACTATTTAATGGCAATGTTAAGATACTGGAAAAAAAACAGTATGTCACTAAAATAGACACAGCAGGCTCCATGCTTGTTACGAAGAGGCCAATATAGGGGTGTAATTGAAATAAACACTTTTAACTCAATTAACGTATTGATTCTTCATGATCCTTAAAAGTATGACACATTTTGATATTCAAATGGAATTCTGTTTTTTTTTCATACAGTTTCCTTTTGATCACCATGTAGCATGTTGCAAAAACCATAAAGTCTATTTTTTGTACATTTCATGTAGAGTTTTCTCCCATGGGCATAACCCGTTTCCTTATATGTTTTTAAATTTGCATTTCTTTGTAAAAGACAACAACAAGATATTGTTTGACCGAAATTTAAAATTACTTTTTATCCATAAAATATGTAACGATTGTCTCCTGAGTTAACTTTGAGAAGAATTAAAAGTAAAATCTATCTAAAATAATTTAAATAACCCATTAAGGGGCCTCAATATTCGGGAATGCGAAGAACACATTATTCCCCCGCATGACCAGGTCATGGAATAACTAGTAAACTAAAGGGTATATTAGTAAATAAAAAACTGAATCAACAATATTTGCCTGAGAGTGGTTTTGTTGTTATTTACTTTGCAGTAGAAAGTGTGTGTACGATTCAGACCGGATGAATTTTTAATTGAAGCAAAAAATAAAGCCTTATTTGACTAGAATAGATTTTGTCCGGTAAACTGATTGTCCGGTAAACATGTAGGATCCCAGTATATTGAAACAAAAAGAACACTTCTTTCCTGACAAATTGTTGTTATATACGTTACATGATATACGACCAATATGTAGTGTAGCCGGGATGTCGTGCCCACGTGCGTAAACTGTGTCAAATTTGGCATTTAATGCCAAACACCCCCACTGTCTACAACATACCAATCGCAAGATTTTTGCAAATTGGCTTTCTTAAATTTTCGCGTAGGTGTAACTATCAGAATCAGTAACTTTCTTAAGTTGCTCGGTTTCGGCATTTCGCCTTGTAGCCATGACGTGAGCGACATAACAATTTTACAGTAAAAATTGATGTTAACAGACTGAAATCATTCAAAACTATGATTAAGTTTTTAATCCGGTCGCTGATCATTAATGAAATTGATTATTTTTAATTGACTAACAGTTTTGTGATAGCCGTGAAAAATCCATTGCACATCGCCTTTACTCGGGTTAAAAACCCGCCATCGAAGTGCATCGCGTATATCAATTAGGGAATATTGCACGTGTTTAGATAATCGGGGGAAAAAACAATCTATAATTATCGCCAAATCCCGTATTAAACTCGCAAAACTATCACACAATTATACCGTTTCGGGCCAATGCTCTCATTATTTACTGTTTAGAGTAGGCGGTCTATCGCTTTGCTTACAGGTAGAAGGGTAGTATAAAGCGACGCTCTGATTGGATAATCATAATTAGCGGTCGTCATATGGGCGGATACAATCTCTGCTCTTTACATCGCTAAGTAATTACTATTTGGGAATTAAGATTTTATCGGCGATGTTGACTTCTCTTTGATCAATCGGGAGAGCGAAATTGGAATATACACGGCGAAGTTTTCGCCTGAATCGCCCTTCCGGATGAGCCCAATTATTGTATAGCAGAGTGAACAGAAGTAGATAAAAGTATATATAATTAAACATAGAAGTGGTGAGAGCAATAAGAAGAAGTACTGAAAGATTGTCAAAAGAAGAGGGGCTTAAAAAGGGCTTGGCCCTTCCATCAGAGCCCAGATTCATCCTACAGGTATCCTACAGGTAAACCTGGGTTATGTCCCAGCTGAAACAGTACAACAGTCCTATAAATAAATTTATCAGACTATGAGAATCATGCTTTAATGTGGAATTTGTTGAAGTTTTTCTAGACTTGATATGTCTTTTATTAAATATGGATTCCACACAACATTTGCAAATTCAACATAAGGACGAATCAAAGCTGTACAATTTCACAAAGGTGTATTCATCTTAAAGTTAAAGGAATAAGAATGGATGGATTGATGTCTGTCTAATATAAATATTCATCATTTAAAAAGAGGAACCATGACAGTTTTCCTATTGACATCAACCCTATAAGAGAGAAATTCGTGTTTAAAGACACTATTTTTTACTTGAGAAATAAGTTCATGGGCGCCGCCATTTTGGCGTTCTGTCATTCTCGCGAGACAGACGAGACCGAGATTGTGACGTGTTATACCCACTTCCGGTATAGGTGTACACGCTGGTACAACTGAAATATATCTTGATGAAGAACTTATTAATTTTATTGCGTACATTATATATTATTTATGAAAACATCATATGGAACTGAATTGCTTTAATTAATTAATTGAAGACGCCGGGACATTAATTATCATTTGTTCGATATTCAAGCTTGCTGATGATCCCACCACATGATTTAAGCAATGACTGCTTAATTTTCAAAGATAAACCATAAATTTACTTTTATGCGATTTTCCGCCATTGACGCTAAAAATGAGAAAGGCGCAGGAAATCGGCAGCCAGACTTATATCGTATGAAAACAAAACTGTCCGTAAAGTTATTTAGGCACCCAGTCAAAACTGGTACCAACAGCAACAGGTTGCCCATTCCCCTATAATTACGCATATTCTCGGGTTTATCCAGTTCCCTAAAGCTTTTTTCCACGTTATCTACTTACCAAATTCCTTTCCCCGACAGATACGCATTTTTACTACCGTAAATTTAATCCAATAAAACAAAAAATCTTAAATCTACTTAATATTTAAAATGATTATTGGTAACTGAAAAAAATGTGTTGCTATTTTATGACGTGCTGTAATTTACTACAGTATAATTTGACAGGTGTGGAACCGAATTCCCCCTAAGGTCATTCAGTTCACTGATGAAGCGTAAAAAAATAGATGTCTATTTCGTCATTAGAATATTTGACAAGGGTGATTAACCAATCAGGGCAACATTGTGCATGATCAAAGGAGCAATAAAAATCGTCAGTACACAGTGTGACAGGAGCATTTGGTGCAAATAAGGAACAATTAAAATGGACAATGCGCAGTATTAGACATAAGTAGTAAGAACCAGCAATTGTGTGAATAAATTATCATTTTTATTATGCAAATTAGATTTTTGAGCAGCCAATAAAAATGATTTGCCTGCAGTTAATATTAGGCTACGATTACGATGCGCAGCATCATACGTTGACAGACATGTTAACAATTTACTTTTCAAAAGAGTTGCTTATATTTTTGAAATGTGTACATCAATTATAACATATGTTCACACCTTTAAATTTGAAAGTCAGAATCAAACTGCAAAAAATTAATTATATGTACTATTAAGAACACGTTTTAGTAGGGTTTTTATAATGGAAGTGGCTAGCGTACGGGCCCGTACGGCTAGCCAAAAGTTTTAGCCGTACGTGAGTCACGTACAACTAGCAAGGACACGCTGTATTGGCTAGCCGTACGGCACTTTTCAAAATTTTATGGAAGTCGAAAATGCATATGTTATTTTATGACTTTAAGCCAGGATTTTAACCAAGAAACAGCATTAATTGTCTTTGGATGTTAACTTTTTAGAGATTAATCGCCTTGATCGCTATATATATCGATCTTTGTCATCGCAAGATGTCGAGAAAAAATAGCCTTTGCTTGCATTTACACCAATTGAAATAGTTTACAAATTTTTGATAATAATCCTTTTTTGTTTCATTAAGTTTAATTTTCGACACCTTTTATATGAAAAAAAAACAACAAACACTGAAAATGATTGTTGTTAGGCTCTTGATAATTGCGACAATTACCGACGGTACTGTATCAAGGAAAGTTTGCATGTTCCGTGAAAGGCATTCTAAAATTCTATTGTCAGTCCCTGGATAGGTTTTAATTAAGGCTAATTAATTGATTGACTGTGCTTTTATGTTCGATATTTATCTACTGTTTTAAAAATTATGTAATTATTTTTGTATTTCACCGTTTTTTTTTTTTCATTCAATGTTCTTTTTATTTATTTATTCCACTCCGATAATTTTTTATTCGATCCATGTGCTTAAAATTAACAAAAATGATTTAATAATTCCTACAAATAAAACAACAAATGATAAGCATGAAAATCAACAATTTTATAACGTTCGACTTACATATAATTTTGAAAATTGCCGTACGGCTAGACCTGTGCGTCCTGGCTAGTCGTTCGTGACTCACGTATGGCTAGAACTTTTGGCTAGCCGTACGTTTCTTTATCTTTTATTATTTTTTTTTTTTTTATTGTTACGTATTTTGAACCATAAAAAATCTCCTCTACACCTCCTGTGAAAATTAAATTGTCTGATCAATACTTTATTATATTAATAATTCCTTACGATTCAACTAGATTTATCATGAATCTAAAGATGTGGGGAAATGACATCACGCGCACCTGTTTTTATACGGCCAATACACAAACATGGCCGCGCTTACCGATTTGTAGAAATCGGTGATTTAACGATTTAAATTTTGTTATCATTCGTTTAATATTATTATTTGGCGGCAGAAAATTTGCAGACTTATTATTTATAGTATTCTTTTTCTGAAATCAATTTTTTATTCTAACCTTGTCTTTCCCTTTAAAACTCAAAGGACCTGTTAATAAGACCTAAAATACTATTTGCCTTGTTAATCTTTGTAGAAATATGTTTGCTAAATTTAAGATCTTTTTCAAACATAACTCCTAGATCACATTCTTCTTGAGTATCCAATAAAGTCTTGTTATTCATTACATACTGTTTTTGTGGATTTGCATGACCATAAGGCATTTATAATGCATCACCTTACATTTATCAACATTAAAGTTCATTTCCCATTTTTCTTCTACTTTCAAGTTCCTTTTTCAGTTTAATGCTCTTCAATCTCTCTTCCTTCGTTTGGTCTGGCGTTAAAAACACCTTAAGTACTCCACCCATGCGCATATTCATGATTCCTCTTCTCCCTTAAATATCTTGTTCCACTTAGAAGTTTGTGTTTATCATCTACAGATTCAATGTGAACTTTACTTTTTAACGGTACGTTGCCTTGGCACCAGGTTTTTCCAATCTCACAAAGCTATCAATTTTCACATTTGAACACTGAGCAATTCTAAATATATCCCTAAGACTTTGTTCATCAATTTCCTTTTTTCCAGATTCAGGCACATTATGAACTATAATATATTACATTTCCTTTGTTCTCTTTCCTTGAACTCAACTATAGCATTTTCTACCTTTAATTCAACAATTTTCTCAATATCATCTTTCAAAGCATTAACTTTCTTCTCACAATCAAGTAATTTGATATTTTGTTTACTAAGGGTTGATTCAAATTCAGTTAGTCTTGGTATAACCCGTGTGCAGCCATCACAATTGAAAGGCAAATTTTTTACAGGTTCATGTCTTAACGCCTCATACAATTTATTGGAAATGTGGCTACATTCCAGACAGAACCAAAAGTTACATATTTGACAATTCATTGATTTGTGCGATTTCTTAAATATGGCTTCACACTGCGCACAGCTTTTACTGTTTGGTGATTGGGATACCATTTCACACTAGAAACCTCTTAATATGATAAACAAACGTTTTATCAGTCAAAAACACATGGATCTTTTACACCAAATTCACCACCAGAAAGGATTTAACAAGATAAAAATTATGCTTTCTCTCTCTAGATTTTCCCTCCATCTTAACCGGAACCGGAAGTTTTCCCCACTGACAATTCACCCCAAAACTACCCCCCCCCCCATTTTGTGACCCTTTGCCTCACTTTAGGGACAATCCACCACAGCTTAGTGATTATTCGCGCCATTTTATTATAATCATTTTTTATTCATTTTAATTGAAAAACATATATATTATCATTTGGGATAATTTCTTATTTTTATTATTTTGATCATAACATTTGCTTTGAAGAAAGATATTAAGTACGAAAAATATTTAGTAATCTCATTTGTATATTTTTATTAACTTTCAGAGAAAAGATTATAAATTAGATTGATGTTGGCAACCCAACAGTTAAAATGTCAAATTTCGTTCTTACAGATAGATTACAAAGAACATTTTACTTTACAAGTAATTCAAATATACCAAAAACATACATTTTAATCTTATTATTTCTTACTTTCAGTAATTTAAATTATGTCTTAAATGATTATTAGGAAGTGAGGCGAATCTTCACTAAAGTGGGGCAAGTCATTATGGGGGGGACAGTCAGTTGGGCAAATCAATATCAATTCCAAATAATATATGAGGTGATTAGCCCAATGTTCAGATGAAAATCCTAATAGATATCATATCTGTTATGATAAACAACAAAATATAACAATAATTGATAACTTTCTTATGAAAGTAAATTCTTTTATTCATTAGTATTCTATGCTCTTGAAATTTATGGTTTCATTGTAAACTAGCATGACGTTCTACAGTGTTTGCACTAAAAATAGAACTAGGCCATCTATTTGGACTTTGTGTTTATAAAAAAAGTGTTTGTATAATTTCTCAAATGTAAACAGAATACAAAAACACAAAATTTTATGAACATTTCTTTAAATTTGTTTAATTTATACATTGTAGCCTAAATTTACCTATACATAATACTGTGCCCGTTTAAAGCAGCCAAAATGCAGACATTCTATCGGCTAAACTTACTCCCCTTTTGTCTGCTGCTAAAGGGTCATGTGACCATGCAAGAATTTTAAAGAACCTTAAAATTGTAGATGATAGAATAATAAAATGAAAGTTAAATGATTTTCAGTTTTATAGTTTTATTTAGAAAGATATTCTGTGAATCATTATATTTGTGCCAAGCATTGGTCAAAGCTGAGTGTTGATTAGACCACTATATATAAAGCTCTTTCAGTATATTTCATTGTCTATAATAATAATAATAATGAACTATTAATAATTATTAAACCTGCTGTTCTACATCTTTTGTTTTTGTCACTTTCTGGAATCATGATGTTGTTAAATGCAGATAGCCATTTGGTTAAAATATGTAATTATTAGTATGAAATATGTAATGATAGCAAACAAAAATCAATAGAAATGTATCATTTTCATGTTCCTATATTATACATATATTATATGTATATTTAATTTAAAAAAAAAAAAGTTGAATGAGGTCTAAGAGATTTTAGTATGAACATTTATATGATGAATAATAAGATTTTGTTCAAGAAACTATTTAAAAGCTGCTAAATAAAATCTATGTCATATCTGATAATATCAGATCATTTATCTTGAACTTGCCATTAAAATCCATACATTCTAATTGTTCATTGTTGTATTCTCATATGATACTAAATAGTAATAATGGAAGATCTGTTATATCCTGAATTATTAATATAGTATAATACTATATTATAACAGATCTTCCATTATTGACCTATACACCTTTACTGTAAATACTGTGTACATAAAATTTTCAAGCAATTGTTGCATTTTTGTTGTTGTTCGAATTGACTTAATGCTGAATATACTGAATACATGTAAATGTAAGTTGAACTTGAAGAAAGGCTTTGAAAATAGTTTCTTAGCAACCATACTTGAGAAATATAAAAAATATTTTCAAAACTGTTACAATAAATGTTACTTTTCATAAATATTCTTAAAAAGTAGACTGAATCAAACACTGGTGCTACTTTAAAGTCATTTAAAGTTGATAATACTAATTTAAGTAAGATACATATATACTTAAGTGATAAAATGCCCATACATGTATGCATTACAAACACAAGTTGTCTCATTAACCATAATTCTATGGTGGCACTGAATACCAAGAGCCTATAATCCAAAGGAAACTTTTTCTAGGACAATTCAGAAGGAATCTATAACTTAAGCACTCTATATTTATGACAATACCATGAAGCTTTGGAGGACAGCATGTGCCATGTTATAGTGACTGTGTTTTAAATGCATAGAAAGAGGTCAAGAATTATGTATGTGATTAAATATTGATAAAAGGAATATGTTTTATCTAATGCATATTTTCTCCTAACATTTACAGGAAAGTAATACAGAATGTCATCATTGTCTGGTGAAATAGATGATGAGTCGGTGTGCTCACCTACATTGTTCACCCCACCTCCGGTCGCACCTCTACCACCTCCACCACCATTCTCAAGGAGTGCGGTTCATTCTAACTCTAATGGTATACCAACAGATGTTTCATTTTCCAGTTTTAACAATGATCCAGAGAGTGATGGTCAAAGGGCATATAGATATGCTTGTAGTGCAATTCCGTAAGTCATTTACCTGTTTTTCTATACATATAGTACACCATAATTATGGGAAATAAAAGTAATTTTTGTCATAATAACAGTTTTTCATCATATAAATTAACCTGAATTTAAATAATTATGATGTTGATTTCAGACCAAGTACCTGAAACCTATTTTGTAAAAGTCAGTATACATAAAACAATTACTTGTATAAGAATATTTGTCATGAGCATGTAATATTTCAAGCACTTAGGGCTTGCATGACAAGCCTTTACCACAACTGCCCAACTACCATTGGGCTTATCTGTGCAGAATAACAGGACACTAACCTGTCTGTTAACCCGTATTTTATTTGTGACATCTCAGAACTTGATTTCATATACATACTTTATGTAGTTCAAACTTCAAACGTGGTTATACTGTTTTGAATATCTAAAGCAAAACTTCAGAAGTGGATCTATTTAAACAATATACAAAATGTATTTATGTTGTATTTTTGCAGAGATAGTTTAGAAAACTATGTATGTGTTTCATACCAAAGAAAAGTCGAGCCAGTGATACAGTCAGGTCCACAGTAAGTCATTTTGAATTACTATAGAATAATAGCATTGTTTTATAAATAAGTATATATATGATTTATTGTTTATATAAGCAATATTGACCTGAAACATTTGAATATTAAATGACCTTTTGTAAGTAATTATTGGATTCCAAAGTAAATCATAGAGATTTTAATGTATGGTACAATATACATGTACATGTATATGTAAACATCAAATTGTCTTGCTAGCTTTAGTTGAAAGGTGTTAGTCTTTCAGTTTCAAATTGAATGTTGTAGGTTCAAATATTGATGAAACATGATTTTCTTTGACTTATTTTTGATACCATGTGTATTTGAGGAACTTGACCACTGTAGGTTTTTATGCCCCCACAAAGTGGGGGGCATATAGCGTTGCACTTGTCCGTCCGGCCGTACATCCCGAAATGTTGTGAACGCAACTCCTCTTAAACCGGATGGCAGATTTTGCTTAAACTTCCAGGGATGAACAACCTTAATGTGTAGATGGCAGTAAAGGAATGAATTTTTGCTGCGACCAAATTTAACACAATTATGGCCCTTTGTTGATTTTTTCACTTTATACCATATAGAAATTTTGTGAATGCAACTCCTCTTAAACCGGATGGCGGATTTTGCTTAAACTTCCAGGGATGAACAACCTTAATGTGTAGATGGAAGTAAAGGAAAGAATTTTTGCTGCGACCAAATTTAACAGATTTATGGCCCTTTGTTGATTTTTCACAATATACCATATATATGTTGTCAGTGGGGGCATCCATGTCCTTTGGACACAGTTCTAGTTTTTATTACTAATCACTCCTTGTATGACTTATGACTTTACATAACTATTGAAAATTGTTTGTTGACAAATCAAATTTGAAGCTACACATATGCAGTTTTATCCTACTGATCACTAAGAGTTTTAGCCATGATCAAGGATTGAAGTACATGTATGGAGAACTATATTACCCGATAGCATTAAAAACCAATGTGTTAATCATAATAAATTACAGAAACTAACCCAAAACTTCCTGAAAATTAATCAATATCAGGTCAATATTGCCAAATAATACTCTATATTGTCGGAAATACATGTTGTTTTGAAATGAGATTTTAATCATAAGTGATACAGCTATTATAAAAATCCAGGATATGGTCACCATTTGTGATAACTTGAAAATAATACTTTCTATCTTATGATATTTATATGTAGTTTTCTATCAGTTAATAGTCCTATATGTATCTTAGTTAGAATAATGAAATTTAACATTTGTAAAAAAAGATTATAATATCATAATATTACTAAATTTGTTACAACAGGTGTGGTCTGGTTGCCTTAGCTATGGCAAATTCCATATTAAATAAAGATGTAACATTGGAACAATTGTCAGAGGCCAGTCAAAGTCAGGGATTCTCCAAACAAGGAGAAATATTCTCATGTAAGTTGTTTATGTTTTGTTATCGTTTTTTAGCTCACCTGTCACAAATTGATGGTGAGCTTTTGTGATCGCTTTTCGTCTGGCGTCCAGCCATAAACTTTTACTTAAAATGACATATTCTCATAAACCTCTAAGCTAATTTCATCCAAACTTCACAGGAATGTTTCTTTGGTGGTCACCTTTAAAAATTGTTCAAAGAATTTAATTCCATGCAACACTTGCCATGGCATCCAAAAGAAAACACTTAAAATATCTTCTTTTAAGAAACTCAATGAGCTAGAGCTTAGATATTTGGCATGAAACATCTTCTTATGAGTGTCTACCAAGTTTTGTTATCCCCCGCCGATGGAATCGGGAGGGGGATATAGTTTTGGCGTTGTCCGTCCGTCCATCCGTCCGTCCGAATTTCGTTTCCGGAGTAGTTCTTTGCAACTACTGGCTGGAATTCAACGAAACTTTATGGGAATCATCAATATCAAGAGGAGATGCGCATATCGTCGGCTTGTTCCGGTCAGATCCTTTAACTAAGAGTTATGGCCCTTGATAAGTTATGTAGTATGCATATAGAGTAAAAATTGTTTCCGGAGTAGTTCTCTGCAACTAGTGGCTGGAATTCAACGAAACTTTATGGGAATCATCAATATCAAGAGGAGATGCGCATGTCGTCGGCTTGTTCCGGTCAGTCACTTTAACTCAGAGTTATGGCCCTTGATTAGTTATGTAGTATGCATATAGAGTAAAAATCGTCACACTACTTCTCTGCAACTACTGGCTGGAATTCAACGACAATTTATGGGAACCTTCAATACCAAGAGGAGATGCGCATATCGTCGGCTTGTTCCGGTCAGACACTTTAACTCAAAGTTATGGCCCTTGATTAGTTATGCAGTATCCATATAGAAAAATATTTGTTTCCTCGCTACTTTTCTGCTACTACTGGCTGGAATTCAATGAAACTTTATGGGATACTAAGAGGAGATGTGCATATAGTCACCTTGTTCCAGTCAGATACTTATAACTCAGATTTATGGCCCTTGATTAGTTATATAGTATGCATACATCTCATTGGCATTTCCAGATTTTACTATTTAACACAAAGTTATGGCTCTGTTATTGCCCTGAATATTTATCAAGTTCAAAGAATATAACTGTTTATGCCATGATTAATATATAAATAAAGCCTTATGTCTTCAGTTGTTGATATAAATTCAACGAATTTGCTTGTTCAAATAAAAGCCCTTGGGTCAAAATTGGCCCCGCCCTAGGGGGTCATTGAATTTCCTTATATGTATATAGTAAAAACCATAAAAAAAGCATCTTCTTTTCAAAAACTTAAATAGCTAGAGCTTAGATATTAAACATGAAACATCTTCTAGTGAATGTCTACCAAGTTTGTTTAAATAACAGCCCTGGGGTCAAAATTAGCCCGGCCAAGGGGGGCAAGTCCCCCAGGAAAAGCAGGGACTTTGCTTTTGGGTTTTTAAACCTCCTGGCAAAGCCCCCGCTCTGCAGAGATATTAAGATGATAAAATTTGGGCTAAAAAGCCCAACACTGCAACTTGGACATATCCGTGGCCATTTTGTGCTGAAACAGAACACTAACCTGGCAGTGTAGGGACATTGCCTGACAATGACCAACCCAGTTACCTGATTTACTTATTATGAAAAGAGAAAATTTGCTCTATTGGGTTTGATCAATTGATATAACTTATTTTTCATGACAAGTAACATAAATTTTCTAATGTTGTTCATTCTCTTCTGATATTTTAAACTTTTTTAGCTCACTATTTTGGGGGCGTCCGTGGCCAAGTGGTTAAGGTCGTTGACTTCAAACCACTTGCCCCTCACTGCTGTGGGTTCGAATCCTGACAGGGACTTTGGATTCTTTGATGTGAGAAAGCTATCCAGCTAGCTTACGGAATGTCTGTGGTTCTACTCAGGTGCCCGTTCTTGGTAATGGTCATTTGCCTCTCACCACTTATTCAGAAATCATATGAGCCGCGCCATGACAAAACCAACATAGTGCGTTTGGGACCAGCATGGATCCAGACCAGCCAGCGCATCCGCACAGTCTGATCAGGACAAACTCTATAACAAGTAGAGAAACTGATAGCAAACAGCATGGATCCTGATCAGACTTATCGGATGCGCAGACTGGTCTGGATCCATGCTGGTCGCAAAGGCACTATGTTGGTTTTGCTGTGACGCGGCTCATGTGTTATTTGTAATCAGTCACTTGGAGTGAAATTGGTAATTACTGGTTAAGTTTTCAGGAAAGCTTTTAGGTGGACTATTTGTGGGGATATGACCAAAAATGTGTTGAAAATGATATAAAAACAGCTAAACAATTTCACATAAATCGGGATAAAGTACTGTTAATGATAATACCATAGAAAAATGTACTAGTATCACTACTGACTACTGTGCCTACATGTGAAATGAATTTCATCTATTATGATCGTTCAAAACGTAAATCAGAAATTTTTCCTGTTACTGTAAACATAATTCTAATAATATGATGATAACTATATTTCAGCATTAAATTTAGAAAAGCTAGCATCAGATGCCTATGGATGTAAATCAAGTGTTTTAGATATCAGGGATGTAGGTGGCAAGTGGGAGTTCCTAAACTGTCTTGCTCGAGGAGATATTCTCATTGTTCCTTATGATCCGGATAAAAATTTTGTGCCAGTTCTAAAAAAGGGCCATAAGGCTCATTGGGCTCTAGTCACAGGTATGTTAATTCATGTTAGTATTTTTTATTTCAGGGATATTTTACAATGAAAATGAGCAGTGAGCTTGATTTTGGCAAATTCCTTTTTCTTTTTTGTGGTAACTGTTACCCAGGCAGCCAGTGCAGACCAAGATCAGCCGGTGATCCTTGCCATCTGATCATAGTCAACACTATTGACTATTCAGTTTATACTTATTTTGTAATTTTCCCTAAAATAATATGACAATCAGACATATTGATTTATTCTTAAAATAGCATGTAAACATAACATGTTTATTATGCCATATCTATATGTATGATAATTACACATTATTTTCAATGGCTCACTATTCAATAATTGTATAATATAACACCTTAAGATAATATATTCCTGTCATGTTTCTTTTATTGTATGTTCTGTATATTCACTGTTCCATCAATTATGATCAGTGTCATCTTAGCCTAATTACACATTGAGTCCAATGATCCAAGCATAAAATGTTTCTTCTTCTGATGTTAAACATAATATCCATGTGTAGTCTTAATGCTGATGTATTGTTTTGATAATCTATACATGTATACTATGTAACTAATGCAGCAGCATGGAAAGTTGAGAAAATTGTCACATGTCGTTCACCTACAACCCGCCACCCATCAAGCCCCAGTTCCATCTCATGATCATCATCTGGGATATCCAAGTCAACAAAATGCTGGGATATTGACTGATTAATTTTGAATGTATCATATTCGTATATACAGTCTGACTCTTGTACCATTTGAAAATAGTTATAAGCATCTTTGAAAAGTGGTAAGATAGAAAATATATGTAAATAAAATTTTCCACAATCTGAGAAGGAAGGAGGTTCTTCAAGGTGGAGTATTTTTTCAATCACTTGTAAGAAGCACAAATCAATATCGTCATAGTTATTTTTGCATTCATAGTGATGATATATCATCATAACTTTTATGAAGTAAGAGGGAAAGTCTAAATGATATCCACTCTTAGTTTTGAAATCATCACTTTTGTCATCACCATGCCCATTTACGATATATTTAAGAATCCTGTATATTTTTACATGATTTGCTGACAAAATATTTTTCACAAAATGAACTTCAGTTTCTGTGAAAGAGAAACTCCAATCTACAATGTCTATATGTGTATATGTTACACTTTTTGTTTTTAATACATGCTTAAGAAATGGTTTGAGATCAATCCATTCAGGATTACATGGTACTATCTTTATTGCTGGAACAAGGTCTACATGTATAATGGTTTCACTCCCACCCTCATTTGTGTAAAGAAACTGTAATTTTGTAGCAGGACCATGTTGCTTCAATACTTGATCAAATCTCAGATTTCTTCTACATTTGTGGTGATTTTTAGGTCTTTCATTGTGCTGTAAAACTTGCGCATATTTTTGTGTTAAATGTCTGAAAATGTCCAGAAAATTGTATGTTAGTGTCTTTGACGGAATTGTCTTCAAACAGTATAGATAAATTATAAAGTCAAACTCATTGGGATATTTATTTTTTGTTTCTTCATAGAAACTTCCCACTTTTACTATAGAACTTCTCACAAAAGGAATATTTCCATATAAAAGCTTATCAACATCTCTGTCCATTTTAATAGGGAAATAAACCTCTTTTAATGAATAAACATCTTGCTGTGGACCATGATCCAAACAAAATTTCTCCTCATGTAAAATGTCGACAATCTTTTGAACACAAAACTCTATCCCATTCTGTATAAATTCTACTTCCTCTTCATCTATTGTAAAAACACATTCATTTTTGAAAACATCATTTAAGAACAGTTTAAGGTTGTTTCTACAGTTCTTTGACAAGATATTTCCCATTGTAAAAATTAAAACTTCTTATTAACACTGAAATGAATAAAGGTAAAAAAGTATCCTCTCTCAAATTTCATCACATGAAGTCCTGTTCAATAAAGCTAAAAGCTTAAAGATTTTTAATGGAAATCTATACAGTATGGATTTTACTGTCCAAAGATTTACTAGTTAAAATGTAGAAAAATAATATTCTTTATGCTTTTTCTATTCAACAGAAGTCGTCATATTTATGGAATTTTCTAGATCCTGTTTGACTGCTCCAAGTTTGAACATCAACATTTTTTTTGTGAATTCTGCTATCCGCCAGTTAATGCCATTTGACTGCTTCACCAACATTTCACTTTCTGTGAAAATTATGATTTCTTAAATGACACTAGTTTTTACAAAAAATATTTTTGCTCTAATCCTTCAATTTTCTTCTCATACTGTCCTCAAAATATATCATTTTCCAATTGATGTACCTGTAAATTTCTTGTGTACATCATAGTTATTAAATTTAGTGTCCATGAAACTGAATGATTTTGAAGAAATTAAGCTTTTATCTTACTCAATATTAAAATGTACATGTAGACGTAACAAACTGTCCTATTTTATCTTGAAACTTGATAAATATTAAGATTTTTTATTGTGTTAACCATTGTGAGTTTATTAAAAAGCTGTGTCAATATTTATATATGACACATTATCCTGGCGTCACACCTTGGTTAAGTTTTTCGTACCACCCCACTTTATTTCAGAAGTATTACAAGTATGGCTTTGAAACTTACCATACTTGTTCACCATCATAACCTCCATCTACAGACAAGAGTACATAACTCTGTCAAGGTTTTTGACAGAATTATGGCCCTTTTTTGACTTAGAAAGTGTATTGAGCTTGGTTAAGTTTTTTGTACCACCTCACTTTATTTCAAAACCATTGGAGGTATTGCTTTGAAACTGACCATACTTGTTTACCATCACGACCTGCATCAACAGACAAGAGGACATAACTCTGTCAAGGTTTTTGACAGAATTATGCCCCTTTTTGACTTAGAAAATACATTGAATATGGGTAAAATCCACTTATTGCCTTAACCCTTTGAGATATTGCTTTGAAACTTTTAATGCTATTTCACATCATTACCCCCATCTGTACGCAAGAGAAGGTAACTCTGTCAAGGATTTGTTTTAAAAATTAAGGCCTTTTATCGACTTAGAATCTTGGTTAAGTTTTTAGTACCAGTCCACTTTTTGACTGAACTGTTTGAGATATTAATTTGAAAGTTGGAATACTTGTTTACAATCATGATTCCCAAACATGTCCAGGAGAAGGTAATTCTGTCAAAGATTTTATTTGAATTATGGCCCTTAACTGTCAATGTTTTGTATTATAGGCAAGCACTAAAAAACTTAAAAAATCTAAAAAAATTCATTCCTATCCACTTGTTCACTTTACCATAAATTATGTCATATAAACATTGCTGTAATATTCAAGGGTATCAAACAACTAGTTATTTTTCTCTTTTTGTACTTGAAATTAAAATCAGTAGTATATGCATATTTCACATTTTATCTCGCCTATTTGATTGGTGGACAAGTGACCAGCTACGGACAGAACACATAGGCTCAACTCAGTTTTTTTTTCTTTCTTACCAGCCCTCTTTTGACTTAAACATTTCAAACTTTGCTGCAGTGTTCAAGGGTATCACACAATTCAGTAAAATAATTCTTCACTAAATATCTTAATGCTCATGGCCATTGTTCACTTTAAAAATACAGAGATTCTTGTATTGCCTTTTACTGCCAAAACTTTTTTTATTGGCAAGCAATAAAAAAGTCGAGCGCGCTGTCTTACGGACAGCTCTTGTTGTTAATTATTTTATTTTTGTTAAGTTTAAACATTATTCAAGAAAGCCTAATTGTGCAAAAAGTTTGAAGCTTGGTTGAAACTTTTTGAACCACTATCCAGTTTTGTTTGCTCAGTAATTTAAAGCTTCTTTAATCAACACTCTTCATTTTTCATGGTAGATGAGCCCAATTGTACAGTTAGTCAATTTTTCAAAACCATTCAACAAACAGTGAAAACTTTTGATGTTTATTGACTTTATTCATTCAAGTGACATTTGACTTTAAGACTTTGGGAGACGTGTATAACATTTCTATGCAAACATCATCATGTTAGATTATTACAAATTTTTCTACCAAAAAAAAAAAAAGATTAAGAAAATTATGAAATGTTTAAAGCAAATTTTAACCTGCAAAATTTGTGTACCGGTAATGAACTTGCTTTGCTATAAATTATAAACAGACCTTTGTAAAAGATTTGTTTTAAGATTTTTATCATTAAGATAATAAAATTAAACAGCTTGAAGTATAATCTGATTGTTCTGCAAGGATATGCCAGCTTAAATGTAGCTTGATTCTGGTAGCAAAGTCATGACATTAATGTCAATAACACTGTGAAATGAACATGAACAAAAATATTGACATTTCCATTCTTTCTTTTTGCAGGTTTCTTTGCAGCAATGAATGACACATCAGTGCTAAACAAATTTAGAGATGATTCAATAAAGAAAGATCCAGAATTTTCTAATTTGTATCACTGCGATACAGCACCTTTACCTTCCACAACACATCGGGTTCTTCCGGCTGAGCCAAATGTCACTCCACGGGCATTGTCAGCAAACGTTCCAGCACGGCCTGGAGGTGCCATTCCTAACCGAGCTATTTCAGCGCGAACTCTTCCAGCGGAACCAGGTCATCCTCCAGCGGTAGAGAGTACAAAGTTAACCCATGATGTTGGCAATCTGTCTCATGATAAAGTGACTAAGGCAGGTGCTTGTAGAAACCCTCTAGAGGCCGCCTCCTATATACTGGTGTATGCCAAACAAGGGAAAAGTAAGCATACTGGAATTTGGAATGCAAAAACTCTTGTAGAAAGTTGTTGTAACTTGATAGAGATAGATCCAGGGCGGTTTGAGGATGGTGAAAGTTACATGTTCCCAGAGAAAGGAATTGAAGAGGAGCTGTGTGGGAAAGTGGTAGTACTGCATGTAAAGAAATGAAAATATCAGCATGAATACATTCAGGTCTATAACACTAGAGCTGCCTATTCTTTACAGCATTATATACAATGTAGCTATCAAATTGTGACATCTGTTGAAGTCAGTATATCACCTAAATCAGTAAATTTACTAGTAGCAGTGACATAAAATTGTGATGGTTTCAAAGCAGTACTAAGATAACTTTTTTCTCAGTGCTATTATTGTTTCCTAAAGCCCTCTGGTTAGGTTAATAAATTTTTTTAAAGGTTTAGAACGAATGTAGCAAGGCATTTAATGTGTTGGGCTTGATTTGTTACTCATTTAAGTTGCTTGTATTTAGAATTTGTACTGAAGTATCAAAATAAGAAGATTTTATTGAATACAAATTTAGCTTGAATATATTAATTTAGGACTATGTGATGTAGAAAAAACTATAGTTCAGACTTTCATGTTGAAATTAACTTAGCAAACTGAATTGAAGTTTTCAGAAAAGTTTGAATTTCTAATTACGGAATCAGTTCCAAATCTTCTAGAAATGTGGAGCATATTTTTAGAGTAAATTTTAAGAAAATATTAAAGGGTAGAAATACATTTGTTGTTTCATAATTAAGGCCGATCTGTTAATTTAATTAGTGTTTCTAGCTAGGTGCTGATGTGTACCAGATACAATGCAGTAGATTACAATATATCAACCATCTATAAGTAGCCATTTTAATAAGTAATAGATGTAGTTCCAATCTCAACAATCTAATATAATTGCTTACATTCATGGTAAAAGTCAAGAACAGTATAGCATGTATAAGACCTCTGTTTTCGAGCCTTAATTTCAATGTTATTTTTGCAATTATTTCTGATTTCAAGGAAATATTTGATTTATTTTATTCTTGATAAGTAAGTCATTATTGTCTAGGCAGAATACTTGTATGTATATTTTTGTGGTGGTAATTTGGTTGTATATACATTTACATTACATACAAAGTACAATAAAATGCTTTGACAGATTTGTCAGTAAGAAGTGACAATATAAAATAGGTAGATTTGTGACAAATAAATTGTTTGTTGGTTATTACCTTTGGGAAATGTAGGATTTATTATTGATTCGCTTTATTTATTTGTTCATTTACTTGATCTTAATTGCTTTTTTAAATAGACAAATTTTGAATCAATGATATTCTTTTTTTCTTCTATTTTTACAAATTGATTTTTTTTTGTGAAATTTGTTTGTCAGAACTAATCATGTAAATTTTGTCAGAACTAATTATGTAAATGTGCTCTCTTTTTTCTGTGTATTAATTTTTGTGACAATAACACATTGTAAATGGTTCAAAAAGTTGTGTGAAACTCACACTTAAAACAATGGTGCTTGGTAAATTATATTCATAAACATATTTATAATGATTAAAAAAAATGTTCAATATTTTTAGATATATGTAAATATGTTATGTGTGAAGATACAGAAGTTGTTTTCTATTTATGTTTTGTGCTATATATGTAATTTCAAGCTTTTACACAGTATTTTTGTGTGTTGATATTAAACAGAGGATGACTTGATACATTGTACAAGAATATTGGCTTTGAATTAAAGATTTGTTTTTTTTTATAGCAACAAGATTTTTTTTACAAAAGTTATATTTTTCAGCAAAGATGTTTGATTTCTTGCTCACAGAAACCCCACAAATATTTATATTTTTTAATATCTTAATTAATAGTTTTGCACCATAATTTTAGTGATACTTAAGGATCAGTATAAAACTACATATCAAATGTTTAATATTTCTTGGCAATCTGTGAGATGGCATGTTATCAGTTGATCTAAGATTTAAGTTACGCTCTTTTGATGTCAAAGTGCTTTAGTCAAAGCACCAGCTGTACTTCTACTACTCTGTACTGACGGGACTGTCACAATCTGACTTAAGTTTAGATCTACTTATTTCTTACATGTAGATCTGATAACCATTGTATATGTGTCACTTGCATTGTGATTCGAATTTCCAGAGAAAGCTGTTTTTAGCCATGCAATCAAACCATTCTTTACAGATAAGCATTGGTGGAAGTATCAAAATAACATTGTCCGTGAAAGTAAAACAAATTGTTGAAATCAAATCTATCTTTCTTTCATTGATTGTTAATGATGTCATATTTTCAAAACATTTTCCATATTTAGAAATACTGTATGTGTATTTAAATTCGCGGAAGCAAATTTTCGCGGAAAGGTCCACTTTGGGGGTCTATACAAATATTCGCGCTATTTTGAATTCGCGGAGGTGACTGCCGAAAATCATAAATTCGCGTAGACCACTCAGGTTAAAAAAAGAAAATTACTGAAATCATCATTGGAGTTCACAGTTATTTTCAATACCAGGTGTCAAACAATACTCTATTGTACAGAAAAAAAGACATTATCTAGCGGACAGATTATAGCAAACAAAAGAATGCCCGTTAACGTGCATAATTTTTCACAGTTTGCGTCATATACGTCTTGACATCTGATCAGATCATGTTTTGGTTTTTCTGAACAAACAATTAAAAAACACAAACATAAAGTAAACTATTTTATATGATGAATAACTTGGAAAAAACAAAACACAATTACTCAGTAAAGATTCAAATTAAAAGTGTGAAAGCATATCACACACTGATATAAATTGTTCTATAGAAGCGCGAAAATATGACTATTAAGAAATTATTGGTGTAGATCGAATGTCACCGCGAAGATCGCGAAAATTTGAAGCCTGCGAATATTTCTACACATACAGTATTGCATATTATATGTACATTGTCTCATTAATTATTAAAATAGAATTTTTCATTTTATTATACTCCCAGAAATTTTGACAGAGCTTGTAGTAACTGTTGGCAATTTGTTCATATTCATACATTCACATTTGTTAGCATGTTAACTCATAGAATGAAATTTTAATGGTGCATTATTATTTTCCATTGACTTTTACCCTAGAATGGGAATTCAGGTAGATTTTGTCAGGGTCACTGATGCTAAAAATAGATTTCCTCACTATTTTGCATAATTAGGACACAGTTTTAGCTTTGTATTGTTGAGCATACATCAATGATTCTAATATTCATATTGCAAATTATTCAGGGAAGAAAAATGCTTGCCAGAATAAGTTCACCTATGATTATTGGAATTAAAGTCCCCAGATACAAGGTGAAATTAGATAAAATGAAAAAGGAATATGCAAAATTATGGCTGAATTGGTGTTTTTGTTGTTGTTTTTTTTTGTTTAAAGAGAACCGCAATTAAAAAGATTACAAGATAAATCTCTATGTTGAAAGTGTACTAAGTAATGTTTTACTTTATGTTATAAGCATTTTCTTTGCATTTGCACTCAGATTAACCTTTATATCTTTTCATTACAATAAATTTTCAGGAAAAGCATGCAAAAGCTTGAATGTAGCTAATGTTCTGTATTTATATTGTATTTCTTTAAACACATTTGTATATCAATATTTGTGATGTGATAAATGTACACATATAACATTTGTTACCCTGAGGCACTTTATTTATTTATTTTACATTTTGGCTTTTGATCTTTTGTATGTTGTAGACAATCAATCTACTGCTGTATTTATTTTTAATATTTAATTGAATTGTTACACTCACTAAGTTTCAATTTAAATGTCAAAATGTATTTATTTATACTTGTTTGCTTGATATTTATATGGTATTATAGGGTTACTAACATTACCCCTAAGTTGCGTCCTCTATTATCACTGGTACAGGCATTGTATTGTAGAATATGGCCGTCACCTTTAAAATTTTCTGTCCAAGGTTGCAGAACTTTTTTAACAGTATTACTAGCATTTAAAGGAATATGTTCATCCTTTAGAAATTTTAACATAATTAAGATCCATTTAAAAAAGAATGTGGCTTACTTATCACATCTTGACATATTTATCCAGTGCTGTCAATTAAGTTTAAAGTAGCAAGTTGAAGGTTTGAGATTTTAATTTTTTTAGCTTGACTATCCGAAGAACTGTCGTTAAGTTTTTACGAGCAAGTTGGTGTCTCCAAAACTACTGAAAGGATTGGGTTGAAACTTCACACACTTATATGACTGCATACTACAAGTTCACTTTCCAAAGCCCATAACTCTAAGATGGAGTTTGACAGAATTATGGCCCTTTTTGATTGTAGAAAATTCTACATTATCTTGGTCGTTGTTTTACGGTCAAGTCTGCAGAAATCAGTAATTTTGCAGGCTTCTTGATGCTTACAGAGAAGACTGTTTGTTCTACATTATTGTTAGTTCAATTATAGTGTAAAATGACAGTATGTTTTGAAGGCCAATATGTGTAATCATGGAATTAAGAAAATGATTAAGACTTAATGAAACAACACACCATTGCAATTCAAGGATGTAACAATGACCACTTTTGTCTTTTCATTCTTATTTGTGAACTTAACTTTTTCATATATGTTAGATTTGACATCATTTTTGTTGTGCCAAGATTTTATAGGCAACACAAGAAGTGTTATCTGCAATCATGTTTGACTATGGGCTATTTGTAGAAATGTCAACTAAGGGTGTTTATAGTTATTCTTGACTACAGTTTGCATTGAGATTGACTTAGTTTTTTATAGACCAAAGTCTTTTTAGATAGGTTAGACTAGGTTCTTTATAGACAGAGCTATTGGTAGACTTTTTTGACTCTGGTCTACTTAGTTTTTTATAGACCAAAGTCTTTTTAGATAGGTTAAACTAGGTTCTTTACAGACAGGGCTATTGGTAGACATTTTTGACTCTGGTCTTTATAGTTTCCGTTTGCAATGACCTTGATAATCATTGCTGTCTGTTGACATATTAAACTATGGTCTTTATAGACATAGATTTATATGGTCTACACATACATGGACATCTGTGGCCTTTATAGACATAGATAACTTTGGTCATTATTAGCATAATAGATGATTATGGTCTTTATAGACATGTAGAACTGTGGCCATAATACATATTGAGGACAATGGTCTTAAAGACATGGGACAATTATAATCTTTATAGACATGGACAGCTATGGTCATTATAGACATAGGACAACTATGCTCTGTATAGACATGGACAACTGTGGCCAAAATACATATTGAGGATGATGGTCTTAAAGACATGGACAATTATGGTCATTGTAGACATGGACATCAGTGGTCTTTATAGACATGGACAACTGTGGTCATTATAAGCATATATGACTATGGTCTTTATAGACATAGACAGCTTTGGTAAACTGTGATCTGTCTTTATAGACATTGAATATTAAGCCTTTCTATATAAGGACTTCTATGGTATACAGTTCAATTTGTAGACATTACACGTTAAAGGATGATTTTTGGTAAACCGTCTTAATAGACTGATCTGATAGTGGTCTTCATGAGCATGGCTGGCTATAAAATACATATATCTATGCCCCCACATTATTATTATTGGGAGAAAGATAGATCAATATATATGTTACACAACCTGCATTCATAGACAATGTACTAGTAATATTATTATTTTGAACATTTATCACCTACTCTTGATTAGTGCAATAATCATGTCACCTTGATTATCAGACCACCCCAAACTTCAGCACCTTAATTTAATATACAGTATGTATTTTTGTTGTTTTTCTTACCAGGTTATTCCCCACTTTTTTTGTATCCTGTTTTTGCATTTGTATAGATTTTTTTTAATTTTTGCGATTTTATAGACAGATATTTTCTTATAAATTTGAAAAGTGCTGTATATGTGAAATTGATGTTGACTTTGTTCCTCTGATAATCTCATTATCTGCCTTGGTATATTAAGTGTTAATTTAGACATGGTAAAAACACAACTGACTTGGTAAAAACACAAGAGACATGGTAAAAACATAGTATGTCACTGTGATACTGGAATACCACAAATTCTCCTATCCCTGCTTGTTTTTTAAAGTGCTCTAGTTATATGAAGTCAGTTGCTCTAATTACCATGTAAATTTAGTATCAGTTTATGCAATAAATACTAATATCAAATATGACCGAGGATGCAAATTTAACTCAAATTATTTATACAACCTATTGTGATATAATAGGATGTTACATATTTTACAAATTTACTATTGATATACTCAATAAATATAATCAAAATAGAGCTGTAGAGTTAAAAGAATGTGCACGCGTTTCTCTAAAAGCATAATATGAGAAGATTGAATGTTTTAATATTCTCTTTAATTTTGTGTAGCTATTGAGATCCACCTAAAACTGATGTTTTTTTTCAGCCTTACATGGAACTACAAGTACTTGAAACAAATTATTTTCAATGTTCTATATGGGTTATATACTATTATAAGACTGTAGTATATTGCCCTTATAGAACATTGAAAATAGTTTGTTTCAAGGACCTGAGCATGGAACAATAGCTCTTGTATATTCAATGCAGGTTGATTTTCTAAGCTTACTCCTTGACTACCTCTATATATTATTATTAATGAATACAGTCAAACCTGTGATCAAAGGCCACCCAAACAAGATACAAAACATACACATTAAAGACCAGTGGTTTTTATTAAGAGGTTACTTGGTTCTATTAAGTCAATGAAGGTTTGTTAGAAGGAGTGACCTTTACCCACAGGGTGGTTCTTATTCGGGATGATCTTTTATACAGGTTTGACTGTAAGAAAATATTTTAGTTTCTCTTTTTGAAATAGATTATTTATACATATACATGCAATTTTTTTCTCTACTTTTTATATGGCTTACTTTGTTATCATTATCAATATGATTAGACTGTAGAATTATAATATGATTATAAGATACTTTCACTTTATTTATCTTGATTAGATCTTCCTAAAATAGAAAAAAAAAAAACAACAAAAACAAGTGCTATGTAAGTGTTAATTGCAGCTTAATTGAACTTTACATGGAAATTATATACATTATTACTTGTACAGAGAAAAATTGATTTATTTTTAAGATACAATGACTTGCTATCTACAGTTTTTTACATGTAACCAGATTTCGTTTCTTAATAAATTTCCAGCTGTGTATTTTATAACAGTCCATTATTCATTTAGAAACAAGATACTTCTCGCTTAAAATTTAGAGGGTTAGTTAAGTTGTCTACAAGATCAATGCTTAACCTTTTGACAAAACATGTTTTGAGGATTGTTGATTCCTTTTTTGTTTTGTTTCTTTTGTAACTTACATACATGGATTTATGTTTTATGTTATAAGTGTTAAAGTAATTATATAAGACAAGTAAAATAAAGGCTTACAATCTACTTGAGTTTAGTTATAGCTAGTCCCTCTAGTTTCTTTATTTTTAACTCTGCACAGAAATAATATTTCATGAATTAAAGTCACTATGAAGACTTGGATTAAAGCAAAACAAATCTATTATCTATTGTTATGGTCAGACTAGTAATCTATTAGGATGTCTAGCTGTGTGGATTCAAACCCTGTCAGGTGCAAGTTGTTTCAGTAAGCAAGAAACTATACACTTATTGCTCAGTACTGGTTGGTACCTGGCCTCAAGATTATAAAACTTTCTGTCTCAAATCTCATGATTATCAATTATCAAAACAAATCTATTATTGTTATGGTCAGACAAGTAATCTAAAGGTCTCTAGATGTGTGGGCCGAAATCCCATTGGGGGCAAGCTGTTGTTTCCTAGCAAAAACCTTAATACTTATTGCTCAGTACTGATTGGTACCAGGAATAGACTCAATATGTGTGTCAATATGTATAAGCATATAGCTTCATACACGAACTAAAATAAATTCTGTATGAACTAAAAATAATTGAAATGTTGAAATTTCCTCATGAGGAATAATGGAAAACAATTCCAAATTTTCTGGTAACTACCACTTTGGAACATTTATGTCCAAAATACTTAAACATTTTACATAAAGATTTTACCTAAAGATATCCTTTGAAGAATTGCTGGAGACATTTGTAGCATTCTTCAATATATGAGTCACAAGAAAATTCTAAACAATGTAGAATTTCAACTTTACAGTTTTACTGGTGGACGAAGACCTCAGGTGTCCTTCCTTCTCTATTTTTAAAGTAAAATATAGAATGTTCTATATTGATCCTAATAATGATACAATGAAAGAAGCATAATAATTTGAAAGAAATTCAAAAAGAAACAATAGGGAAAATTAAGGTAAAAAGCATAACACTATTAAAGGAACTCCACTGGAACTCCACTGAGGTCCAATAGCCTAATATAATAAATTTGAAATTCTTTCTGAAATCAACTGGCATATTTAAATTTGAAACCAAGCAATGAATGATAAATACATACACACAGCATTAAATTTGTTAAAAAAAATTGTCCCCTTTCTCCCATGAATGTAATTTACTCCTTAAGTCCTGTTAAAATACCTCTATGAAATAAAGCATTTCAAATCAGAATGGGGAAAAAGGAATACATGTAACTACTAATCAAAGCAAGTCCTAAAAGTTCTTGTTAAGTATTTCATAAAATATGACCAGAAACATCTAAATAACACTTAGATTTTGAAGTATTACAATTTATATGTAATGAAGAGGAGAGGGATAGATATATTTGAATCAGCTTGTCTATCTGTTTAATTTTGTTTCTTTGTTTGATTTAACGGCGCACCAACACAGTATACATCATATGGTGCCCAAACAGGAAAGATGATTTTGGCTAACCTCTGGTGTTACAAACTTCAAAGCAACACAAGGGATCTGCTGGAATTATGATGCATATACTCCAGTAATTCGGACCCATTAGCACACCTCGTATGATCATGCAGGGATAAACAGTGGCTGCAATTCTTTTGCCTAAACCATTAAGTACAGTGTAAGAACCATAATTCCCTTTTGTGTAATTTTGGAGTTATTACCATTTGTAAATTTTCATAATGTCCAGCATCTGATGAAACTTTAATATACAGGAAGATCAGTCAGAGTCAAAATAGTAGGCGTTAATACATTCTCTTCAGATCTTAATTGGTTACTACATCAACCATATCACCACAAAAGCAACACACTTCCTTCGCTTCAAACTGACAATAAACAGGCGAAAACACCTATATGTATTTCCCAAACTGGAATACTGATCCACATTTAACATTTACTACATGTGTGCAGAAGATACAGTATTCCAGTTTGGGATACTATAACAGTACACGTATTCCAGTTTGGGGATACTAAAACAGTATTTCAGTTTGGGGTTACTATTGTTAGTTGCTACGTTGTTTTAACGATTTCTAGCTAAAAAAAAAAACAGTCGGGCATTCTTCATGTTTTGGAAACAATGAGATTTCCCTTCAGTGTTTCTCAGTAAGCCCGACCAGGAATTTAGGCTCCTCAGGAGAAAACGGCCTGCACAATAACGTATTCAGCATATATTCCTCAACTTCCCACTGCTCACTGTAACGTTAAAAAAAACTTATTCTATTAAATCAGAGAGAACAAGCAATTGCAGTGAAAATAACCGCGTAACCCAAATTAGAAACTCGGAAATCCAGTGTTGGATTGTACCTTTGTATGTCGATTACCTTGGACTCGATTATTATGTTCACCTTCAATATCTTAAACATTTTGAATAGGCAGTAGGTTTATAATGAGAATGCCGTCTTGAATTCAAAGCATACTTACTATTGAAAGTAATGTTACCTGCAATTTTGTGATAAACCAATTTAATTCCATTACATTTAAATGAACGAAATGATTGGTACACACTAGTTTCGTGATTTCCGTGCAAAATTCAAACTTCATTACAAAATCACCAGCCTATACGTATTATTTATGGCCAACACGAGACAACCAGTACTCAAGAACTGTATGATTTGGCTTTTTACAGATATTTTTTTTTTATTTTATGACATTTTTTGGTAAAGTACTAATATAGGAGTACAACTAGAATAACGGAACGAATCTTGTTATGCAGTTTCTTTGGAGAGTTTCAGAAAATACAAGACAGGACAGCATGACCAGTTGTTCTACATTGTTTTTCGTACTTTTTGGTGTGTTTGGGTTTTCTGTTTTATTTTTTATACAAATCGTATTTGTTTATATAAGTTCTTTTTTAAAACAGGGCTTGCAGTTTAGGACTGCCGCTCCGTGTATAACAGTCAAACAATTGAAGTATATCAATCAACAATGATTCAAACTTTGTAAGATGAGCAATAACATTATAAAATATGAGAACAAAGATCAAGAACCAGCCACAACAGAGGACCACTGGTATAACAAAAACATGTAGTGGTCTGAGAGTAGTGGAATGGTGGTGTTGGGGGGGATGCAAAATGATGTACACCGATCAATCTCTTAGGCAATACGGAGCGACTTATACGGTCGCCACTCAGCTCAAATGGTTGTTAAATCAGAATATGATAACAAAATGTTTCGACGCTGTTCAAGGATTTATCCGCTTAACTCAGACAATATTTTGGATATGTGCATACCTTGTACAGACTGTCATAATTATTGTAGATACACAAATTCAAATTTAAATTTGTTTTACACTATAAATAAAATACCTTTGTGATGTTTGCTTAAAGCTTTTAAACAGTACTTCGCCCGGGTCTTGAATCAGATGTTATGTTGCTTATATGCTTGGTTTGTGAAAGGTCTTAACTAGATACATAATTAATTTATAAACATGGCATTTTCAGTTTAAATTCGGTTATAATTATAGATGTCCGGTATTGAGAGAAAGCATGTTTAGTTCGACCTATTCTTATCGGATGTTATCTCCATAACTATGTATTTTGATGCTATTGAAATGTGAAGCTTACTAACAGTATGATGCGACTCTCATTTTGCCAAAGATGTTCTTTTCCTTTTTCAGTTAATTGGCGGGAATTAGCCACCGTAACTATAGCCTAATTAATTCGGCGTGAACGGTTTGACCCATTTTACAGACTTTTTTTTTTACTGTCAAACCGTTGGAAAAAAGACAGCGCCCGTCCAAAATTATCTCGGTGTCTCTTTGACAAGTCTAATTAGTTGGACTACCGTAACTATGTTCAGACTGTGAAGAGTGAAATGTATTATTTGCTTTTTTATCTTTTATGTGGACTTTTAGTTTATATATTGAGAAATAAACTTGACAAAAACTCCCAGCATTAAATTACTTTTTGTTTACATGCTTTAATAGTTTCTTAGCGTAGGTTAGACCAAATTACCGTATCCGTTCTATTGTGTCCAAAGACTGACGGAAAGGGCCGAAAAGTTGCGACCCAACAAAGGAAGTTCCAACACTAAGTTAATCTGTTGTTGTTTCAATAATGAAAAGGTCAGAGTTGACCGAAGTACGGCGAAAAAAGCCGGACAATATTCCCGCTTCACACATTACAGGTCACGTGATCATTTGAGCACAATAAAAACAGTTTAGCAGGGAACGTCGCACGGCGAAGATGGAAAATGGCGCTCTCTGTTGATATTGCAGGTGTGTTAATATTTTACAACTTTATTGTGTCATTTGATTTTTTCAGGTATGTACAGTACTGGAAGAAGAAGAAGAAAAAAGAAGAAGAGCCTGTTTAGGACGGAGAGTTGCACGGCGAAGATGGAAGAAATGGCGTGCAGGTGTGTTGATATTTTACAACTTTATTGTGTCATTTGATTTTTTCATTAGCCTATGTATTGAATGCCTTTGTTATATGCCTGTTTATTTTTATTTTGATGAATTTTATACATACTTGCTCCTGATAATTGAAATACCTGGCCGTTTTATTACCCCCCCCCCCACATGACTTGCTATTTATCGTGTTGATGAAATATGGTTGATGTTGAATTTGACGATCTCGATTGACCAGTCTGACCAGCCGCGCGACATAACATACTTCGCGCGACATAACATACGGGCGTTTATTGTTTATATTTTTTATTGTTTATTGACAAACTCTCCCGCCGCATTCCGATTATCAATACATGTATTTTGTGCATGTCAAACAGGTTTATTTATAAATATGTAAAAGGATGTATATTTAAAAAAATGTGTATGAAAAATTTGTATGAAAATTGGTATAAAAAATGGATATAAAAATGTTTCTGGTCGGCTCGGTGATATATATGTTGTGTGGAAAAAATCGCAAACAATAGTTAAACTGTAAACATGTCAAAGAAGGTTTTTTAAATACCTACTGGTATGTAAAATGATGAGTTTTAAAAAATGTGTATAAGACTGTGTATGAAAATGTGTTTTAAAAATAGTATAAAGATTAGGTATAAATAATGGGTATAAAAATTGTGTATAAAAATGGGTATAAAATTGTTTCTAGTCGACGGTTTCAAGTA